ATGCTGAAGTCCATCGCGGCTCGCTCATCATGGCGATCTCCGGTCATCAAGGTAAAGCAAGCCTCAGAAACTACATCGGCCGCCCTTCGGGTGAAAAAATAAGAGCTTACTCTGATATCCTTTCCGATGCATTGAGTGGAAAGTCACATCAGTCACTGCAGCCGAGTTTTGCGGCGCTGTCATCCCGAGCGATCTTCATGTTCCGGTGAATTTGTCTGTCGTTCATTCAAAAACACAAAGGAACAGTTTGTTTTCTACCTTGTCATGTGAAGAAACTCGCGTGTTTTTATGAGCCATAATTCAGCTGAATTTCACTGCACATTTCACTTCAAGATTCTGTATTAGAGACATAAAAACTTCAGGCAAAAGTGTTAAATTCGACCTGCCGGACTATTTCAGTTTGTAAACCATCGCAGAATGTGAACTTTGATGGTTTTTGAACTTTGATGGTTTGACACTTTTGACAGCTTTAGTCTTGTACAGCCAATCAGATTATTTGAACCATTTTAACAGGGATTCTGATTGGCTTATTGTAGCGTGCTTTATGAGAGTATAGAGCATGCTGACGACACTGTTGTTCGCTTTGGAAATAAAGTTTGTTTTGAAAATTGAAAGTAATGCTTGGAGAATTGAATGGATTCTTTATTATAAAACAAATAGAGAAGCCTTGACTGTGCTCTGTTCTGTTATAAAGCACTTAGGAAGCAGCTAGAGCACCCAAGAATTCTTTAGTGCTCTAGCCGCCTCCTGCGTGCTTTATAACAGAACAGAGCACAATCAAGGCTTCTCTATTTGTTAAATAAAAGCAAAACCTTTGTGCAATATATACACCAAAAGTTTTAAAAAAGTAAGTGTGAAGTGCATCCTTGTTGCAGAGAACTATGTGAAAATTATCATGGAGAAAAAAGAATTTAAACTGAACTTAAATGTAATCTGAATCATTATTCCTAATAGTGAATCTTCGCTAGATCAAGTCAAGTAAATCTTTAGATCCAATAATTGTCAGTTGAACGAGTGAAGATAAAAATTTTACGTTGATGAAACGTTTGTCGACAGCAATACCCTCAGGTATAGCTTAAGGCTATGACGTGCACCTGCCCTCCCTCACCACAAACATTAGACATAGTCAGTCTTTGCTAGTTTAGAATAAGACTTGGTATTCTTTTATAAGTGCTTATTTAATCATATTCACCTTGATGTATGCATTTGCTTCAATTCCTGCCATTTGAATTAACAACTTTTTTAGCAACTTTATTTGGTTTATAACATAGTACTAACTACACCTCTAGCTTGTAGCACGAGCAAGTTCTAACTAGTGTCTACGTGCAGGGCTAGTCAATGTCAAAGGACGTTCTCAGGCAGTCAAAAAGTATTTGTTTGACGAAAAGCTGGAAGGAGAGCGGACTCGAAAAACTAGAAGAAGGAGCAATAGAACAAGAGTAATTCCAAAATTTCACAATGCGATCGAAAGTAGGAGGCCTGGAAAGTGCTCGTTTCACAGATTGGTGTTTTTAAATTAAAGGAGTTGCTTAGTCTACTACGGCCGTGAGAAATAAAGTTTGTGAAACTACGTACCTGTTCTTTCGAATTTCACAAATTGCCTTTATCGCGTGTTTATTTCTTTGATAACACACTTTTACAAAGAGTGAAAGAGAGAATGCCGTCAATGAGGGAATGCAGAACTATCATTGGTATACGAGTAATTAAAAAAACTATGGTTACACCTTTTCCAACATAAACATGAAATGCGCACCGTGAATATTTTGTTATAATAACAAGATACAAAAGAACAAAAATAGTCGTACAAAATCTAGGTAATCACTCAGTTTTGACACAAAGCTGTATTTACTGAGTAATTTCTCTGTGGCCTAATACAGTGTGAGTTAGAAATCATGAATCACTAGTCATCTTTTCTCGCGTTTTTCATCCATTAAAGAGAAAGCTCAAAAGTCTGATTGGACATGAGATCTAACGGGTAACTTTTTGAACTTTTTGAAGAACATTCTTTTAGCATTAAGAGCGGAATTAAAAGGTAGCAGAAGTGAAGCCTTCAAAAATTTCACTGGACAGGATAGCCCTATCCCATGTGTATTTTACAAATCAATGCCTCTTAGGTGCGCTATTTTAGCCGCAATCTGTGCTGTAGACTTCGCAGCTATGTTTAAAGACATGTCCATAACAGCAGGAGACTTAGCCATGAAATCATCATGGAGAAAAAAGAATTTAAACTGAACTTAAATGTAATCTGAATCATTATTCCTAATAGTGAATCTTCGCTAGATCAAGTCAAGTAAATCTTTAGATCCAATAATTGTCAGTTGAACGAGTGAAGATAAAAATTTTTTACGTTGATGAAACGTTTGTCGACAGCAATACCCTCAGGTATAGCTTAAGGCTATGACGTGCACCTGCCCTCCCTCACCACAAACATTAGACATAGTCAGTCTTTGCTAGTTTAGAATAAAGTGAAGGTAACTTATACCCAACTCAGATCGACTAAACATGTTTAGTTAAACCACGTTTAATTAAATAGAAAAAAAGTTAGTGTGACGATAGGTTTTTCGCACTAACCGGACTTTTGCGGGGAACGCAACAATAAAAGGGAAAAATAGCTCAGTGGCGACCACTTGCAGTGGGGACGGAAATTCGTTACGGTTTCTTGGTACACGGAGACCTGCTTCAAGCGAACTTGCTATGGACGTCAAGGATTAGACAGTGTTTGGTTCCACAGTAACTTTATTTCAGTTCATTTCGAGAACTGACATGACCTCTAGCGTTCTCAACTTCGTAATCGCCACACAATCGTGATGTAATCGCCACACAATCGTGATGTAATCGCCACACGGTCGTCTATGTAATACAAAAAGCTTTGCAAAGTACTTCCTTAGGTACAATCGAATGCGTGGTTCTATTTTTCTCTTAATTCACAATATTTGAATAGCATAACAAAATAAGGGGAAAATGTCTCTTTGTAGTTAACCGATTTAAATTTTCCCGTAACAACAGAAACATAAAACTACTTAACTTCACATGGAGTTCAAGCAATTACTGGCTTGCATCCTCGAAGTGCTTAACTTAAATTCGACAAATATAAGTTTCAGTGAGCTCTTTGAAGAAAACAGTGAAAAACCGTGTTTACCAAAACATCTTTAAAGCATGTTTTTGATTTGGTGTTAATGGGTTATTAGATTAGGCGTCATCGTATTTTTGGTTAGTCATTCAAGTAGACGTGATAAGAGATTCTTTGGTATTATTTAAGTGGGCACTTTGAATGATGAAGTTTGAGTGTTGCTTAATTTGGGATTAGTTTGATTTGTTTTGAGTGTTTACACTTTCATTACCCAAATCTGCAAACTCTGAAGAAGGCCTCTTGTGCGCATAGTGTGCGGTGGATATGAAAAATCCAGTTGAAATGGAAGCCACCCTCGATCAGATTTTATTATGCTCTGTTATGTTCTACGTTGAGTTTTTTTATTTTTTTCTATGAGCAAATATCATTTTATGGGCAAAATTTCTTTTTAAGACATTTTTTGGGAATACAGGCTATCGAGCGAAATTTCTTAACTTTCGTGACCGGATGAGTTAGGGCCATACATAAATCCTGAATTCTTTCACATAATCACGTAATACTCCTTAATAAACGTTTATACATCAATTTTTAAACAACTTGGTGTCTCGTGATGTGTTCCACTAAGGAAAACATAAGTATGAAATGTGGCCAACAAGCATACAATTTGTCGTGACAGGTTTGATGGATTATCCATTTACTACCTTTAAAGCACGTGCGCACTGAAGTACATCCTTGAGAACGAGATTAAAGAAAAAAGTTAGATTTAAAAAGCGATGTACTTCTTCGGAGGATTTGAATGTTTGAATTAAGGAGTCGGCTCAAATCATTTTCATGACTAGTAGCATTTAAACATTTGGCTTTCCAAAAATATCATCAATCAAGATTGTTACGGAAAGTAATTTTCATTAACCGCAAAGCTATTATTGCATTTGTGGGCGTAAAAAGTAGTTAAATCTTTGTCTTTCTTGTTTTGCGAGTCACACTGAAAACGTCATCTTGAAAGTGAAAGATACACACTCAAACAGTTCTCTTCCATACCGACACTTTTACTGTCTTAAACCTTCCCTCAGTTCTCCCCCCCCCCCCTTAAATTAGCCAGAAGCAAACAGTGCTAATATTTGATATTATCCGTGGAAGCATAAAGGCACTTTGTACACTTTTATACTTTCCTATTAAACAAACTAGTTACCGTAACTCCGGTATATAAATGTGAACTCCGTTTTTACTATGAAAGGTGTCTATCCTTCCCATGAGTAAATTCACGGAAAGAATCAAATTGACTTAATTTTGCGCAGCTCAGTTAGGCATTCCAACAAATTGATTGCCAGTGAATAACGCATAATCTCTGAAGAGTAAAAAGTTGTATTCTCAATAATAATAATATTATTACTATAGTTAATGAGGATGACGGTTGTTATTGGGTCTGTTTGCTCTCTGACCAACTATACAAATTTTCCTAAAAAGTGCGACAGATGTTGTCGCTGAGTTACGAAGTGCGACAATTATTTATATTACAAGGGGTAGCATTTTTTAAGTGTACAGAGGTCGCTCACATTTTCTCTGAAACTCCTTTTCTAACAATAGAGCGAGAGTGATCAAAAGCAATTGGGAAATATCATCTCCTCGAAATGATATCAATTCTGCAAAGATAGATTTGGCAATAAGTTGTGCCATGAGGCAAGTTGGTAAGGAAAGTTGAATTCATTTTTGTGAATTAATCTATAAAAATATAAAAATTTGTCATGTCTTGTGAATGTTTAGGAACTACGGCAGGCAAACGTCATGACTTGGCAAAAGTGCTTGAGGGTAGTGAATTTTCCTGAATCTGCTCACCACACAACGATATTGCTTTTTATAGAGATATCGTCATCGCAATTCTGCAGATTTAAAAGAATTGATCTGTACGTGCTTGGTTACATTAACCAGTTAGGTAGGTAATTCTGCATAGGTGTTGCAACAGATGGACCTGAGAAGAACTTTGCGTGTTAGTGTACGTGAGGTCATTTTTCCACATGTTCGTTAGGTTATCTTGCATGATCTGCCCTTGAAGTTTTTCTTATTATTTCCAAAAAAAAATTGGGGGGATGTTTATTTTGCATTCTTTTATTTCCATTTTTTCCCTTCCTTTACAGGTCATTCTTGTCTTCTTTCTCATGAGGGATGCTATGTCGTGGAGAAATCAACAGAGACCAACCCATTGGTGGCTTCGTTCTCATTTTAGACTGAAAAAGCCATGTAAAGGAGGCAACCTTATGAAAATTGATACAAACCAATGCACGGTTTCTAACGGGAAGCAGAAGTGCGAGGCAAAATGTAATGGCTGGTATACCAAACATCCCACAACGAGTAAGTAACTGTAACTTAGCTTAATTCATTTAAAGATGATTATTATCTTCTAATTGGTTAAATCTGGTCCGTATTTTAAAATGAAGCTATTTTCGATAGTATTGATCAGTACAACTTCAGATATACATGTAACTGTAGATGTAACTGTATCTGTACAAAAAAAGGTATTAGTTATATATTAAAGTACTAGATAGAAGCATTTTGCCAGATCAAATTTAAGTTTCGTACAAACAAAAGTCATAGATAAGTTTACAGTATCTTAAGTGCTCATTATTTCATGAAGGTTTTTCAGTCTCAACTTAACTTAAAACAAGGAGTCTTTAATAAGAGCATCTTTCAACAAGCTTAATTAAAAAGTTTACAATATTGACTTGTGATAGTTTTCCAAGAGTTTTCCCGATAAAACACTTAATCAAAAATTGAAAACGAGGCGAATGACTAACATACAATTGTTTCCCGCTATGTTCTTGTGAATGACAGCTCTTGGCGCCTTGTGGACATACGTTCGTGCGTTAAATTGTATCGTTACATTTGAAAAACCACTCCAAAAGGAAAGAAGGCAAGAAAACACCCACGATGTCACGAGAGACATGGTTCGCCCACGTATATTTCGTAAATGGATGTGACGCATACAATACATTTAAAATGTATTCTATCAATCAAAAAATCTTTAGTACTACAAAACAAACCAAGTACATACCGGCATGTTTGACACCGTATTACTTCCAGACAAGTTTCTATCTAACCATTGTACTCTTGCAATTTTGAAGGTTTCCAACTGGTTCAATTAAGAAGAAAAAAATGCATTCAATTTTCCGACGACCTTGACAGGAAATTTTCATTAAAAGCTGTCAATGGTACGAGTGTCACTTTTGAGGTGAGTCCAAAGATGATTAATGCTTGTAACTCTCACAGACGTCCAACATTGTTGTTTATATGACATTAGCTATGTAAGTAGCTGATTTAACTCATCGATAGGCTATTATTTCCAAAAGGACTCACTAGTCTACATATTAATTGTTTAAAGATGAATGAAACACACTCTACCAGACACTTGAGAAATCACGTAATAGGCCACTTACGAGCATCCCCGCCCAAATTAAAAGATAAATGTTTGTCAATTGGGGGTAAGAGAACAAAATAGGCATAAAACACGATCAGCAAATTTACCTCTTCCTTCCAGGTTTCAAGGCTTTGATATTTGGATGATGATTTCATCATCATCATCTTTGTTATTATGATTATTAGTATTGTTGGTATTAGTATTATCAGTACTCTTATTTTTACTATTGTTATTATTATTGAAATAAATTTTAACCTCAAGAAAATACTATTTAAAGTCATGATTCGGCATGACTCATGCCATCATCAGTTTACTGAGTTAATCTGTTCTACACGTTACGTTAATATTGCGTTATCAATTTAACACAAATAAGAATTTTGCAATCATAGTACCGTTGCGATAGTTTAAAATAATTAATTAGACATGCGCACTAGCAAGTGAAACATTTAAAGAATCAAACTATGCCAACAAATAATTAAAATTGTTTTTATTGTTATTATTACTTTTATTATCATTATCATTTACAACCTTGGGTACCGTACGAAACGGGAAACCAAAATGTTTCTCTTCGTTTCTCGGATGCGAGTAATTCATTGCTGCTCGACTTTGAGCTGCCAACTGGCGCGCGAGGTACGCACCATTTACTTGAGTTGTAACCAAACGGCGATAAATACATCTCTTTACATCACATTTACAGAAACAGCGATGTACCACTGAAAGCAATTTCCTGTTTGCCGAGAAAAGAGTTGGAAGACTATATCAATATCTACACACGGTCGGAAATACTACTTTGTGCTTAGGCGTACCTGGAGACTGCGGTGTAACCTTATCCCTTATAAGAGCCGATGGAAATGATAGGCGTTGTCTGTTTAGGAAACATAGAAAGCGAATATAAGTTTTTGCTAACAGAACATGCACCATTGGTAATTTGGGGATAATTTGAAAAAAATCGACTTTCTTCATGAAAAGTGGTGTCGTTGTCTTAAAGAGAAACAGTTCTTTACTTTTTACTTCTTTTTAGTCAGGTTTTGGGTCATTTTACCATTAATATTATTGAAATTATACCCTCAAATGGGTACATGAATTATCTCTTTATTTTTCGTGTGGCATGTCACAGACATATTTTATATAGCATTTTTAGGACCCCTTAATTACGGTGTTAGATTGTTACTTGCGGAACAGGATCAAAGCTTTAATGGTTATCAAAAGCATGTCTGCATTCCTTTTTAGGTAATTTTTTTTATGCAGCGTGTATGTTGGCTACAAAATATTTACTCATCTACTTTCCTAGTTACAAATATTACTAGCATCTAAGGGAAAGGTTTGTAATCGATGGCATTCGGTCAAGTATTGAAAAATATTTCAGTGAAGAGAATTATTTAATTTATTGATTACAGTTAACAAGGATAAACATGGCCTATCCAACATTTTCTTCATTCACAACGTTCAAGGAGAAGGAAAGAAAAGAACTCGAACGAAAATATACATAGAAAAAGAAAATTTTTGAAAAAGTTTTTTAATATATTTATTTATAGATATGAATTAGCACGTTAGTAGTTTTTTATATTGTAAGCGCTTATTTTAATATATTTAAGTAAATTTCATCTTGTAAATTTTTGATACGCATTTTTATCAAATAAATAAATACACCTTATTGATATAATAAATAAACGAGGAGGAGGACGGGGTCGAACTCTCCAGGTCTCATACCCTAAAACGAAATCAAGGCCATGTCATTTTCTAGTATCTAGGCTTGCCCTCGTTGAGGTCACTAGTAAATCCTTGCTCGTTGCAGTTCCTCACTCACGTGGAAATGTGCAAAGATCCTATTTAAAGCACTGCATGCTGGCTTTGATTTACGCACCAATTCAAACACCAATTCCTCCCCGTCGAGTTTCTCAGTTTTGACAAGTCTTGTTACTTCTATCAGAACTTCTCTACACAAATTCAAACACAGAAATGAAGGTGGTTTCTCCATGGCTTAGGCGGAAGATATGTGAGGGTAACTTTTATTCCTTCTACTATTAATAGGGCTCAGAAACACTGCCATGCATGGAACCATGCATTCTGTTAAAAAAATAAAGCTTAAAAAGAATACGGTTGAAGGATTCATACATGCATGTTGTAAATATTCCAACGACAGAGACGTCTGACCTAGCCAATTTGTTTTTTTAACTCATCTCTAACCACAAAGAGGCAATATCATCGGCTTTAAGCCTTTTCCAAATTGTGGCATTCCGGTCATTTCAAGGTAATCAACTTGCTTGAGGGCGATTCCTTTTCCGGGATCTTGACTCGCACGCTGAATAAGTTAACCACTTACATAGAATTGCGGTTAGTCCTTTTTATAGGAATTTTATGATGTGCAATCTTGCGTTTATTTAAGAACACTGCAGTCGTTACAAAAGTGTCTAGTCTCACTTCTACGTGGAAGGAGATCTTACAAGATGGAGTTGAGAACAATTTTGTACGCTCACGTATGTGGGTTCATAAGAGAGATTGTTGCTTCCCTAAATCTCATTTTTGTTTACTTAAGTCTGTCTGTTAATTTTTTAGGCTTATCTTTTGATTAGAATCAATTCAATGGTTTATGTTGATACCATTTTATCAATAGGCTATTTTCATGTGCTTCGTGGTTCTTATGATGAAAATCGAATCGAGGACAAGCCTACAAAATCAGACCCTTTGGAGGCTTCAATCTCATTTTAGACTTCATAAGCCTTGTAAAGGAGGTAACCTTGTGAAAATTGCAGTGCAACAATGCACAGTCTTTGAAAAGAAGAAGCGATGCGAGGCAAGGTGCAATGGTTCAAGTACCAAAGACCCCTCAACGAGTAAGTAAATAACCAAACGAATTTGTTTGAGTTTTCTTTCGTCGTTGTTCACGGACAAAAATTTTAACTGAACCAAGATAATGATTTACGCTTTTCCCTTTGGTTACACTGTACCAACTGATCCCTGATTCTACCTTTACGACCATTTGTCTTAAATATGAGCCTTAAATTTGCTGTTATCAGTATAAATTTACATGGCTCCAGTGTAGCAACACTGGAATTCATGGAAATGATTTTGAACAAATTCGCCTTGCCCAGTCCTACTTTCTCCCCCTGATCATTCGAAAACCAAAAACAATTGGCGAGGGGAAAAAAGGTACGTCTTCCAAAATAAATGCATCATCACAGACGTTTGGGGCTGTGTTACGAAGAAACATCTAGCGCAGTCAAAACACCAAAGCTTATAGATAGAGCTTGTGATGGATACCTGGCGATTAACGAAGCTTAGAAACCTACGTGACGATGACAACGTCTTTTTTAAAGAAATGGGCCAATACTATTTCTCTAAACAGACGTTGTCATCATCACGTAGGGCTTAATTCCACCAAATGAAAAATTATCCCCTCGAGGAAACGAAAATCATGATCGTGATGGTATCACATGCAAAACATCTGTTAAATAAATACGTCTGGACGAAGGCACATTATTGGTATCAGGGGAATCGCCTTTTGAGGGGTTAACATCAAATTGTGACTTTCAAAGCAGCTTTTGCCCAAGCTTTCGATTAAAAAAGACTTCCAAATAACTCCTCAAGAAGTTTCCTGTTTATCTGCTTTAAGATATGATATTTTCTATGTCAATATTGCATTTTAAGAAACTTGGTAGCGCAATATTACTCTTCCTGGGCTTAAAATGAATGTGATTGGGTCGAAGTAAAAGATCCTGCAATCTGATTGGTCACTCAAAGTAGACGGAGTCCTCTGATCTGTTTCTTTTATTTTCAGGTTTTTGTTTACGTCTTAAGCTTGAATAAACAGTTACATGAAAAAATATTTATTTGATGCGCATGTTTGATATAGAAAAAAACCATGGTATTAGTCGTTATTATTCAACTGCACAAAGTAGAGAATATCCTTCGATATTGTACGGTTATTTTGACAGTTGGTTATTTTTTATTGTAAAAAAGGCTGTTTAACCAGTCGGCTGCGCGCGCTACGCTTCTCTATCCACTTTGCTTTTCCTACCTTGAGAGAAATGAGCAGAAAAACTTAGCAGGAAAAAAGCAGTTGGATAATAATATCTTATTAGACGTTTTTGTGTGTAGTATCGCTGAGTATTTGTACTCGTTTGTTTATATTCGTATGTATTTTGACTCGCCCTACGGGCTCGTCAAAACATGGCACAACGCGTCAACTCGATACTACACACTAAAACGGCTGATGAAATATATGTATGCGAGGTCTTGATGCGGGCTGTGCAAATTCTATTTGGGAAACGGTCCTTAAGTTTTTCCTTATTCTAAAATTGGAAATCAGCTCATCATTACCAAAGCAGTGAAAGGGTATGGCTTCAAAGTTACCACTCGTTATAGCCTCAAGTTCTATATTTTTTTCTATAAACCAAAATTTTCCTGAAGGCTTGCTTAGCTGCCATATTTTTGAGTAGATAATTCAAATATTGAAAGTTTTCAAATAGAGCAATTCGCATTTCAATTTGCAAGTCGCGCCACTTATGACATAGCAATTTTGGGGCTTAATTCTAGTTTCACAACAAACTTGATTACTAAAACTGAATGCAAATGTCTCGAAATGCACTTTCCTTGAAAATCTTAGAGTATTGAATGCTGTTATTTCATATTTTTTTCGCTGACAAGTGTGTTTTTCATTTCGCGGTAGGATTTGAGTTGTTTCAAAAAGGAGGGAAAATCTGTATCCAGTTCATTCATAACCAAAACATTACATATACATTAAAAGTGGTGAAAAACGCCATGGTCACTTTTGAGGTGAGTATAGCTTTGAGAGGATCGTAATTTAAAATGAATTCACTAAAAAACTGATAAGCATATAATGAAAAAAATTCTTTTGTCAAATAATTTTAATCAATGATATTTATTTACTGAATTTAGAAAGTCCGAATATTAACTCTAGTGCTTCATGATTACAATATAGGGTGTTTCTAGCTGATTGCACATCACCCTTAGAGACACTGACGAAATGACGTCAGTATTTATTCGAACGAAATTTTGTGACCATGCTTGCAGACTAAATACTTTTAAGAAAGCGTCAGTCATTTGAGACAGTGTCCATCCATACGAGGTTATTAACTAGATTTTCAGTCGCTTGTGTAAATGATATTTTGTGACCATGTTTTAAGTATAAATATTCTAGGAAAAGCGTCAGACACATAAGACGTTGTTTATTTGTATGGAGTGAGTGTTATCTGTAATCTTTACATTACTAGCTTCAAAGGAACTTCCCGGCTCAATTGAGTTTTCTTGTGTCAAATTACACTAACAATAGTGATTTGCCCCGTAATGCATAGGAATATGGTTATATGTCGATATGTTTATTTGTTTACATTGCGTTCGCAGGAAGGGCGCTGCGACAGTGTTTCTGATGGCAATATTCTGTTTGACGAGACAAGAATGGGAAGGCTGTATCAATATAAGTACCTAGCTGTTAATAGGACAATGTGCTTAGGTGTACTTAATGACTGTAATTATAACCTAGCCCTTATAAGTACAACAAATGATAATACTGATGGCCGTTGTTTATTCAAAAAACGCAGAAGTAAGCTTTCAGCTACGAAACGACGCCCATCATTTTTTATAAAAAAATAATTTATAAGAAAATATTGAAATAAATATGTTGTCTAGAGGTAACAATTGCACCCTTGGAATTTCAAATATTAAATATTTGGTCTCCAAGGACTAACGTAACAAAGATTCATGTGTTATCATTGGGCTTCAGAGCTAAAAACTTATTAGTCTTGTATGTGTTCATTGACAAGGTAGTGAAAGATTGGTAACGAGTTGAGAGGTCTTTACAATCAATTGCACAATACTTCAAGCCACGATAAGAAAAGTTAGGTCATGTGACTGTAAAAAAGGAAGCAAACCCTCATTTATCCTACCCAAATATAGGAAACCACATTTTCGAAAAGCAAGCCAATATCTCGCCTCTATCAATAAAAAAAGGCCTTGCCAGAGCTTTCGTACCAGCGTTTGTATACGTGCACTTAAACTGATAAGGAGTAAAGCCGCGAGAAGATCGAAGCGGGAGACGGTTCCCCTAGCGGTTTAGGCGCTCCGGCGTCGTTTTTAAGAACACTCAAAACCGCCAGTAACGCTGACTTAACTTGTCGGAGAAGCATGGTTTTAAACATGAAGGAGATAAGATGATTGTATGTTTCTACATATTTATTGAAGTAGTTTTCAGTTAAATAGTAGGGGTATGTAATAAAGTATTTAATGTACAATACATTTGAGACAATTTCAAGATTGTTCAATATTATGAGAATCTTCGCACAACTATATTGATTCTAGATACTATTTTTGTGCCTTATTTTGCTTCTTTTGATATTCTGACTAGGGTTTTTTCCTTGAATCAGTCTTCCTCTCTGAGTCTTCTCCCCTTGCACGCCTTCCTTTCCTTGAGTAGCGCTTGCAGCTTTTACGGGTATGATGCTTCCTTTGTTTAAAATCTGCACCTTCTTGATTGGGATTTTTGACTTTTTGCAACAATTATTTGTAGGACAAATACCAACACATAATTTATCACAAATCGCCGGGCAAACGGGTGCAACATCCGCCGCCGGTACTCCTGGAGGCCCGGGTGGCCCTGGGGGTCCTGGAGGTCCAGCGGCTCCTGGGTCCCCTGGCTGTCCCATCGTCCCGGGAGTTCCCATGGTACCTTGGGGGCCCTTAGGTCCTTGGAGTCCTGGAAAACAAAGCATTTTGAAAATGACCAACTTTTGTTTATTTTTAAATAATTTATTCATTTTTAGTTGTGCGCTAGTTCACCATACTAAGTAGGTATGACCTTTTTAAACATCCTTATGACCAATATACTTTTCAGAAACGTATGTTGCGAAAAAAGGGACTTCTCGTGGAAGCAAAATCGCTTCCTTGCGGAGCGAGCTAATCATGAGTTGGCTATTGGTCATCATATTTGTAAAGGAAAAATGCTTAAGTTGACTAACTTTGCAGTCAAAACGTCTCAAGAGAGACTACACTTTTACTCGTATTTATTCTGCCAGATATAAAAAAATCAAATCTTCTATAGATCACTAAAGTCAATTAGAAATTTAGAACTTGGGTGGGTTTACTGAATGTCGAAAGTAAGTGAAAATGAAATTTCTACAGTTCTGATTGTAATTCTTTCAGATTGGTCTTAAGATAACTCAAAGATAACTCAAACTCTTAAACCAGTTTCGGCATGTTTGAAGCCGTTTACCACGGGTTCTTTTCGTTCAACTCTCGATCGAAAATCTCATTATCCGGAATTCTGTCTTTTGGTTTGATCCGTGTCAGTGTGCTCCACGAATTTCCAGAAGTCGTGTTTCGAGTCTAACCTGTCGGTCCTTGTGCACCAGCTGGGGCACTATAAACTGCAGGTGTAGCCGCTGGTACCTCAGGAGGGCCTGGTGGGCCTGGAGGTCCTGATTGTCCGGCGGCTCCAGGGTCTCCCATGGCTCCCATCGCTCCCTGGGGCCCTGATGGTCCCTGTAGACCTGTCAGAAGTATAGTTGATTATGTTAAAATGATGCCGTGAGAAACATTAAAAAATCCATAAATCCAGAGCTGTTTTTTCAGCAAAATCTTTCAACGACTTAGTGATTCTCAGATAGCAGATTAGAAGTTGCACTCAATTTCCAGGGATAGAAATGGGGATGGCCTGTGACATTTTCCACGACGGATTACAAGATACTTATCTGAACATGACTTAAAGCAATATACTATTGGGACAGTCTGCTATTCCTTGTTTTTGTTTTTTAATCATTTTTGATGTCACTTTTTACGTATGAAATAATTAAAGTGCTTCTCTCACAATCATGCTGATTATTAGTTTTTGAGTGTCACTATTAGGTTAAATGACGCGGTAAATCATTTTCAAATTGAACTTTTAATTAGGAACACTAAACACACAATTCGCAAGTCTTTCAACCAATTTTGATAGAAGATAACCTTTCTTACCATGTTGGCCTGGTGTACCTGTTGGTGCACCATAAGCTGCAGGCGTCGATGCTTGTGCCCCAGCGGGGGGACCTGGTGGCCCTGGTGGACCCGGAGGTCCTGCTTGTCCGGCAGCACCGGGATCTCCCTGTTTTCCCCTAGCTCCCATGGCCCCCAATGCCCCTTGAGGACCTTGGGGCCCCTGAATTCCTAATGGAAGTTTTTATTGTTAATAATATACTGCAATTGATATCATAAACCTATTTTAACATGAGTTGAAAAAGAAAAAACCAACATGACACATATATTAGGCAATCAGGATATTGCTTGAAATAATTCTTATGTAGTTCAAACGTTCTTACCAGGTTGGCCTGGTGTACCTGTTGGTGCACCATAAGCTGCAGGCGTCGACGCTTGTGCCCCAGCGGGGGGACCTGGTGGTCCTGGTGGACCCGGAGTTCCTGCTTGTCCGGCAGCACCGGGATCTCCCTGTTTTCCCCTAGCTCCCATGGCCCCCATTGCCCCTTGAGGACCTTGGGGCCCCTGAAGTCCTAATGGAAGTTTTTATTGTTAATAATATACCGCAATTGATATCATAAACCTATTTTAACATGAGTTGAAAAAGAAAAAACCAACATGACACATATATTAGGCAATCAGGATATCGCTTGAAATGATTCCTATGTAGTTCAAACGTTCTTACCAGGTTGGCCTGGTGTACCAGGTGGTGTACTATAAGCTGCTGTAGTCGACGTTTGTGCCCCAGTGGGGGGACCTGGTGGTCCTGGTGGACCTGGAGGTCCTGCTTGTCCGGCAGCACCTGGATCTCCCTGTTTTCCCCTAGCTCCCATGGCCCCCATAGTCCCTTGAGGACCTTGGGGCCCCTGAAGTCCTATAAAAAGTTTTAATTGTTAATGATAGATCGTAATTAATATCATAAACCTGTTTAACCATGGGTTAAAAAAGAAAAAGAAAACCAATATAAAACTTGTATGGCCAATCAGGAAATCTCTTGAAATCATTCTTATGTAATTCAAACTTCCTTACCAGGTTGACCGGGTGTACCTGTTGGTGCACCATAGGCTGCAGGTGTTGATGGTTGTGCCCCAGCGGGGGGACCTGGAGGCCCTGGTGGACCCGGAGGTCCTGCTTGTCCGGCAGCACCGGGATCTCCCTGCTTTCCCCTTGCTCCCATGGCCCCGATTGCCCCTTGAGGACCTTGAGGTCCTTGAGATCCTAAAGGTAATAACATAAATTAGGGAAAATAAATTAGTATTTTAAAAATTCTAGAATAACTGGAACTAGAGAAAATATTTCAGAACGTAGTGGTTACTCTCTTTCAAGTCACTTAAGATTTTATTCAACCTCTGACCTGCAGGACCTGGCACACCCGTTGAGGCATTGTCATTTGTGGAAGTTCCCGCTGGTACCCCAGGTAGACCCGGTGGACCCGGAGGACCCGGAAGTCCGGCTGCCCCAGCTTCCCCTGGATCTCCCGGACTTCCCATAGCCCCCATGGCTCCGCTTGCTCCTTGTGGGCCTTGTGGTCCTTGAACACCTAGTTCGGAGGGAAAGTTCAGGTATGAGCTACGGTCGTTGTCAGTTTGACCTTTGACCTTGTAGACTTTCATCTTTCACGAACAAACAACTCGTCTCATTTCCATCGCCCCAAAGTTTAAAATATTTGAAAAGAGTGGTTTAAGGGGGCAGTGCGCGTAACGACACAACATCTTTTTCATCTCCATATAACAAAATGTGCATGAAATTATGGCTACAACTGCATTTTGAGGTTGCGAAGAGCTACATATCGACTATCGACGCCTCCATTTTGAATCTCGTCCAGCAACTCGTCCGCTATTTACTAATTGGCGAACTGCTTGAAGAATTTGAAATTCATCAAAAGGGCATCCTGAAAATTTTCAGCAATATCAGGGGCGCCCACAGGCTGTTTATGAACCTTGTTTTTTAGGTAAGAATGTGCTGCCGAATTACTTAGCTGTTCTTAAAGTGTCGGCGTCCATAATAAAAACCTGGAACACATTTGAAAAGAGATTTTTTAAATGGGTAGGCTTGTGACCAAGGTGAATATTACATGGTTTCTGGAAAAAACTTTTGCTCTGAGGCAACACAAATAAACGTAAACAAGAGTTTGTTTCACGACCTGCCCTTATGATGCGTCTTCTATTACAAAAGACAGGAATAGTTTTCGATTCATCACTATCGTCATCGATAGTGTCCTTTTCATTGTATTGTTGTCGACTTTTCCTCAGTCACTGTCGTTATCGTCAACATTATCATGATTAAGTACTGAATTCTATTTCAAGAGGCTAAAGTTCTTACCTGCCTGACCTGGTGTACCACCTGGGGCTTCGTAAGATGTTACTGTGGCTGGTGCTCCAGGGAGACCGGGAGCTCCGGGTTCCCCAGCTGCTCCTGGGTCCCCTGGACTTCCCATGGCTCCCACATGACCTATCGCAATTTCATGGTATTATTAAACAAGGTAAGAGTGCTACGTTAGATTTTTTTGCAAATTGTAGCGATTTGTGCCAGTTAACGGTAGCGACAAGTAGGCACACCATGTATATTTCATAGTCACTATCAAGTAAATTTTGGCGGAGCGTTTTGAGCATTTTCCCTATTCGTTTCACCTCTCTTTAGGAGATGGATCGCGGCAATGAAACACTACATTTATTTTTAGGTACGAAATTATAATACAACCGACCATCGACCAACTCACCATCTGCACCTGGTACACCAGCTCTTGAACAACAGTCGCTTGGGCATGTACTTACACAGATTGTCTCACAAATCTCAGGACATGTTGGAGGAGGAGAGGTGGCTGGAATTCCTGGAAGTCCGGGTGGTCCAGGGGGACCAGGTGGTCCTGCCAAGCCCGGATCTCCCATTTCCCCTGGATGCCCCATTGCTCCCGCAGGTCCATTATCACCATTTGGTCCTTTTGGTCCTGATTGAATGGGAAAAAAAAAATATATATCTATATATATATAAATGTGGGGGTAGAGTCTACCTTGGCATAAAGTGCTCAATGCTGTGGTAGCAGAGCGGAGAATATATAAGTGAAAGAATCAAAGAGGACGCATCGATTCTCTGTTACTCTGAGTTTCGCGCCTAAGCGCTCGTCAGACAGAACTTTATTCAGTGAAGAACATACCTCCTTATATACAAATTAGATAAGTAGCTAATTAATTCACAAATGTGATGATCTGATCTACATGTGAAATAAAGATTCTATAGAGCTATTGTTGGCGGCTTGTGAAATTTGGTAAAAAAAATTTTTCTCGTGGCGGCATTTAGAAATGAGTTCTGTTCTTTTGTTTAATAAAGACGGCTTCTTAGCTCTAACTAAATAAAGTTTTTGTGTGAGGCACAAGTGGCACCGCTTGTTTTTGTTGCTGTAGGCCGGGGCGGTCGCTAAAATACTCCAGTTAATTGTAAAATTGGTGTTGTTGTCTTTGAGTGTCCAGATATGCTTTGATAGTTCCGTGCTGTTTGAATAGTTTCTGTTCCGAAAAGAAAGTTTGTGTTGCGTGTAACGTTGTTTAAAAGTTCCTTCAGTTAGTCCAATGTAATTCTTTCCGGTTGTGTCACTTTCTGTTGTTACGTTGGCGTTGTAGACGACGCTTGAAGTGAGGCAGTTGTTTTTCAGAGGGCAGTCGTTTTTTTGCTGCAGTTGCATTTGTTTTCCGTGGAGGGTGTCTTGTTTGTCGCGAGGATTTTTCTGTTGTGTTTCTTAATTATGGTTTGTAGGTTGTCTGTGCAGCTATAACTAACTTTCATGTTGTTTTTGTTGAAAATTTTGCTGTACCGGTGGTTTTTCGGAAAATGTTTATTGACGAGGTTCAGAAACTCTCTGCCGATGTTTGTTTGTACGTTCATGCTGTAGGGCGGATTAAACCAAATTATGTTTCTTTGTCTGTTCTTGCGGCTGTTCTGTACGGTGTGAGTTACAGGTTTCTTGCGTTCAATGTAGATTAATTCTTCGTCGTGTCCACTTTGTTTAAGTGCACTTTCGCAGTGTGGTTTGGCTTTGTTAAAGAGTTCTTTGCTTAAGGAAATGTCGGTGATTGAACTGAGTGGAGTGCAATTTGGTCTGAGATCATACGAGTGATTTCAAAATAGAACGAGCGCGCAGCGCGAGTTTGATTGGAAACCATGAGTATGATTTCAGACCAAAATTGCCCAACACTTAGTTCATTCGAAGTGTACAAAAACAAATTGAAAAAAAACAAACAAACAAACAAACAGAAGAGGACATTTTTACTAACCTATAAAATATCTGGATCAACAACTCGACAAAAACTTTTTTTTCAACTGATTGTGCAGAATTTTGATACGTACATTGTTTACAATGTTTGCTCAAAAACAATACGTACATTGTTTACAATGTTTGCCAAATAAGCTGATCAAACTGACTTTGGATAACAGTTAGCTTGATCGAATGTCGAACAAAAGGCAAAAGTACAAATGCTAAAGAAGAAGGATTACCTGAAGGGCCAGGGGCAGCTGGCGGACCCGGGGGCCCAGGGGGGCCAATAGGACCCATATCGCCAGGTTCTCCCAAACTTCCAGGTTGTCCTGGATTTCCAGAGGGTCCCGGTGTTCCTTTGAATGTATAGAGCAAGAGCTTGTATTAGTTCATAATGCCATGACTGATCATCCTTAGCTCTTTACCAAGACTAAATACGAGTTTTTCAAATTAAGTCACCGATTAGTAACAGGAGCGTGGCACTGACATTAGACACTTTCGCTGACAAAGAGTGTCGAAACCGTTAATTTACTAATGTAATGGACCCCAAATGTATTATCAGCACTAATTTTAAGTAGTTGAATTTTGATTTTGTTTTTGTTCATTGATTTGTATGTCATGTTGTTTACATTTTTATGTTTGCTCGTTTTCCACAAGCTTCCAAAAACCTTTCTCAATTTACTGTGATAATTTCTTTCAAGATCGCCGCAACTTCAACTTACCTGGAGAGCCAGCCGGACTACCTGGAGCTCCGGGGAATCCAGGAGGCCCCGGAGGACCGGGTGGTCCGGGTATTCCCTTTGGTCCATCCGGCCCCGGTGGTCCACTAGGACCAACTGGACCATCAGGCCCGGGGGGTCCGGGTTGAGGTGGAGGAGGGGGTGGAGGTGGTGCAGGTGTGTAGTACTGGAAGAAGTTACAACAATCGGGCAAGCATTCAGGAAAACAGTACGAAGGGCAATCGGAGCCACAAGGAGAGGCGTTTCTTCTGATATCTGGAATAAAAGCAATGACTTGTAATCAGGCAAGGAAGATTTAGGTTCCAAGAATAACGTATGGAGAATAATAGGAACAGCAATTGAAGTTTTTTTGCTGGTCAGATTAGCATATATCTGAGTTGCGCTTCAGCTGCGGTTTCTATACGATCAATCACATAATTCCTAATGTTTTAAAAACTGGCATGATGAAGGTGATCTGGGCTATTATATGGAAACCAGGAGCTATAAGGAGCCCAACTGCAAATGTATTCAAGCCTTACAAGGCGGAATTTCAGCAAAAATAATCATTACTATTCTATAGTAACAAAGTTCCCTCTTGGTGTTCACAAACAAAGTCGGTCTTGTATGTCAAAAATCGATTAGTAATGTTAGGTTGACCCGCATATTAAGCTGTCTTGAAACGTTTCCCTAAGATGTGATATAACCGTTTTAATTGTAAATATAAAACGTGAAACGATTTGTTGTTGTCTGATTATAATTAAATTAAATCATTTAACTCCCACGAGTGACCAAGATATAATTTCTCTTTACAATATCATGCAGACAAGTGATGAGAACAAAGAAGAAAAAAATTCATTAAAGGGATTATCAGTCGATCCAATACCAAGTTCTCCGAACTAACATTATAAGAATTGTATGGAAGTCAGTAAGGAGAATTATTGATGAGATCTTGAGCCTGAAAATGTTAAGAAGTCAGTGTGATAGTCTAACCCTTTTTCAGCGCCAGACGACCAGTAACAGATGCACATATCATCAAACATATTCCAAAACTAAGAAGGAAGGACCAGTATTTCCCATCCATGCGTTGCTGGTTGCTCTAGGAAGCGAGGATACGAATGGCATTGAGTTAGTTTTTGTTTATTTCTTAAAAAATCTTGTATTTCCTGTGTTTGGCTTTAAGTATCTTTCCCCATTTACCAAAGAAGGGAAATATTATTATGATTAAGAAGGAGTCATAACATTCTAGATATGACTACCTACGTGATAGGTTATGAAAATAATTCTAAGGAGTAAAAGCATGATATAATCGGTCATCTAACTCTTTAGTCAACCAAAGCCTTTGTAGGGAAGCTCTAGTTCCACCTCACAGATGTAGTTAAGGTGTTACGTAAAACTAAAGGGAGAGGAATTTCTTCTTCTGATGTGTGGCATTCGTTTCAGGAAGGAAGTATTTATAGATATGGCCTATAGCTAGATTATGCAAAGACTAAAAGAAAAGGACAAAAACTTCACAGAAATGGTAAAAGATATTTACCATATGGAAAAAATGAATGAACAGAATAAGCGTGCTGATGTTTATTCATAACACCAATGCATGCGTAGAAATATCCCTTACGAACTACATCTCCTCTTGTACGTAGTCAAAATATATAGTTTTTAAGGTTAGACATTACGCACTTACTTTGTTCCAAATTCACTCCCGTTACCACAGAATCCTTAAAAGCTTTTTCAGAACTTTCTTTTGAGATATCAGATGAAACTATATTTCCAGTCTTATTCAGCTTTGTTTCAAAAGTCAACCTTTTAATATTTAACAAACCAGCAAGGTGTAAGTAGTTCGTCTATTTATCTTATTCGGGTACCATAAAACTGGTGGTGAAATAGAGATACTCTCTCTACCTGTTCCGACCAATTTCAAATGTCGTGGATTAAGAGAATTAAGTTCCTGATCAAGGAGAAATTTCCACATTTGTCTTTCAGTCACCCGGAGACTGAATCAAGAGGACACCTCGGCTAAAAAAGAAAAGGAAGAAGAAACTACCGTAACTTGAGGAAGCGGTTACGAGAGTGAGTAAGAAGACTCAAGCGGAAACTCCTAGGGATTAAACAAGTCTGTAATTAGAGCTGGCCGCTTATGGAAAATTGTGAGAGGCTTTTAACCCAGCTGAATGATGTGACCTTCCGAAGTTGGTCATTCTCAAGATCTGTCAACATATCGGTTACCAGAGCTGACTGGCATTAACTGGGGTTACTGCGAACAATTCGGAGTGGCTAATTGAAGTGAAGAAGAGAAAGCTTTCGTCAAGAAGAAAGATTGAGTCCGCAACTGACGCTGAGCGCTAACACATGGTTCATGAGAAATTCTTGATAAGGGATTTTGTTGCGACATCACGGTGATTTCTGAAGTGCTGTCTGCTACGTGCTCGTAAAATGATATCGTTGTGAGGACCTTCCAATGTAAAAGGCAAACTATCGGCACAACTTTTAATCAAGTAGAGGTATGATCCTCGCGAGTAAGTTCCAATCATAAAGAAAGACAAGAAGGCTGAAAAAGTGGACGCCACTGTCAACTGAACTACGAAATCAGTTGTTGGTAGCGGGGTAAACTGTAGTAGGTTCTTTGTTCCCATAAAGGAATACAATCACAATTAATTTTCATGGTATACCCTGGAGTTACAAAGAACTTAAATCCTAACGGTGATTGTTTCTTACATTGTCTCGATTTTCTTCAAGGAAGGCATTGATTTAAGTGAAGACACAACAACAACGACAAATAGCTAATAGAACGCGGTGAATCGAAAGCCCCCACGGCAGTGCATATCGAAGAAGCGAAAAGAAACACGTGTAAAGAGGATTTTGAAACGAATTTAATCTTCTTTAATGGCCATTTGCATTAAGTACTCCACAGCTTTGTGCGCAACGTAATGACCTTTTAATTGTTTGAGAGAACAGTCGCTAAGAGTAATAAGCCATTAAAGGGAAGGATTAGGTACTTTATGTCGGAGTACTTCATGTATCCAAGATGTGAGGGTTAAAGATTTCAGAAGTTTACTCTGGTTACATCTATAAGAAAGCCGCAGTCCCTTGCTGAATCCTGCGTATCCTACCTCGTGCATTCTGATAACTCCCTAATCTTCTTAAATCGCTTTGTGTATTAAGTTATACACAACTTTGTGCGCAACGCAATTGCATACATTGTTCTGCTAGTATTGTTTGTTTTGTCCAATCAGCATTTTGTTACACTTAAAATTCAACTTTGTACTTTGTAAAATCAGAACTGAAGATGACAGAAGAACTGTCGAAACATGTTTTTCAAAAGTGTCGTTTATTTTCTTAAATTCGTTACATATCTGCTGCTATCCAAAAGCTTCAACAATGTCAATAAGTTATTGCTAACGCTGAAACGTAAAGCTACTTCAAAAGGGGTAAGTTCTGAAAGAAACTGTGAAGCTGTATTTGTGGTGATATTACAAGATAATTTAGCTTTATCAGCAGAGTGGGTAATGTAAATTTGCTATCGTATAGTAGTTTATTAAGCTGACGTTTCGAGTGTTATAGCCCTTCGTCGGGACCCTAGTTAACTGTTTCCCTCAGTTTTTATCATTTGCTTTGGTTTTGAATTTGTCGAAAACTTCAAGAGCATGCATCTGAGCTTCACGGAAGTTTACAATTGGTTTTTAATCTGTCCATCGGCCGAGGTGATCGCCTTGGAAATCAATTTTAAAACATCTTCATTGTAATTTCAGTCGATGTTATTACATTTCTGAAGAATTTTCGGATTATGTTTTTAAATCCTCGAGACACTGAATAAAGCAAAAGCAATACATATTTAGGTCATCGGTTTTTAATAATCTTCCCCGTAAACGCGCTTTAACTCAGAAAACAAAAGGAGTAACCAGTCTCTTGTCAACAATGCAAAGATAAAGCGCGTCAAGTGAAATTTATTTCATGATGCTTGCCATTTAACTTTGCTGTTGTGTTATCCACGGCAAACGATTATTTGTTTATTTCACTATTTAGCCTCCCCTGACCTCTATATTTTCCGAAACACGCGAAAAATATCGATTTAGCATTTGAAAAGGTAATCAAATTGAATCTCCCGCAATGATTTCGCTGCGTGGGATTGTGAGATAAATGCGTTTAATTTGCCCTGATCTCTTTCTGGGCATATGTCCCTTCAAGACCTTCAGTCTTTCGGCAGATATTTTGCTAAGTAAATAATTTCAGCCTAACAAATTTCCGTTCATTTTTCTTCTCAGACAATCTTTGTATATCTATCAATTATCACAGAACCAATGGTTTATTGAACTAGAATATCTTACAATGGAAATATCCTACAGGGATAAATGCGTTCAAAATCAAGAACGATGTTGGCACTGGTCAATTTAAGCGTAACTAACCATTTTTATTTGTGCACATCAATAACGTGTCCAAAGTGAATGTAATTTGAGATGAGAAATTGACGGCTATGTTTTGTTAAAAATGATTTTTTCCGAGCCAAAATAGCTGACAGTTCTAAGAAAAAAATGAGATGAAATTTTTGAGTTAAGTTATTTTATCGCGTCCCTTGAGGAGCCCGTTTCCGAATAAAAAATAATCAATGCTGTAATGTAATTCCCTGGAGTGCACAGCCGGTAGAAGTTTAGAACCAACTAGAAATTTAAGATTACAGATTTGCCGACAAACATTGTTTGATTAAGTTAATAATATTCACATCTTATTAGGAACATTTGCCAAAAAGTAAGCCATAATACAAATTGCCTCCGCATCGAAGGGAAGGGGTGTTTTTTCCTGCCGATGTAAAATTCGAGGATATTTTCGACAGGATCGTTGCAGCTACGATTTGGAAGAGAAATTAAGTACCTATGGCCACTTTTCCCGTCAAAAGGTTCATCTTATGTGGAGCTGTCATTGGCGCCCTCTGCAGTGGTAAGTGAAGTGCAGCTTATGAGTTTCCCATTTGTTAGACACTTTTCCGCAAAGTAATTCCTTCCTAGGAAATGAAGAATGCATGTCTACATCAATATTCTAACCTAAATTTACTCATGTTAGAGAGACAACTCGGTTTTTCATCTCATTTTTTCCGTCGTAGACTCATTTTAAATCATCCATCGATGTGTTGACAAATTTTAAAGTCTCTTTCGCAAACATTTCAAGGCTTAAAACTCATTACTAATGTATAATAAGAAAAGTAACGGCTTTTCCTGGTCGCAAACAAATTTTTTTTTTGGCCCGTATAAATTTTCCAAGGAAACAAATTTTAGGGAGAAAGTTTAATCAAGATTATAGCCGGATACATTAAATTTCAGTGATTGACTGAGATCTTAGAGCTATGCAAATTTTGAGATTTGTAGGTCTAATGCAAAAGAAATAATTCTAATGCGAGTGTAAGTGATTATTCTATGTTGTATTTTGTTTGGAAAGATGGAGTGTGTATAGCGTAGATAACAGAGCAGAACTGGAAATGTCTGGCTAATGCAGCTTGAATTGGTAAAAAAATGAAATGAAAACATTTACCCTGATTTAAATGTTGTTTTCGTATTTTTTTTCGCTGATAAGAAAACATAACTGATGGATTGTATGATGCATCTAGAAATATTGTTGGCCTTTTATGAATGGCGGTGTATTTCACAGTCCAAAAGTTGTAACTTGACACAATCGTGGGTTGTGATACGACACCGATCGTTGAACTAAAATGAAGACGTCTGAAGTTGAAAAACATCTGCTCAATAGTGTTTTGTTTCCGTGCTCATGAATATGAAAAATCAATGATGGACTTCATAGCTTGTTTTTAAAAAACTGTTTTCAGATTTAATTGGTGACTTGAAACAGACTGCAAGAAGATCTTAGGTATTTTGACTGACCTAGCTTGATTTCCTTTAAAAAAAGGTACTGAACATTGCAAATGCTCACAAGTTGACCTTGACAGCCACTAGGTAGATTCTCGAACGAAGTGTATCCAGACAAATTTGAGATATTTCTCCGAAATAAAAACTAAATAAGACTGATAAATATGGTTTAAGCCAAAAGACATCTGAAAAGAAAGATATGAAAACAGCTTTGTCGGTTTATGTAATACCGAGATCAGATTTAAGAAAAGGAAATGAGTAGTGTCGAATTTAAACGTAGGCATGTTACGCATGCACGAATTATTTTTTTTGGAGAGGTGGGTTGAAATGGGGCTCTGAGGAACTAATGTTTGCATTTTTGTAGGAGGAAAAGAGCATTTACTTTCAAAAGATTCCAATGACAATATCGTTCACTGGAGAGCAAAAAAGCCTTCTATTTTATCTGAAATAAACTCAGACACAAATATTTTATGGTCTATTGCCACTGGTGTCTGAATAATAGTTAGCTTCCTGAAGTCTCCTTCACAGCCGTGTTTGGTCTCGTCACGCAACGGGCACTCCCCCCGCTTACTGCCAGTATTTCATCAGAGACAAAATCAAAATTATTCACTTACAGCTGGTTGCCTAAAAAATAACTATCCACATGATGATGCAGTGGGAAGTAAACTGAAACTCTCTTTTATCTCAAATGGCCTCTCACCAAAGACATTTTGCGGTCTCGAACAAAATACTAAACGGAAGAAAAGTATCCTATTTCAAATGCTTTTACATGGGCATAAAAACGTAGGCTCCCTATTCGGTTGTTACCCATCTGGAATTTGCCCCGTGCGTGCAATACGTAATGAAATGCAGTGATGTAATAAAGGCCAAGGTTGCTAAAAGCGAATTTTATTGGTGGAAAACGTTTGAGCACGCGAGCATTTCTCATTTCTAATAACAGTAGCATTCAGTTCCAAGTAAAATTTTTCCAATAAGGTGGGGTTATGTTATAAAGTTTAGGTTGTTTACTGGAAAATGGCATTTCATATGAGAAAGTCCAGACCTTAGTGACAAGTAAATACGTACTTGTATCGGGAAAATTCCATTTAAACACAAGAAGAAATTCATGGACAACTTTCAAAAGCAAAGAAATGGATATTTCACGTCGCAGTCGACGCACAAAGCAAATATAACCTGCTAATTTTTTTCAATTTTCGCCAAAAGAGCAATCACAAGGCTAAAACAATATTTTCGATCAAATATACTTTATGCAAATGCTTTGCGCAATTTTTACTTGAGCCAGCAAAACCAGCCCTTCCAAAAGAAACAAACTAGTGAAAATTTCGAGTTAGGTACACAAAACACGCTTCCTTGTACATGATAGAAAATTCCCTGACGACCTTTTTAGCTCCAACAGATCACAGCGACGAAGTCCTTAGGATGGACATGAATCATCACATTGGGCTACATTGAGCTCACAATTCTTTGTTTATGTTATTCATGGTTTGTGCCAATGTTGGGTTGATTCCAACGCAATATATTGCAGTACCCTAACTTCATGATTGGTATGACGCTCTCATTGGTGCAAGATGTTTACTCAAAAATTATGTATTTCGCCACAACCTACAAATGAAAATGAGGTTTGCAAGAGATATTTTTCTTCATGCGTTGCTGTTATGAAGTTACAGGTTTTAAGTGCTGTGGTGAAATTTGCTGTACTGTGAAAAAACTCCATAAGATTTGTTTTGAAGTAATAAAACAAGTAATGGCCAAAAACGTGGTCTGGCGGAAGCAAAAAAAAATTGTTATGAAAAATTGTTCTACTGTTAAAAGTATAGGATATTATTGCCCTTGAACTTGAAGTTTCTCATCATGTTCTTTTTCTTTTTTCTGTTAGCTTTACAGCAAGTCGAAATCTTTTGCAATATACACAAGGAGAGACAGGTTATAGCGAATCTCCAAGAGACAGTGTTTTTCAATTGCTCTGTCCTCCGTGGGAGACCAATGAGACAGATTACATGGAGCAAGGAAGACAATGGAAGGAAACTTCAGGGGCTTTCCACTTTACCATCCGAATCAGTACCAGGGCTCTGGTCGAGCGTGCAAATAAGCAATATCAGTGCAAAGGATTATGGGAGATATAGATGCGAGGTGTCAAAGGACAATGGAACTGACGTTTGTTCAGTAGTTCTCCATGTTAAAAGTGAGTTTATATCTTCTTTTCCGCTGATGGTTTCAGTTGTCTTTCTCTATTTAATGCATGGAAATTTGGCTATAAATTTCATTCAAGCAGTGTTCTGCGAAAGTCATTTCATCCATTGTTTCCAACACTTTATTTTCTATTTTACAACCAGCCCATCCACATTTCTCAAAAGCAAGAGGATTCTTCACCACAACCCCGCAAATTCTTTTAGAAGGTCACAATCCTGTATTCTATTGCTACGCCAGCGGTTGGCCAAAACCATCCTTCACCTGGCTTAAGGATGAAGTGGTAGTAAAGGATGGTGACGGTAATCATTCTTACGGGTTAACGAAAAGAAATGGCTTGCTTCTCAGTGGTCTGGACTTGGAGATTTTTTATGTTAGACAGAAGGAAGATGAAGGACGATACACATGTGTAGCAAAGAATAAATTTGGCGAGAAACGTTATCAAATCAAGCTTTTTGTAAACAGTAAGAAATTCAGGTTCATCTGTCTTGCTTTATCAGTCAAAAAGTGACAATTCAGAATTTAAAGTCTCTGATCGAAACACCTTCCAGTGCAGTTCTATGCATGTATTCCATGTTTTCTGTAGGTGTCTTCTGACGATAGTTTCTTCATACTTTATTATGGAATTATTTGAAACTTTATCATGTAGCCACCGCAATTCCCATGACTTGCCTTTGTTCCTCCACTTAAAATAGCCTGGTTATCATTTTCCTTTTCTCTTGAGAGTTCTATCTTCACAGACTGCAAACACTAAAACGAGACCCTTTTTACCCAATTGAAAATAGCCCTATTTTATGTGCTTATCAATTCAAGTCAAACTAGCCTTATAATGCAGATCTGATTGTGGTCATAAGGTTGCAGGTATATCATCCAAACTAAAACTTTCTGAGATAATTTAGATTTAATGATGGTAATTGGCCAAGGTAAATATTTTCTAAGCTGACGTGTCGTACGTTGATCCTTCGTCATTTTTCTCTGCCACGCAGGACTAACGATTGATACGTTAGCTTAGAAATTTTCTAGGGTGGTCAACTTACGTTATCAACTCAGTTAATGAAAGCAAATTATCTTGTAAAAACCCTTCACCGACGCAAACCCACGGTCTCTTTATAAAGTAATCCATTTAAGAATTTTTGAACGGTTTAGATCAGTTGTAATGACTCTCTTTTGCTCTTCTGCTCAGAAAAGTCCCAGTCTCAACCAAAAGTCCATCCTTACGCATCTATCGATCAAGTAACCATTAAGAAAAGCGACAATGCTTTATTGAAGTGTGTGGGGGAGAATACCCCAAATTCAACCACAGTTGTCTTCTGGGCGTTCAAAGGAAAGACATTACCCCTGGACGGTAACAATGGGCTGCATCATGAGTCAAACTACGTCTTTTTTGAGGAGCATTCCATTCCAAAAGTTAATTTCTCATTGCTGATAAAGAACGTCACGGAGCAGGATACTGGGGCATATCACTGTAAGGTCTTAACTCTAAAAGGAAGCGACTCTGGTACAATTCACTTGAATCTTGTTGAATTAAGTGAGTACGAGCAACATGTAACGTTAAAGTAGTGGATTTTTAAGCCCTTGAAAGAGGCGATGGCCTAATCGTTTATCCGGGTCGAGACGTCCCCATTCAAGAAGTGGTCGGTGGTTGGGGAGAGTTCTTGTGCAAGTCAGCATTGTGTAAGACAACTGCGAGAAAGCATTCTGTGAGACAGTATTGTGCAAGATAGCATTTACAAGACAACATACACTCAAAGTGCCTCGCTGCGCACAGGAGTATGAAAGGCTACTTACAAACTGTTGGGGTGGGGGAAGGGGGATGGAGGAAGGGGGGTGACCTATGAAAGGTAATCTCCGAAGCTTTGAATCATCGCCCGTAGTTCCACCTCATAATGTTTCTTTAGAATGTGCTGACCATTCGCCTGTTTTATTCCTTTTCAAGATGAAGTCAAAGATTCTCGGGATGGGCAAAGCAAAACTTCTTTGACAGAGTTCCTGCTGGTAGGCGTCGGAATATTTTTCGGTCTGCTGACGGCTGCTATCGTTTATCGACAATGGAAGAGGAGCAGAAAACATCGGAAACGCAAGTGTTGAGTTTACCTCTTTCCTTGCACCGTTGGTGTACTTTTATCATACTTGAATTTCGTTTGAGACTGTTTATGCGTTGATGTCGTCAGTACACAAACCAAAACATCCCAAGTTTGACCAAAAAGCCAAAAAATGGGAGAGGATATGAATAATAACATAACTGCACATGGAGCGCATTATCTGATTGGTCGCTCAGCTTTCCAAGACCGTGTTTTATCAGGCTATTAAGTTCTGTTATGATGACAAAAGTAAGAAAAAATAAATCTTGTCGTAAGTAAGCTTTCCTGCAGTTAAAGCGAAGGGAAGATAAAAAGTTTCCACTCTCAAATTTCCGCCAAGAAAAAAAAATTACATCTCACCGAAACGGTTGATAAAATTGCAACTGAAGGTCGAGCCGTAGATTTCGAACTTTGCCGCGCAGTAAAAGAGGAAATAGCCGTTACAGAAACGGTAAAGTTCTCTTTTCCATTGCTTCAAGGAACTGGTAGCAGTTAATGAATTGAAAGATCGTTTAATTCTTTTATTTTGTTGGAAGTCTTTCAGTGTTTACAAGGAATCGAAAACAACAAAGCAAGAATAAGCTACACAGCTTCATAAGTTCTTGACATTTCCGTTTACTACACACGATTTAAGCAAGTAATATACTGAAATTCGTTGACCTACGTATGTTTTGCTGCTTCTCTTAATGTGGAAAACGTCTTACTGAAAGCTCTTATTTACGCAAAGATGATGAAAACAGAGAAAATATTCGAATGTGGATGGCGACGTTTCGACTTCATTCGGCAAGTATTTTTTTTCGGGATTGACGCCGACTGGGTACACGTCACCCTTCAGAAAGTTCTTCTCAGCTCTGATTGGCTAGAACTCCAAAGCTGATGATCCACATAAGTTGTCACCCTAAAATCGTCAACTAGGTCGGTAAAATAGGAATCCCAGAAGCACGGATGCTGACTATCAAGAAGCACAATCAATCAGATACGCCAGTCACAGATGTAGAATATTAGGCAATCACAGCTGAGCAAAAAAAGGTTTCTAAGGTTACCTTAATAATACCTAAAGAAGCCTCGCAGTATGCAGTCAAAACTTCGCAATTCACATTGGAAGTGACTATATTGTAAGACAAACGATTATAATTCCTAAAAAATTGCGTGTTTCTTGCCTGAGATTTATAAAGTGGGATGTTAGAAGAACACTTGAATGGTTAATAAATCACCCATCTCACAACTACTGATTTACAAGGTTTTTCTCGTGTTCTCCCAACAACCTGCGTGACTTCATTATCATGTTAAACCCAGAGGACCGTACCAAATACTTATCATCTTGTTATGCGTTCCCTCTTCAGATAACACTAAATCGAAGGACTTTCAGTACGACGTATTTATCAGCTTCAGTACCCTGGACTACAATTGGGTGAGAGACAACCTTACACCTGTTTTGGAGAGCAAGCGAATCAATTACTGTATTCACAGTCGGGACTTCATTGTTGGAAAGGCTATAATCGAGAACATTGCAGACAGTATCTATAATAGCAGAAAGGTACTAGCGGTCATTTCACGAAATTATCTTGACAGCAACTTCTGCCGTGAAGAATTGGAAATTGCGATGCACCGTTCTGCTGAAATGGCTGATTCATCTCTCCTGCTAATTCGACTCGATGGTGTTGATACGAAAAACCTTCCCAAGACACTGAGGAGGAGGACGTTCTTGGATTACTCGAGCAACATGGAAAGAGTTGACTGGGAGGAAAGACTATTAAAGCAAATTCAGTTCGATGCCAGGGGCTTTCATATGAATGGGAAATCAAATTTTTCAACAGATACGGTCCAACTTATCAGCCATCTCTAACGTGATATGTGCATCCTTTTTTTTTCCCTGAGCAAAGTAGTATTTAGTCAAAATATACATCAAGATTTTCATGCTGTAACAAATAGTTCTGCTTGTATTCACATCGTACTTACAGTACTGCGCAAAAGTAATGCAAACAATATCGCCGAATATCGCGATTATCGCGATACATCGGCGATATTTAAGCGATATTTTAGTTGCAACGATATATCCGCAATACATTGCAGGGCTATTGTTTTAACAGCCGCGATATATCGCCGATGTATCGTTGAGCTCCTAGCGATATGTCGTTTGAGCTTAGCGATAAATCGCTGCAGCTCAAGAATATATCGTTTTCGTCTCCCTGATCTATCGTTTACACCTCCCTAACCCATCTCGTTTACACGACACATCTTTACAACTTAGCGATCGACATATCGTTACAGCTTAGCGATCGATGTTTGCGCTGCACGGTGAATGTTGAATCGGACTGACACTTCCTGTATCGCAAATATAGTTAGTGATTCTATTCGAAAGTCTGTTTTCTGACGGCAGAGTAACGTGTTCACACAATCTACTTCTCCCGTCTTTTTAATATTTCCAACATCAGAGAAATTGAACTCTTAAATGTTACACAATTTACTTTCACATAAACTTCTGGGCAAAATAAATACAAACAAGTCCTGCCGGACAGCAATGTACAAAGTCCTTGCAACAAACAGTATTTTGTAAAGGACAACAACCGAACCTTTTAGGGTTTCTCCATGTACAAAATGTTTGACCAATAGAGCATCTCTTTTTGCAATCGTGGCAAATTCTCCCCGTACCGTTCAGTGGTGCAATGCCCTGCAATAACGATGCACGTGGTGATCAACTCATTAAAAATAAGGTCTCCTTATTATGTACTTGACAAAACATCCAGTTTCTGATTTGTTGATGAGGAATGTCTATATTTAAATAGCTCATTAAGTACCATACGAAATTTGAAAATTCCTCCATTTCTTCCTTGAGGCTTTCGCACATGAATAATGAAAAACAATAAACCAGATTTGCCTGTTACAATTATTCTATGATATGACCAATCTAAAGAAAACACAAGTATATTTCGACCCGTTAAAGAGTTTTCCGAAGAATGTGGACTGTGCCAATATAATGGAGGGTACTGAATACGGGATTTGGCACTATATTTTGCCTGAGGCGGTGGAGGAGTTTGGGGGAAATCACATGGCTTTCAGGTGGAACAGAGGGGGGATCGGTCGTCGCCAACAGAGTATAAATAGGGGACTATAGAAAATTGACTGCCCCCTCCCCCAATTGACTGCCGATGAGGGTGGGAGAGATACAGAGTGTTATGGAGGAATTAGGTATCTTTTATCGTGACATGGCCAAAATCCTCCGATCCCCCCTTCCCCCCCCGTGATGAATAATGACCAACCCCTAATAAACCACCAAGTCTAATATGGGAGGGGTGGGGGCCTCAGATCCCTCGGAACCCTTCCCTGGATCAGCCACTGTGAATCGGTAAAACCTAACAGCAGTCGAAAATTAATAGTTCGAAAATGTAAACATACTAAGGTCGATGTTTGTAGCATCTCGAGGTTGACCAGTGTCCTCTTTTTAAATTTGCCAGTATATTAGAAATCTACCAAAGACAGGGATAGTAATGCTAGAGGTGAAATAGCGGGCCAATTCATCTGCACAATAATGAAAACATTTTCAAGTTTTACAATGTTCAATTTAATCTTAAGAAAGAAAGAAAAAAAAATTTATATATATATATATATGCATAACTTGACATACATACATAACATAACATAACATGACTCTCGTAGACGTGGAAACCTCGATACTCCCTCGAGTTTGAACAACCAATTGAGACAAATAGGGAGACACACGCAACTACAGCGAGTGTTCCGTCTCCGGCCTCTCCCTGCGTGAGCACATTCGGGGCCTCTCTATTTTTTTAGTACTTATCACTCTCTATTTTCTTTTAATACTCATTACTCTTCTTGTTAACAACTTATCGCCCTACCTATCTTATCTTACTTTTTATTTCCCATTTATCAAATTATTTATTGATTAAAAAGATCGCTGAGGAAACAATTAGAAAGTGAAGTACTTTCCAAAAATGAATATGTTCTTCTCTACGTGCCACCTATTGCATGCTTTACAATACCAAGAGCACGGTTATATCATATCCAGGTTACGGTGCAATCTCTAATATATCCACTAATCTCTCCATTTTGAAAGCTATAACACTTATCTCCTGCAATACGAGCTGGTGAGAACACTTGAGACTGCTCATGACAATAAGGTGACTTGGCGCATAAATCATTGATTCATTTGGAAACTTAAATATTTTCTTTATTAAGCTTTTCAAATATTCCCCTCTAACTTATGTCTATTATTTTGGGATTTCCACCTTTACGTGCTCCAGCCGTTTCTTGCCTGAGCACGTTCGAGGGCTCTATATTTTAATTTTTTTATCAGTCTAATTTAAAATTTACCGGGCCGGGTTGTTCAAAGCTAGGTTAACATAACCCAGGGATACTGTGAAATTTGATTTCAGAAGGCTTTCAAAGAAAATTCAATTCAATTATTTTTGTCTACTGTTTGATTACTGGATGCTCTAAAAAGAACAGAGAAGATTATCTGAAAAAGGCTTTTGAATGGGGAAATAAAGAAACCTGGATTAAATTTAACCCTGGGTTAGCGCTAATCAGCCTTTGAACAAATGGACCCTTGTCTTTACTGACGATTAATTCCTCGTTCATCTACTGAATTATTTATTGATAGAAAAGATGTTCAGTGACAAATAAATCGCTGAGAAGAATTCGGAAAGTGAAACACATTCCCAATTGCTTCTTTTGAGATATATTTCATGTAACAAGAACAGTCAACTGCAAGCCGGTTAGAACATGTTTGACCGCTCATAGCAAGGTGGTGGCTTGGTGCATATGTCATTGATTCATTTGGAGACCTAAATATTTTCTTTGCTAAGTTCTTCTTTAGAGATTGTCTTGATCAAGTTGTTATACTAAAGAAGTCTTTCTCAGAAATTTATCATATCCAAGTTATCGTACAATATCTAATATATTTATCGTGTATTATCTAATATATCCACTAATCTCTGCGGTTTGATAGTTTTAAGCGTGATTATCTACCGCAGTAAGTTTGATCACAAATTGTAAAATTAAGCGCTGTTTTTTTAAGAGACTTCCGGATTATTTTGGAATTTTTTTTGGTCTCATGTTCTTCCCCACGTGCTACAGCCGCTCCCGGCTTCAGTGACAAAACAAATTGCTGAGAAAGAAAAACGGAAAGTGAAGCACTTTCCAAATATTCTAAAAGTTGTGACCTGACGTACGGCTGAAATCTATTTCAGAATGATATGAAAGACTGGTTTGTACAGAACCCTAAACTCAACAGCCGACAAAGAACACTTGATCAGCACACGGATACGCTCGCACTCATAAGAGAATAAAAATGTGACCAGGGAGATGATTGATGGAACAAAAAGGAATTTCATTTTCATTCGTCGTTGAAAAACTGTGTTGTGTTTCTATTGTCTTTCTGTGTAGCTCGCCCTTCCCTGCCTGGCCTCTTCCCTCCTCCTTTTGCTGATTGACGCAGTATACCTAAAAATAAAATAAATTTATAAATATACCTTCCATACCGACACCAATAGGTACATATTCAAGCGTGTTACACTTCACCTTCTCGACTTAACTCCTAACAAATTGTGTCTGCTCTTTGCTCTCTAGCACGTGTCAGCGCCGACAGGCTAAACGGTTTCAAATGGCATGCTTTAATGTGATTGGATTACAGAAACAAACACCGACCCACTAAAAATATCGAGTCTTTTTTCTTGTAAAGTGTTTTGGCTTCAGTTCTGATCTTTGAAGAGTTTATTCTCAGCTGATATTTGGCCAATTTTGGTGAAATTTGGAGATATTGTCGGAAATATAATTAAAATCTTTGCTCAAAAGCGCCACTTTGAAACAGGTATAACTTGCTAATAATTTTAGGCTTACCAAGGTTCAAAATGCAACATTCTACTGGATCAAATTCCTAAAGTGTAAGAAATAAAAACAGGCTCAGAATTACGCCAGCATTACGCTTGATGCTCTAATTATAGCATTATGCCGAAAATTACGATGGCATAATGTATCTGACCCTTGTCATATCCAATTGAGATCAATACTAAAATCAAGTTGCCATCACTCATGTGCACGTGCAACGGAAATGATATAATTCGCTATGCTCTGCCAAACAAAGTGTCAACTGCCTGCATGCAATGCAACGTATATTCCAAATAGAAGTTTTTTTCTATGAAAATGTGTTATTCTCTTCTTTCCTTGCAATGACCCATTCACAAATGGAAATGGATATTTGATGCACAGGTAGCAGACAATATCTAAGTTATTTTTAAAGACATCGCGTGCAGAGACGGCTATGACAGGGCGCGCGTGGCAATCGATGAAAAGGGAGGTGTTTCCTTATCTTGAAAGATTTTCAGCGATGCAAGGTTAAAGGTGCTTTAGCTATCACGTGTAAAGCTTGCCTGCCCAATGTACCTTTTTTTTCTCTTTGTCTTCTTATCCTGTGATAAGCCGGTGATTTTCCTATCCTTGCATTCTCCAAAGCGTTTCAACCATAAAATGGCAGCTTCTTGTGATCTTTGGACAACAGGCGTCGTCCAGACAAGTGAAGTCTGTCTTGCATTAACCGGTGGTAACTGAAAACCATGGAGATCCATGCACAGTTCCTGACAACAGCAATTTCTTTTACTTTTAGAGGAAAGTTATAGCCTTCGTTTCACCAACGGAAGGGAAGCTGCGTAGCACACAAGTGTCATCCTGTGATTCTTGTGTAAAAAAACAGGAAGCTGCCAGTCAACACTGACGAGGAGAGGTAAGAATTCGAAAACGTCTTTCTTAGTTTATCCGATTAATACTTCAAAGCATCTTAACTACATTAGCTTAACAGATTAACAAGCTTATATTCTGAGTAAACACAATCGTAATGAGCATTTAACATTAATTATTTCATTAAATAAAAAGCAAAAAGGTTAAAGTTAACGGCTCAAATCACTATCAAACTTGCTTCTTCCTTAGAGGGTACAAGGGCGACAGTCGGTCCAAAGGACATCTCTTCCAGATATACATCTCTAATTTATCAGTTATTTGTTTTCGTGGGAGTTGGAAAACTCCCAATCATTCGATTTAAGCTCGAAGAAAGGTAAACAAAAGTACTCACATTGCTGAGTTTCCTCCTTTGTTGCGATGAAGCAGCTCTCGAGGGTAGAAAAACCCAGAGTTATACGAAAGGTAGGTCTTTCAGCTATCGTTGGAGAGAAAGCTGGAAAAACTTATTCTGCATGCTGATTAATTGACTGCGAAGTGATGGCAAACATGTAACAAATCATCGGATTAGCCAGAAATAGCACAACCACAAGCTAATGTTTTGGAACGATCAATCTGAAAATGTGCGCCTGTTTGGGAAACTAAGGAACATGCCATCAGACGAAAGAGCTGAAATGATGTCTTAATGTTCAAGTAGAGTTAGGTCACAATCGCAGGAACAATCAGAATCAGCCGGTGAAACTCGTTTAAAGGCATGGATAGGGCAACTTCACCAGTATTTATTTGTTTCAGTATCAATCTAACTGATACTCACTGTCCCTTTGAAAATTTCTCAAGGTATAAGAGTAGCACTTGTATGTGTCACGGAATCTCAACCTCTACTGCTGAGCTATATTCATAGAAATATAAACCACACCCATGCAGATTTTAAGAATCGTTTAACAGTAGCTATAATTTTAGCGTTCGTTGGGGCAGCCAGCTTTCGGTTTCATTCCCTCCCATGTCGTGCTAGACTATAAAAAAAAGTGAAAGAAATATAATTGTGCTGGTGATAAAATTTTGGACGAAGTAGGTATCTCCCATTCAGAGAGGGTCTCTTAGTGGGGAACCAATTTAGGGATCTAAGATATGAACAAGATTAATGCTCTCCACCTGAGAGGATAATGAGCGAGACATATTATGACGCCGGGCCATGTAAGGATTCAGTCTCAATTCGGATAAGTATCGTCCTTGTTTATACCGCACCTCCATTAATCAGACATGTCGAGCAAATGAGACCAAAACGTTAAGACAAGGAACAACATGATTCCAGCAAACCAGTCATGCTGATTGCTGTATTCCTTAATTTTCGTGCAGCATTAGAAGGAACATAATGGCATAGAGGCCAAAATATAATAGATCACCAAAAAGGGACTTGATGAAGATAACGAAATAGTCGAGAAAATTGAGAGTGACAGTTAACAATCGAACTGAAATTGTGAGGCATAAGAGAAAATTTTCCACATGGGAATTCTCCTTGAGCTGAACCGCGGACAGCCAACTCTGGGTTGGAATGCACACCTAAATGGATATTGACAGAAATATGTTCAACTATTATTTACAGTTGACGACAGCATCAAGCATGCACTTGAAATCACCAATTGCCCTTGAAATTATTCGCACATATCTACAAATTTCTCTAGTGGTTAAAATGAGTATACTCTTGTACTGAAGGGCTGTGTAACACACTAAAACCAAACACAAGCACACAAAGTGCACACTATTTTACTGCAGGCACAAGAAAATGCGCTGCCATTTCCAATCTTAAGCGGAACCAGAAACGGAGCAAGGACCTTTTTAAATTGCAAAATCTAATAGCCTCATACATTTTAAACAATAACTGAACAAGGAATAAGTTTGGCTGTTATCAATTGGAAACAACTATGTCCAAAGGACACAGTGGATTTAAACAACGGTATCTTGATGGAAACAAAGTAGTCGTGCAACTGAATGTAGATCCTTTCCACCGAAAAAAGAGTTGGCCTTCTTTTATAAAGCAATAAATCAAAGAGCAAATTAGTATGGCGTTATGTTGCGTCGTGGACCAAATTTGTAACGAAATGTGAATTGCAAAACCTGACTTGTGATAAGCTTTTGGACCCTCTTAAAGCTAGCGGTTCGTTAACAGTTCACTTGCACTGTTTTTGCATTTCGTCGATTCAAACCCCTTTTCAAATTGGCATCATCGCTTGGAGAGAAGCCTATTTACCATTGTATCAGTCCAAGAATTATCAATAGAGATATTAACAGAGAAGTTGTAGCGAGTAAAATGATACAAAAGATAACTTCATGATCATTCTTCGATCAAAGTACAAACTCAGCGTGCGCTTATAAAGCGTGATATGCTCATGGACAAAATGTGACGATAGCTCTCGACCAATCAGCGCCCGAGAAATTCTACGGATATTGCAAAAATTCGGCTCAGAGGGATAAAAATAAACTTACGTTTCTACTGTTTACGAAGGTTGGTTATCGTTGATAAACATACTTTGAAAGTCATCTTTCATTCCAAAAACAGAACCTAAGATTTCAAAGTTCCATTTAATTATAAATCCGTAATCGACTGGTACCTCAATTAACACCATTTTGGATGTTTCTACTCGTTTGCTTTGAGATCTGAAAACCTTCTTTTAGTATAAAAGAAAACCCTCTAGGAAGGATTGAAAGGTCTGTATGTTGCGTGAACAAGTCGTTGACAGCTAAGAACTAAAAATATAATGACGAAAATGATACAGTGCGTAAAATAAAACAGTTTCAAGAAATGTGAAAGTCGGTTTCTCTTGTGTCAGAGACTCGATAAATTTGCCATTCTAGATTTTTAAAGTGATGCTCCCTGGAGATATGTGAATCAGGGTTTTCGTTAATTCTAACTAAGGAAGCGTTATTAATTTATATATCTGTCTTTGCATATCCCTCGCTTTGCTAAAAGTTCCTGTTTAACCTACTAAGGAAGCAAAGCTGACTTTGTTCCATAGCTATGCAGAATGATCACTATTTTGCCACTCTCTTAATGGCGCGCATAAATTCCAAGTTTTACCGAGCTAAGTCAAAAGAGCTGTATCTTAGCATGTGTCACTTTTGTAAGATCATCAGTAATAATCCAAGACAAAGCTATCCTTCCTCGGTTATTTTCAATCAGCTGCGTTGGATTTTTGTTTGTTTTTACTTTTTTATTTTCCATTTATCTGAGCGAGTCATTGTTGTCCCCGAGCCCTTAAACTCGTGATCTTTTCCTCTTACAGGTTTATTTCGTGCTCTTCTTCATAGCTGTAAATGGAAACCCGAGGACGAAGAAATGCCTTATTCAATCTTATTACCGGGCAAAGAATGGCAGTGGACTTAAAGGGACCGGAAATCTTCTAAGAGTTGGTTTCCCATTTGGCTCTAACTCAAACCGGCCTAGTCAAGTGTCTTTTACTGGCTCCTGTAGTGATTCTCCAGCCGAAATCGGTCAGTGCACTAAGAAAAATCATCAAACACGTTGATGAGAGAAGATTCTTAAATTTTGAATTCGTTGAATGATGCATACATATTACCCTGTTTTAGTAAACTTCAGATTCACGCAGAAACTTTTTAAATACATGTTTCGACATGACTCATGCCATCATCAATTTCATATCATGCGTTGAACCGTTGACTTTGTTTCTACACGTTACAAGTTGAATCGAATATAATATTTGAAACTAGTACCGTCACACGTTACATGTGGTAAACAATAGCGCGCAAACATAACACTTGGAAAGTAAATCTGTGCGAACAAACATTCTGTTCTTACTGTAATTCAGTAGCCAATAATTTTGACGTAAACTTACGCATAAAAGAAGTCCATGTATCCAGACAATTGGAACACGGCCACGAAGCCGAACTTTTAAACACCAGAGAAAACAAGGTTCAGAATATCTTTTGAAAGAGATTTTATCTAAAAAAAAAAACCTGAAAGAAGCTTGTTTTGAAAATGATCTTCCAAATCTTGATCATTCAAAACCATCTTATCTAAAACCGGATGATGATGGTTGCTTTTGTCATCCAACAAATGACCTTGTAAATACTGAAGTAACTTTATTACTTTGAGCGGTGGAAATTTCCCCCTCACATCTCGCTTAGACTTGACATTGTCTCAGTTTTTCATGATCTCATTGTTCCTTACAGAATTTCAGCTGATACTCGCGAACAGAAATGGAACTCTAGTCATCACCTTACGTTTGAATGCAAACACTGATTATGTGTTAGCAGTAAGAAATCAGGCGTTGGTAATTGAGGTAAAAAGTTAACTTTGTAGCGCGCATGCAGATGTCATACAGGCCATTTTGGTTATAATAATAACAAATGCTTTACTAAAACTGAAAAAACCGTTCAGCGAATTCATCATAGAAAACGCTAGTATAAACCGGTGATCAGTGCATAAAAATACTATTAAAAATACAATTCACCATCGATACAAGTTAAGATTAAATTAAAAATTTACAAAAAATATTTACAGTGACAAAAAACTTATAAACTACATTTTTGTTGTGCCTTATCTGATTCTATTAAAAGTTTAAAAGTTTTAATTTTAAAAATTCTTAGCGTTTCAAAAGCACGCAGTTCTTTGGGGAGGTCACTCCACTCCTTTGCAGCGGCCTACTCGAATGTTGACTGGCTCATAGCTGTTTTGTATCTTGCGTTATCACGGCATATCATCTACAAATATGTGGCCTTGGTACAAACTGCTCCTTGCAATAAATAAGCACTGATGACCTTGTGAGTCAACTTCCATCTGGAGTTTAGGTTAGAAAAAAAAAATTCTAACTAAAAGCAAAAACGATGGGTAGTCTCAAGACTTCGATGCCAAAAGAGGATGCATATTAAAAAAATTCTCATTGAAAAAATTTAAAACTTTTCCATAACACTCTCAGATTAGACAAGTATGTCAATTCTGCCACCATTTGTAGGGTAATTCTAGGATATGAGGTAAACAAATTAGAAAAAAAATATTCTGATAAAATTCCGAATTCCCAGTAACACCCAACAAACTGATCAGTTGGGAAAACATAGCTCTCACACCTTAAAGAGTGAAACCAGTACGTAGATTCATTTTTGTTTTCTTTTCTGTTCACAGCACCTTAACAAAACTGGCCATGACCACGAATTCGTTTACAGCTGTGTCTCAAAAGAGGATTGTGAGATTTTTACTCTAAAGAGCTTCAAGTCTCCTTCTTATGTCAAGACCGATGAGAATGGAAACCCATTAGTTGGTAGTAATCCTTTGGACGTCACAGCATGGTTCCAGATGCTAGATAGACTGAAGGCCACATAGCGGCACAGTATGTTGATGCACATGGCCCTTCCATGGTGTATTTATTAGCAAATACACAGTGCCTGTAATCTTCGCCTCTATCAGCTTAAGGATTAAAGAAGCAAATAAAGTATTTTTTGTAGAAAATTACGTTCATGATTGGAAACGATCTCTTAACACTCTCCTCGGAAATTGTTGGAGATTGTTTGAGAAGATCTGTCCCTGATGACCCCACGTTCGATATTGTTCCATCCACATTTACAAAGGAATAGTGTCAAGCAAGAACACTCTAAAGGAATCTCCCACTTTTGAAACAAATTGTCGATGATCCATCAAAAATGATCTTTTAGTTAAAAACATTTTCGCATAAATGAGAATTACGAGCTGGGTGTTGAAAAAATCGAAACACATATAAGTTTCTTTAACACTAGAATTTTGTGCTCGTCAGTTAAACAGAAACTTGTTCTTTTGAAGAGAGGGTTAACCATCAGAAAACATCATCAGCGGTGAGATAACAAAACATAACGGATTTTCTTCTAAATCTTAAAATAATAGTTTAATTGGTTCCTTGTCCAGGTATACATGGCGAATATGTTCTGCATACGTGTTACTGAACGTACATGAACGACCTTCGTAAGAGACACAACAGAGGCATTGGCACAAGTGTGATTTCCATACCAATGTTTGCGCTCTCATACTTATATTTTTTAGGTAACCTAAGTAAAATGGTAGTCCCAGTCTCTATCATCAGAGAGTTGACGTATTCACAACAACTAAATACGAGTGTAACATGTATCGAAGAAAAAAGAAAATGCATCTCAAATAACCATTAGTTCTCTAGTACAAACATGTCTTTCACTAGAGATTGAAATTTCGATTACTTAAGTCTTCCTTAAAGTCTCTCTACAACCATCATCCTCGTACTGCTCGGGCTTAAAAACCAAACATATTTGTTTTGATAAATCATTTTATTAGAGAAAAAAAAAAAGAACACTCCATTCTCAAACCGCTATAAACTAATAAAAGCAACAGGATCGCTCAAACGCAACTTGTCTACAGGTACTTAGCGACGGCAACATGGTGGCGGACAGGATCGAATGCATGTGTGGGTGCACACAGCTGGGCAAGGGCTTGGCATGGGGGGAGGAGCCGGTTGTCCTGCAGCACCAGGAAGTCCAGGAGGTCCTGTAATGGCAGAGAAAACCACATCAGTTAGCAGTTAAATTACAGAGGTTGTATCTTTCTTAACTTTCATGAAATTATTGCAAACGAGTAAGTGGTTGTACAATGGCCAATTGCAAAGTTAAAATTGCCCATCCCGAGCAAATGATGCCACTTCATCACCACCCTATCTCAAATAACTTTGTATAACGGGTCGGTACTTGAAACCTAGTAGCTCCTTCAAACCTTTGAACTTACATTTGTAAAGGAGGAGATACGAGTGGTGGGGAAATGAAATATATTGTGCATGCTTTTCCAATGGGTTTTTAAAAGGCGATTGCTGTTTCAGCCCAAAAATCTACAGCTTACCGGGTGGTCCAGCATCTCCGGGAGGACCTTGGTTTCCGGGAGCTCCTGGGGGTCCCATGGGTCCGTCACGTCCGGGTGGACCTGAGAGTATAAAGGTAATTTGTCAAAATTATAGAATGGGCATACATTGTTTAAATAATTCCTAAAGAGATAATGGACTTTTTCGGGGATCAGACAGCAAGATCAGACAGCAAAATCAGACAGCAAGATCAGACAGCAACCTGGTGCAACCTTATCTTGCAGAAATGTTGAACATTGACCTTAAGTGTTATTTAAACAGCAGAAATACATTTTAATCACATGGTGAGCAGCTATGTACATTTTTTGAAACAAAAGAAATATTTTTTGCATTCTTCTTTGCGTTCGAATTCCACAGGACAGACATGGGCACTAATATGGCTGCTATTCTACTGTTAAGGTAACCACTATGTCCGCCGAACTGCCATGTGAAAACGGTGTTCCACCATAATCTGACTTACTGAAAACGATAGGATCTTAGGAACAGATATTTCTGGCAAATTACTGAACTTACCTGCTGGAGCTCCGGGAAGCCCTGGTAGACCAACTGGGCCAGGAAGACCGACGGGTCCTGACGGTCCTTTTGGTCCGTCAGGTCCTGGAGGTCCCTGCATTCCCATGGGTCCGTCCATTCCTGGCGGACCAGGAGGTGGTGGAGGTGGCGGAGGTGGTGGCGGTGGGGGCGGTGGTGGTGGTGGTGGAGGGGCGGGTGAACAACATGTTACTTGACAAGCAGGAGCACATGAAGAAGGGCATCCTGGTGGACACGGATTAGGACTTCTTTTGTAGTGCCGTAGGCGGTCTGTGATAGATCAAAAGTAAGAGATGCAAGTTTGTAAAGGAGAGACCCCAACCACAAAGAAATAATTCAAGGATTTTTTGACATCATTACATACATTACAACCGATCTCGCAAAGAGGTCTCAGGACGTCCACCACATAAATTTGAAGTTTTAGAGATCCAACTTAACTCGTATTATATAAATCTGCAGAAAAGCGATGGTAATAACAGCAAACCATTTTTTTGGATATATTGCCAAAATCTTTGAAGTTAAACCCCAATTCTAAGGATGAACATTTTCCAAGTTGGTACCAACAGATCGCTGACGAATATCGGTTGGGCAAATAAAGATAGAGTCCGATGATCATTTTCATTTTCTGAAACTACCATAACATAGAAAACTAACAGGTTTCACTTGAAAATCTAGCTTTTCCGAGATCGTATATTCATTTCTTTTTCTTGTTTTTCACCTTTCTTGAGACCGTGATGACAAAACGCTCTTCTCGGAAAACATTTAGTAGTGGTGGTCAACTTTGAAGGATACGTTTCAAATGATCGAAGGTTTCAAGCGTCTTGTTAAATATTTACGAGCACGAGACAAAGAATCTATGAACTCCAAGGGGGAAGGGGGGTCGATTCCCTCACCAAGTCAGTCGCAGAGAGCTCGATTGTGAGAAGCTGGGTTATGTCCTAGAAATAAATTAGATAGAGCAAATCTTACCGAGTGTTGACGCTGATGCGATAGAAGTTATAAAGAGGACGGAACCCAGCACCATAAGTAAACCCATCTGTTGTGTGAAAAAGAGAGAGCATTGGCATATTAATCTCAGATTTTAACAACCAACTTATTTTAGGCAATATCCAATATTCAGCACAGTACTTTTCAATTAAATGCTTATTATTATCATGCTTTTAAAACTAAGGAAAAGGATGTGAAGGCTGAGGGTGTCCACCTGTAGGAAGATAGTTTTAAAGAATTAATTCCTTAGTTATTGAAAACGGTTCATAACACGGAAAAAAATGATTCAGAATTTAATAAAACTTGTAGTGACAGAACCGAAGACATTCAAAGATTTTAAATGAAAGCATGTCATGAAAAAGCTGAGTAAGAAATTATCAAATATGTGCATCGTAAATTAGGATTCATGTACAAACTTTTTCGATCGTTATTGTGAAAAATAGATTACACAAATGAAATATGAAATAAATTTTCCGAGGTTCAATGGAAGTTCATAATATTAAAAAGCGAAAAAGCTATTGTTTTGGTGACGTTACTATCCAGACTTTCTGTGCAATAAGGGATTTATTTCGATCAACTGCGTTTCTGATTTTGAAGGTGACCTAGATATATTTATTCAAATTCTTCATCTGTGGAAAGAAACTGAATGGTCTTTTTCTTTTTTTTGCGTCCTAGTGTGAAGTGATCATATTATTTTCAAATTGGGCAAGGAGACTAATTTATGCTATACCTGAAATTAATAAAATCAACGGAAAACATTGTCGAATATTTATACAACCAATAGATCTTAATTCAGATTACCCCTAGAATAACTATGGGACATCGTATGGTTATTTTGACTAAGTTAATGTGAACTGAACTAGCGGAAATTCCTTATTACTGCAAATACGAAACACGTTGCGTTTAAATCAAAACACGCACTCTCTATTTAGGTAGGAATTTACAAATAAAGTAAATGGAAAGACAAAAATATTTAAGAAAACTAATTAAAATAGAAATAAACAATTCTTCATAAGATTGAAAAAGTCAAAAGAACAACTGAAAATTATTTTACAGGCGGAATGCCTTCATCCTTACCTTTGCAGATGCAAAGTCGTCGGCGAATGATGGTTCGCGTCTTTCAACTCCTGGCCCTTAAACGTCCCTACAACGCTGAATAATTGATCACTTTCATTCGGTTCATCTGGTCTCTTAACGCTTCAGAAGCTGTAGTCGGCTGGTAGAGCTTCAAAAGTGATCAACAATTCCACCACATTGTCTGATCGAACGTCGATTGAAGATGACGTTTGAGGCATTATCATTGCAAAAGCTTGTTCGTTGCTTTTGTTTACAACATGAACCTACGAAGCTGTACCCAAGCCACCATATACTGCGGCTTTCTAGGTTATATGACATTTTAACCGATATTACGTCATTCATAAAATGGTCGTGGTGAATCTATTGTCGAAAAAGCAGGTTACACCTCCAAGACATGACGGGCGTTGCTGGTGGTAGCTCGACAAGAACGAAATTCCTTTGACAAGAGGGGCAAAGATGTACGAAATAAATTGGACGCAGTTAACAAATGAAAAATATTTCGCAAAAGTAGCATGGGGTACCAGCATAAGGAGGGTAAAAACCAAAAACGAAAAAAATATCTGAATAACTCATATTAAAACATGATTTAAATTTTTGTCCTATGAATGTGACCCACACAGCGAGCAATATTTCAATTGGACCGTGAAGTCCTTTTCTTCTAAGGGGCTGGTACCTGTCTGAAGCCAACTTCTTGGGAAAGCATTGCGGTCTTCTCTTGTTTTGGCTCGGAAAAATTCGATTCTTGATTTCAGTGATAAAATACGAATTGGTTCAAACGTAAATTATGAGTTATGAGTCAAGTTGGTGAGTTGAAAATGAAGTTGAGTTTTCCACGATCTGTTTCAATAGATTTACAGACAAGAATGGTTGACATTCCAAGAGTAAAATCAACCATTGCTAGAAAAGGATAGAGCCTAGGTTCATTTGTGATTCTTCCAAATAAACAAGATCAGTCGAGCTTGAAACTTGAAAGCAAGCAGAAGAAGCATTATGAAAATAAAAATTGATAAATTTTGCGTTGCTTTTAGCGCTCTCAAATAAGTTTCAGGAAAGACCTGTCGTATAAAAATGTGTGACCAGATACTTTCACTAGGTGGCCACGTTTCCCCTATTTAATTGGTGAAAATTGGCAGGCTTTGTTTGTTAAATGAAGACAATAAATTTCACACATTCCTTAACGCCTCAGAGCTCCTTTGACGAAAATAGGCGAAACATGGATGACATAAGACTTTTTCCTTTTCTATAAAGCTCTAACTTCCATAGAGGAAATGACATGATAGTGCCGTTCACTACACACCACATACTTGGAGGTACGCCATAAAACTATGATATGTAAGTGTGTTATTTTTTGTTTTGTTTTGAAAATTACTATGAGGCAAATTTCTAAATAATATAGTTTATCGGAATTCACGGCTGCTGAAGAAAGTAATTTTAAATGAAAAACCAACTAGGTTTGAGCAGGTGGAAAAGAAGTTCATTGTTTCTCATTTTACCGCCGCGAAGAGTTTCTGTTAAGTTCCCAGAGCAATCTCCATCAGGCAAAATTTACAGTGGAAAGGAGACTCTCCAATTTTGACCAAACTGACAAAAAACTTAAAAAAATTCACATTGAAATCAGGTAAGACCAATTTCGTGAGTTCAAATTGGGTTTCTTTAAATTTAACATAAAGAACGATTTCACAGCTCGCTAAATTTCCAATAATATTTAGGCTGGTCTTCCATGCAAGATCAAAATTATTTTTCTTTAAAATAGCATGAGTCATACCATACAATGTAAAAATTTTAATTTGATTTCTTTTTGACAATACAAATAAAATAGAAAATTTCAATGAATGTATATTATGAAACTTTTCTAATGTCTAATGAGGCATCATCGGTTATGCATCAACTAAAAAACAGTTTCTGATGCACAAAAAAGTACTGTGGTCATATTGTCGATTTAGATTTGCTAACTGGACATTTTGTAAGGTTCACATTGATGAGGAAGCAACGTCCGGCAGTCAACTGAGTAGAATAGTGAAATATCTACTTTAAAAATATATATATTGATAAAGAGAGGATCGCCGTTAACAATGACATAACTAACAACATTTTCCAGCATAGTGTATAGATAGTATGTCTATTCACTGCTTCGTCTTTTTGAAAATCACCTCTTTCATTTGCTCTTACATAGCAAAGGCATTCATTATAATTTTTCCGTCTTTGCTTGTCAAAAAAATGTGTTTACGTTTTTGTTATTTTCGTTGTACCATGTCATGAATGGTCCTCTTGCAGTGCAGTGGCAATTAAGGATTTTTTGACATGTCTTGTCATTGATGGGTACTTTATCGAAAGAATAACTTTATTTTTAAATCAAGACATTTGTTAGGTATTGCTTCACTTTGCTCTCTGTTGGCATTAACAAATTCGCCTCCTTCTCACAACCCTTCAGATTCAAATTTGACACCAATAGCGACTGGGTCACTCGTGATTTCCCCACTAAAAGGATTTTCCTCTTACATTGAGTCCCTGTTGGGTCGTCTGATAATAGCGACTGGTTCACTCGAAATTCCCCGGCTATAATTTAATTTGTTTTCTTACATTGAGTTCCTGTTGGGTCGTCTGATAACAGCGACTGGTTCACTCGCAATTTCCCGGCTATAATTTAATTTGTTTGCTTACACTGAGTCCCTATTAGGTCGTCTGATAATAGAGCATGGTTCACTCGTAATATCCCCGCTATAATTTAATTTGTTTGCTTACCTTGAGACCCTGTTGGGTCCTCTGATAATAGCGACTGTTTAACACGTAATTTCCCCGCTATAATTTAATTTGTTTGCTTACATTGAGTCCTTGTTGTGGTCGTCTGATAATAGCGACTGTTCAACTCGTAATTTCCCCGCTATAATTAATCTGTTTGCTTACATTGAGTCCTTGTTGTGGTCGTGTGATATGTATCTTGTTCTGTCTACTATTATTAGTCGGTTTTTGTTCCACGAAACTCAACTAAAACGCGCCCTAGGAGAGAGGGAATACTCTCAGTCTTATGATTGAGTTCATCATTTCCAGCCACGTTTTATTTCCTTCTAAAACTACCATAAAAACTGAAGGAATCTTCATGAATCCGACTGCACGTAAACATGCAGGAAATACTAACTTTTATACCACTACTCACCTGTACAGTTTAAGGTAGCACTTTCGCGAGAACGGATGCTGCTTATGAGGTGCGAGGCTGCCATTCAAATTATCCCGAAGAATACTCCCTTCACTTGAGCCGTTAACTAGAGGAAAAAGCAAACTATTTTCATTGACTTGGCGAATACTGTGGCGAAGTTATTAACCAACGCACGTGTAACTTTTCAAAGTATCAAAACCGCGACCAAAGAAAGCAAAGTTATCGAAAGATCAGTAATAAGTTGATGAGCTTTTCAAACCAAGGGAAAGCTGTCATCGGCACTCGACAACAAACATGTCAACTACTTGTCGAAAAAACTTCCCTCGAAATTGATAGGACATCGGGTCCCGATCTCTTTCCCTGATAGCAGGCTTTCAGATTTTTGGTTTTTTATTAAAATTATTCGTAGACATCCTAAACTTTAAATAAATCAGAACTATGTAATAGTATATCTAAAAAACAAATTTTCTTTATCAATAATAAGCCCTAAAATTAGCAATGTACGCGTTTTAATTGTTTTCAAAGTGATGAGTAAACAACTTCTGCCCTCATTAAATTCCCCCCTGATCTTCAGAAGCTGTCATCTGATCCCCGTGAATACCTGCTTTGAATGAGTTCCGGTGCTTTGGGCCTAAATCTTTGTGGCGCCTGGTTTTTGATGCAAACCAAAGAATTAACCAAAATAACTTGGCATTTCGGGTCCAGTTATATTCAGGTTATCGAGGTGTTTGAGTCTCAACTGATTTTAGTTATGCAAGAAGAGTTCATAGCCATGGACAGGATGTTCATATCTGTGAGGAATGCACTCTGTTTCCGGGGTATCGAGATAAAGGGGAGCTTTGATAATTCTACATCAATAAAAGCAACAGGGAGTTGCCAGAAAAACTTTGAATTTGTCAACAAAAAAGAACATTTCCCACCACTTTACATCTAGCACGTATGAAGAGTAGTCATTGAAATAATTTGAAAGAGAGTAACAATCTGGGGTTTAAGGTTGAAAAGAACTAGAACTTAAGTTGTGGTGCCAGAGGGCAAAGTCCTTTGGAAATCAGTTCGATATTAAGAGACAAAAGGGTACCATTTTTAACAGACAACTACCTTAACAAGATAATTAGAGAGACAACTGTTCACAATGCCAACCAAAGCAAACAAAAATATCACTCAAAATGTAAAGACAAGACCATTTGGCACGGATTTTCTTTCCTAACTTTATAACTACCTTTACGATCCGGATACACTGAACGAAACGTAAAATAACATGCCATGTTGTGAGTCAGCTTAAGATGTGTGAACAGAAGACTGCTTCAAAACGTTATAGATATAATATGTTTAAGCCTTTCCCTTAAGGCAAACTGCTTGGAAGAGGTGTCCACTGAAACGAAATGAATCAGTGGTGCGGATAGCCTTTCGAACCATCCATCGTTTATCATTTGTTTGCTGGCTCTTCGAGGTCTGGAGAGCTTCACTACACCACAGATCTAAATTGAGGAACCTTTCATGAAATAATAAGCAGATAGAGGCCTTCAAAAGTTTTAACAAACAGCAAGTGTCAAGTAAAATTACCAAACAGAGTCTGCAGCCGAACCTGCATGTACCAAGATGTGATGGTGACAAGTATTGTCAGAGGACATACTTAAACGACAACAATGATTTCACATCTCCAAAGAAAAAGAATCCTGATACTATTATTGTGTTTTGTCTAATATTGATAAATCGATTTTATGAAAGATAGGTAAATTAAGTACATCTTCAAATTATCCTCTCACCAAGCATCGGGAGCCATAACAGAGACAGAAATTATGAGAACCATTTGGCCATAGGGAAGGACAAGATGTGTTTGGTTGAATAGAAAATCAACTCCAAATCCAGTTCTTCGTTTTTTCATTCCAATCCTTTTTGGGGAGCAATTTAGTTGCCCCGGGAGGAGCAATGAGTGCACAAAATGTTTGTGTTTATGTGACTGTGACATTGGATTCAGCCATATCATATCCTGAGATCTGCTGCAAAAATTTACCATACGCCTGCGAGAAAATTGTTCAAAATTCCAATGAGCTTGGAGAAAACGAAAACGTGTTAGGTAATGATTCATCTATGACGAGCAATATCACACAAAAGTATCATAACCTGGAGGCAAAAATTTCCACTCTCTTAAGGAAATTCACATGATTGCATATTTTACACGAAGGTTTTTATCTTGGAGTTTCGATAAACTATGGAGCTTCAAAGTTTGCCTGATTTTTCATTTGAGAATTATATAGTGCACATCGTTTCTCGATAACATAGCAAGACTATAGGTGGTTCTCTAATTCTGGTCAAAGAGAATTTCTTCCTCAAGGCACGATGCACATAGGACATCGTTTATTTGCACTTACACCGTACAAAACAAATAATAGACTCCAAACACATATATTTTCTGTAAAATTAGATTTTGACTTCTTCCATCTAAGGACCTAATTTTCTCCAGAGAGCTGCTTTCAATGAGAAAATAATTTGTTACTTTGGCCTTCTTAGGACGTCCGTTCTAAGGCAAATCAAATGAGTAGCTGCAGAGATGGCAATTTTATTTCATGCCTGTGTACTAGGTCTCCTGAAAAATCAGTCAACATGTACTACAATTCCCAGATTTTCCTAGATAATCGGAGGAACGTTTTGAAATTAAAGTAGCAAAAAATGCTAGTGATGGTAAACAATCCTGCATGTCTTAGAAGTATCCTCTGACCAAACACTTTTACTACTTATCTTAACCAAAAATGGGCCAAGGTTATTTTCAAGTAAAATTTTACGAAATTTTCATTTCAAATCAGATACACCATTGCTTTAGATAAAAATACTTTTCTTGCATCTCATAATTATGACCCTCGAGTAAAAGTAATGTTCCAAATCGATAAACGATCCCTACGTGTGCACAGAGCAGGACGTTGCATGAAATAAAATGAAGTGAAATAAGTAATAATAGAGGCAGGATGTAATTACGTTAAAAATATAACCACCACATGACAGCAATGGTGTTCTTACCGTATGTTCATTTCTGTTGAGTCACAAAGACATTATTTTCGCTTTAAGGTGGTTAAAACAGAGACGCATCTAAAAGCTACTTATTTTGGAAAAATGGTCCAGTTCAAGGAAAGTTTTTCGAGAATTTTAATCAGTTAAGTTCAACACCACCCCAAGGGGTATAGTTTGCTCTTTAAAGAAAATCATGCGGTCTAGACTGGTCCGTGCTCCACCACATTGCGAAAGAAAATCAGACCTTACAGATGGTCTCCTTTGTTTATCACCTAATATAGATGACAACTTCCCTCAACTGGCACTAGGAAGTCAAGTTAATCTGGTTAGCATTTAGTTCATCGGCATAAACACACGCCGGTTGCTCTCGCACATCAAGACCATAGAGAATTTGTAACATGTTAAAGAGTTCTACAAGGAGAGTGTTTCGCACATTCATTATGCAATCGATTGGAAATTTTCGAAGAGAAACTGATAATACTTTGATGAGACCTCACTGGGAGGTTTCAGGTCGAGGAAAAAAAGGTTTGTGGGATTATGGGCATGCTGTTGAGGGAATAAGCTTGGTTAATTGCATCAACAAAGCCGATACAAACCTCAAGCCGACAACTAATCAGTTGTATCCCTTGTTAAAAAAAAAAAAAAAAAGTCCAAAGTTCCACAAAAAGCTGATGCAATTAATTTGTAATAGGGGGTCTTGCTTCTTATATCAGTTAATCTCTGAACTTTGTACGACCCAAGAATGATTAACTACTGTGAGTGCTACTTGAGGGCACCCAATTAGTAAACAACCGGTTCAAATAAGATTACTGGCGCCTCACCTTCAAGGTTACGGAAATAACATCTCGAAATTCTTAATATGCTAGGCAACAGTTTTGTGAACCACGCAGGCAGTATGAAAGTTACAAAAAGTGAAACGAAAGGTCTGTAGCAGAAGGTAGACAAAACAGAAGTTCAAGTTTGGGAGAAATACAAAGGATATACAATTTAACATCTTGATTAAGACAACGTTCGTAAAATGTACAAAAACAATCCTCTTCAATACATTGCGGGTAGTTCATGTAATACGTGCGCACATCAAGTTTCAAAAAAAAAAACGTTTATATAAGAAACTCACAAAGATCGTTCCATCTCGTCTGCGCCTTAATGTCAACTTCTCAGAATTTCAGCGCGCCCTAAACTCTCACTGATGAAAGTTTGTATGCTGTTCGTGTAAAAACGCAAACTTAGAAAATCTGCTAACCTAGAAAATTAAGCAACGGAAAAAAATTTATACTAAGCTTGTTATCATTCAGTTTTCCTTTCCGTGAAATATTTGAGGTTATTAGTTTAACGAGTGACAAGTCAAAGTTGCAGAGACCGACGCATGATAATTGCCGGTAAGATGATAATGACCGCACGTAAAGCAAGTTCTTGATTTCTTACAAATAATATGAGAAATATATCGTATTTGACCCAAGAATGTCGAGTGGCGATTTGATACTCACGGTTGAAGCCCAACTAAAACATTATGAGTGTACACAAAATTACTCTAAGTGCTCGCCCGGAGCAGAGCCAACATTAGTTGTTTATGGACTTTGTGCAACAGACGTTGACGTAGTGGAAACGAAATGTAGAAATCATACGGTTGGCTCAGGCTGGTTTCTAACCTCATTTTAAATTCCTTTCATCATCTGATGTTATCTGTCAGCTGCGATCAGAAATAAACAAAATTAAAATTAAAAAACGAGTCGAACAAAACTTCACTGTATGCCAATTTAAAACATCGCCTTAAAACTGCTAACACTTGCATAATGACGTTCAGTTAAATGTTGAAAATCATGGAGAGAATTATGGAGAAAATTCCATATACAATGACAACAAACAATACCTAACACAACCACAAGGCTATTGAACAGCTGATATTAGTTGCACTCCATTGTGCATAAACCATAGATAAAAATGTTGTGACTATCTAAAGCTCTTCTATAGACTGATTTCTCGGAGCTTGGATGCCACGGCCGAACAATCCATCTATAAGACACACTTTCCTTGTTTTTATGAAGAAAGTATCGCGACTTTCACACTAAAAAAAAAAGTGAGGAAAATATGATTCAAATAGAAGACTTGGTTACGCAAAAAAAAAGTAATTAGAAGATTGCTCTTCTTAATTTCAGTTTATCTTGAATGGGCCAGAAAAATAGAATAAGATCTTTGCACTGGAAGAATGTTCTTCACATCTCTATAGACGATTCTAAAATAACTTGACATTTGTGGGCCAACAGGATGAAAGACAATATTATTTCAATTTGTGTGGTTAAGCAAAGATATAGTTTTAATTGTTGTCGGTAAAAAGGATTAAGATAATACTATTCAATTTTTTTGGGGGGGCCACATAAAATATTTAATTGCTCGAAGGAAAGCTAATAAGGGAAAATCCAAAGAAAGAAACCAAGAATATACTAAGAGAGATAATTTTATTACACATTTCAAATAAATCCTTCACTCGACACGCCTACTTTATCAGACTTGCAGTCTCAGTAACATCAAGTTCCATCGAAGAAACATGAACCGTTGAAAATTACGTCACTCCTTTCCACCCAAAAGCTACATCTTTTTTTTATGTCAAAAGGAAAACAACAAAAACTAAGCGAGCTGAGATTTTACTATAAATATATAACACAAAACAAACATGAAAGTAATCATCTAATGTCTACAGGGGAAAGACAGCAATTAAGGACTATCACTAATTATTATTCGCTCAGCGGTGTGATAAAAACTCGAATCACTCGTCGAACCAGAAGTATAAAAATAGCTGCTGTCACTGCCGCTTTTGTTGTTTCTATTCCAGGAGGTGAGATCTCTTCTTTCGGCCGTGGCAACATTGTGGGGCACAAGCCTTGATACAAGTATGGACGCAGACAGGTGGACAAGGAGGCATACCACCAGGTGGAGCTGGAGGTCCGGGCAAGCCTGGGGCTCCTGGAGGTCCCATGGGGCCCAGATCACCGGGTGGTCCCTGTAGAAGAGAAAACACATAAAGTGAGCGATCGACACAAGCTCGTTACTATCATCAAGTGTTTCTGGACGAGGACCATACGCGACAAAATGCGTCATTGGAAGGGAAAACTGCAATGTTTGCCACTATGTTAAATCTATGGCTGAACAGAGAAACAACAGTTGAATGAAAGACAGTTGTTTTAAAAAGCTATTTCTAGGGCTTCAGAGGGGTCTTTTAGGTTCCATAATGTAAAACGTTTTTGACCACGGTCACAACGTATCGTGCAACACCACAAATAGACACATATCAAGTTATATCACACGGCGGCAAACGTACTTGATGTCCAGAAGGCCCTGGAGGTCCCATGGGGCCGTCACGTCCTGGAGGACCAGCTGGGGCACCTGGAAGACCTGGGAGACCAGGTGGTCCTGGAAGTCCTGGAGGTCCTGGGGGTCCTTTAGGGCCATCGGGGCCAGGTGGTCCTGCCATTCCCATTGGACCATCAGGGCCAGGAGGACCGGGTGGTGGTGGTGGTGGGGGAGGTGGTGGTGGTGGGAGAGGTGGAAGTGGGGGTGGGGGTGGAGGTGCACAACATACCGCAGTGCATGACGGGGCGCATGATCCCGGACAACCAGGAGGACATGGGTTAGGACTTCTTTTGAATATACCTACGAGTGAAAAGAGCAGATGATAAGCTGTTACGAATTCTCATCAAGATCTCAGTGATCCAGTAAGATTAATGATAAGTTCTATAGTTGTCTCGGAGGGCACGAAGCTTCTACCTTTGTGAACTTTCAAAAATTAGAAATCCGTAGATACATGAAAGGGTACCTCGCAGGAAATTATAATTTCTATGATAACAGACTATATCACAATCGATGACTTAATTTAGTTAAACTGGTTTCGAATGAAAAGTGATAAGAATTAAAATTTGCCAGGGCCGTAGGGCCATAAAGTTTCCCTGCACTCTAATGGGATTTAAGATCCAAGGAATTTTGATACTTGTCAGAATAACAGGTGCCAAGAAATATTTAAAAAATCAACTGGAACAGGATGTTGTAGTGAGAACCCCTGCGATGAGATACGGCAGTGATACTGGTTACGGAAGATAAATTCACAACCATCTTAAAAATTATACCGCAAAATTCTGAGCTGGTCAAAGAAACACGACTCATTTTTTCCTTCCTATGTCAATTTTTGTCTCAAAGGAAAGATATAGTTTCATGAAAAAAAAGGAGGTCTTCGCTTCGATGTGGAATATGGAGCTACCTGCGTAACGGATGGGAGAGCACTTCTCAACACAGCATGAATTGTTAATAACTCGAAACAGGTTTATTTTGATAGAACTGCGAAATAGAAAAATTGTTTGATTTCTAGCTTGATGAACTCTAAGATAAAAAAAAATTATTGGACTAGATTTTTATTCCGAGCAATATATTTCTAAAGGGCATTTTGACAAGGAAATAAATATGTACAAGACTTTTTTGAAAATAAAACTAGCATCAAGACGAACCGAAAAAAATACGATAAAAATTGTGGAAGAAGAGAGGTTCTGTTCGTTCTTTTTAATTGGCAGCTTAGTTAAAACCAAAATTTAAACACCGGAACAACAGGATGGATTGGACTTTAAGATTTTCGGATCAGCTTTTTGCAATAAATATTTCATTACGTACGGAGATCAAAATAAACTGAAGACACCTCGAATTTGGAAAATCATTATGAAATGTAAAAGCTTAAAAAAAAGCTTCAAATTTTGACGGTCAAATTTCAACACATATCAAATAAAAATGTACTTTCCCAACATATCATCAATTGTTATTCCTACCATCAAAAAGTTCAAGTCATGAATTTTAATTGTTGTTTCAAGAAATGCTAACTGAAATTTGAGGCCAGCTGAATGAACATATTTGTAATAATTATTCTAGTTGCGTTCTTTCTTGACACTGTGAGTTGTGGAGAGTGACAAGTACTGTTCTTTTAGAATTTAGCAATCTGATAAAATTACTTCTTGACCAAGAGCAGCTTACAAGTACGTATCTTTACTTTTTACTCTCAAATTAATTTCTTTACAACGGATTGACTTAAAATTCGAAAGAAATAAACTAATCTTCAAACTATGTCCTTTCGTGGCCTTCAATCATGATCAAAGTCATCACGAAAGTTGCCACTCAATTTTCTAAAAAAAAAGGTTTTTCCATCCTATCAAAACAATTGTTTGATCAAGGGTTGCTTCCTATGAACGTCAAATGTTCCCTGGTAAACGAAACTTTTCTTTAAAACTGCTATTAGGAGATAAGTATGCCCTAATAGCTCAATCATTTATTCCCATAGGTTAAGAGTTCCAACTTACTTCCTCGACGTGTTGCCTTGGCAGACACTGAGACGATGACAAATAAAAGGGAACAAAAGACCAGCCTATAATCCATGGCTAAGCCTGAAAGAGAACAAATGCCAGCATTATACTTTGGATATTTTGCCTGAATAGTCAACACCAAAAGTTATCTCTAATGGGTCAATACCACAAAAGGTAGGCTATCAAACACTTAAAACTCCTCTCACCTTGACAGTCGAAACGTTTCCGCTATATGCGGCCGCTATTGTTCGTCAAGGAGTTTTATGAGAGGCACCGGTAAATAATTCATGGTAACTCTATTGTCCAATGCGGGGATCGTGGCAGCCATTGTGTTCACGCTTCGCTTCATAGGAATCTTGCCTCGGTTCTTGCTTCTTATAAAAATATACCGGTAATATAACAGCGTTATTGACCAGTGTCAAAACCAGTGTTACCAAAACTTTAGAGCAAATATCCAACTGGTGCCTGATTGTTTTAAAACAAGAGGGTCAGTCAAACTAACTTAAACTTCGAACGCAGCTAGGGTTGACTCGAGTACACACGAGTGAATATGTTCTTTTAAAGACCTAACAACCATGATATACGAGCATTTTTGTCTATTCATTACACTTTTTGTTCGTTTTGATGCTTCTTCAAAAGTTTATTTTGGTTTTAAAGTTGCTGGTGCTGTGTGAATGGCTTTCAAAATGTTGAAATGCATAAACGATGAGTGATATCGCTGGTGTTTCAGAGCTTAGTGAGCCATGATGCGGATTTCAAATGGATACCCATCTGATTTGAGCTTTACATTACCAGAAAATAAAAATTATTTTCATTACAACGTTACTTTTAAAATAAGCCAAGAGCCTTAAATGGAGTGCCTGAGAGTATTAATTATGTTATAAGCTACGAATTACCAAAAAGCAGTGAGATTAATTAAATTACTAATGTCAATCTCCTTTTGTATCTCTTGGGCAATAATGCTACTTAATAAGCTGTTTATATCTTAAGTGATCTCGTTGACAAAATGACAGCTGATGAAGGTACGAGATCAACAAACACGATAATAAACAAGTGCAAAATCCCTTGCAAAAAAAGGTTTCCTTAATCGCTCCCTGCCCGGAGATCTGTCATGATGTTTGACTAAACACCAGTAGCAGGTGACCCAAGTAAACAATTTCACACATTCTAATGACTGCTCGTGTTCCTTTTACTCGATTTTTACTCTTGTCAAGGCTGAATCAGCGAAACATGAGTAAACAGCAGGCATTCAGCAAAAAAAGGTAAAAAGTATGAACTGTTTAATTCGCAGCTATACCAAAAGAATAAGAATGTATCCTTGCTACAGCTGATCCGACTTTCAGGTTCAAGTGTTTCTTAATAAAGTGTTCAAAATCCAAAGCTATGATGTAGTGTAGTTATTAGACCGTCTCTAAACTGAAGATTTTTAAGGCTATGCGTCATTCAACAATCACCAGCGCCGATCAAAGACAATGGGTCAATCAGAGTGGAACGAAAATGTGTTAATGTTGCGAAAACTCGCACACTGTGGTAATAATCACATTGCTTCACTATTATGGGTGCTGTTTAAGTGGAAACGCTTACTACTAGTCCTTTCGTCCTAAGTCTCATTTGTGCTACTGATGAAGGATGTAGGAGTTGGTCAACATCTGCACATAATGGACGACGTAACATTTCCACACAGAAATGTAAAATGCTTTGCTCAGTTCACAGTAAAACAGACGAGTAAGATAACTACCAACTTCGGCCATCACTGGATGTTAGATCTTCCTTTGGCAAATATCATAGCCCTATAACTTGTTTCACGTTAAAAATCTCATTTGCTGTTTCGCGAGGTTCACAATGGAATCTCTTCTCAGATTTCAACGGTAAAGACCAGTCGAAAATTCAGTATTACGCATTCCCTTTATCTTAATGAATTCAACTCCCTGTGTTGATTTACATGCAACTAATCCTAGAAGCATCTACGCATTACTAAAAAAGCTGGCGATGAAAATAGACCAAACCGTCAACAATAGGACATCATCTTTACCACCAAGTTCTCAAAACTAATTCACAGAGAAGAGAACAGGCGCTTTAGGAGAGAAAGGTAAGCTAACGTCTGAAGGAAATCCACTTTGACACTCTACATGAAGCAAAACTTAAAATTCAAAACTTTCATCGACTAAGCTAAAAGTTAAAATAGCCTCATCAGTAGTGTAGTAGAGGTCAACATCTATAGCAAACAAAGAATTCAATGCTCTCCAAGTATACACGAACGTCAACAAAGAGCGAATCAGGCTAGAACAGTATGCAATATCCAGAGAACATTTTCCAAACTTTCATAATTCTGATTTTGAGACTTTAGGAATACAGTGCTTTTTCTATATTAATGGAGGAGATCTGTGTGGTGAGCCAGCAACGTACATACAATCCCCAACGGTGGTTGGAAAGGAGATTACAAGACTTAGTTGCGCAATAGTTAATTATTTCTTTGCGCAGAAAAAAAAAACAGAAAAAACGGCAAACAAGCTCCCTCCCTCATGTTAGCACCCGCATTTTGGCTGAAACTTTTAATAAGGGAACAAAGTGTTTAGAGTAATTCGGCGGGGTTATTAGTAAAAAAAATCGCGTCGCTCTCTCAATTAATCACCTGCACAAATAAAACCATTCGCGACATTGTGGCTCTCTTTTCCCGTTTTAGAGCAAATTCACGGTCTCTTGAACGGGCAAAACGATTTGGTTAAAACACTCTCTCAAGCTTTTACCAATCAATCTGAGACGAAAAAGCTCGTAGGTGTAAGTTAACTTTATTAATAAAAAGACGCTAACACAAGAAATTAAAATCAACCTGACTAGGGTGATGTGAGAATTGTTGGATGAAGTTTGGCGCTTCTATGTTTAGGCATTTGTTTACTGAACTGAATTTTGGTAACTAATAATCCTTGGAAGTGATCATAAGGAAAAAAGCAAACGCAAAATACATTTCAAAATGAAAAGCAGATTTCCAAGAGATGGGTGTGTAGATTTGTTTCCATTCCTGGGTAAAATTGATTCCCGATTTTAGCTATCCATGGCTAATACATTTTGTGCGAGTTCGACTTATCTTGAAAAGTACAGACACTCCTCCTTCCTCTATCCAAAACCTGACTCTGTAAGACTTTCACCAATCTTGTACCCATCAAACATTGCTCTGAATGTACTATACATGCCAAAATCCGAGCGACGAATACGAGGAAAGTGGAAGTATAAAATAAAACAACGTGTTAACTATGCACACTTGGTGATCAAGACCAGCTTGAACTCAGTAAAATTTTGTGAATTATTTCATTAAAAAACGTCAAAAAAGTTCGTTTTGTTTGGCAACGTTTAAAAATCATTTGTCTCATAACTAAGGGATGACTTTTCCCAGTCCTTTCCTTCCGTCTTAACTCCACAGGGTGCCACGATTCTTGCACGTCCATTGACAAACAGTGTACAATTGAGAGGAGCCAGCAACGTACATACAATCCCCAACAGTAGTTAACCACAAAAGTTCACAGTCTCCGCACAGACCGGGTACCTCCAAATTGGCAATTGCATGCCAGCTGTAGTGCTAAAAGGACCTTGCGCAGACGATGACTCATTGACACCGTCCGCTTATGGAAAATGTGTCCAGGACGTGGAGGTCTGTTGCTGCTTCTTGGCGTTGAACGGTTACGAGTGTAAATCAATACGGTCATCAGGTTCTCCGTCACTTCCATCACTGTCTGACGTCATCCATGCCGATGGATCATCCTCGTATTTCTTGACTTCTTCTTCTAGAAAATGCTGTCCGCTTGCCACGAATGAAGCAAATCTAAAACATGACGTGCGAGTTGTCAACGTGGATTTCCAAACAGTGGTCATATTGAGGCAATTAGCCCGACCCACGGAGACAGTGATTTTTGCCATCGATATCCCAGTTTAAATTTTAGCATTATCGCATTTTAAAATCCGTAATCGAACAGTCGACCTTGCCGACGATAACGCAAGTCGATAGTTTCTGTGTTCTTTGTACGAAGTCACTTTTCGACATTCGACAGTAAGGATTTGATGAAAACTCTTTCGAGAGAAGCTGACCCACTAAGGTAGGATATACTAAAATGGCGAGTGCTTCATGGGCGGTCAACCGTTTCTTGATCCAGCTTTCATTACCTAACAGCAATTTTAGGAGAGTGTCGAAAATACAGCAAACCGTACTAGCATCGCTTTTGCTCTACTACCCTCTGTGACACAATGGCCTATAAACATCGCATTACTCTCTCAACCAGTCAGATGCACAACTGAAACGCGCACTTCCCCATGCTTAAATTTTCATTGGATCCTCGCAATATTCTCGTTGATTCAACTGGCTATTGTGATTATCTAGACTGTACTTTTTTTACGACATTCAATCGCAACACAAACTAATGCAAAGGAACAAACGTAGCTCCATAATCATGTATCTTCCTCCTTTCTTCGAGTTGAAACACCGTGAATTTGGACTTAGCAAAGTAGGCAGCTAAACTTATCAATAACCATACTGGAAAACTCTCGCCATTTTCGCATACGCCCCTACCTTTTACATAAGGAAACCTTTATAGAAACAAATACTTTAGAGCATAATCCCATCCATAACTTTGAAAATCAAACCATTATACCTCAACTATTTACAAGAACGAGACAATCATAGACGTTCATGATTTTTAAAATACGCTAACATGTTTAGTTGCTGTTGAAGCTGAAATGCAGTATCTATGGTTCAAGACTTTCTTACGATGAACAGACGGACAGCTCAACAGACAGACATAAAGACAAAGAAAAACAGTCAACTCGACAAACAGACAAAAAGAATTATACAATATCACATATTTTATCCTCGTGTTGTCCTCAGCACACTTAGTAAGTAACTGTACACGTCATACCTTGCTGGATGCTTCAGTCGACTCACCACTCGCCAAGTATCACACTCAGGACTCTTGCAATATTCTCGAAGATCTTCTAAAGCTCTGCTTGTTTCCTCCGCCCCTTCTAAGGCATACTCCTCCAGTGATAGAAACTTGTGTTTGGGTGGAAAGAAGAAGTAATAAACTCTGTAGGAAATCCTACAGAAAAAAACTTAAAATTCAAATCGAAGGTCAAGCATAAATATAGGCTCATGGGCATGGTGTCATCACATTTTGTCAAATAAAAAAGGGACTCGCAGGATTCGCCTCATGTTGCCCACGGACGCTGCCAGCGATAAAGTGAAACAACATATCTTCCCACGGCATCCAGACTGAGGCGAGTCTAGACACCCTATTTAGGCTGGTCATGATGGACAATTCTATTTACGTTCGTCTTTGATTTCTTTTATCCGCTTTCCATACATTTCACCTTGTACATGCAAGTCTATTTCCTTTAATTTTTTTAATGAAATTACCTCAATTGGATCAATCTTAGAGGCCTCTCGCCTCTGCACTTCTTTTTTTTTCTATCCAAAATCTTTTCAACCAAGTGAGAACTGACAGCGAGCGCTTAGCTATTTAGCAACAACACCATCAGGTAATTCTTCCCCAACAGAGGAAATATGTCCTCTGTCTTTGCTAGTGACTATAACATCTTGGTCTTTGCTAATCAGCAGTCGGTCGATTAACCCTTTTATAGCTAAAAAGCGCAAAACCGAAGCAAAGTTAATCACGTGTCTGTTAAACACAAGTTTCTCACTTCTACCCCATTGCAGACCTACCAAGTTTTTGGAAATATCTTCATGAGAATACCGCTACTGCGAATAACATGTGAAAACAACACCACTGTTATCAGTCCAAAAGAAACCACGTCCGACCGAGTACCCATATATAGTAGTGTCAGTCCGATGAATTGCAACATCCAGCGTATAAGGTCCAATCCCCGGTCACTTGTCACGGGACCGCGATAATAACAAACACAGAAGCTGATTGTACCTGAAAAATGATAATCACGACAAAAAGGTTAGCTCAAACCAAGAAATAAGAAAACATTGAAATTCAGATCGACAACCTTAAGATGAGCAAACTTAATCAAAAGGAGCCTGGTGATGAGGTAGTCTAGTTGTTTGCGCGGATGACCTCGTAAGAAAAGGACCAGGTTCAAGTTCTCTCCAGGTCATTGTGTTGTGTTTTGCACAATTTTCTCCACTCGCACAGTGCTTGCACACAGGAGTATATATGAAAAACCAGCAAATTCTCATGGGTAACTGAAAAAAAAGCTAAAGGGAAGGTTACAGGGGGAGGGGGGGAGAGGGGAGGTTACCATCAATGAGCGGCATTCAGTTCAGGAAGAGTAGCAATGCCCATAATGAAAAAGCACAGATTACCTTCAGCAGTCGAACGAATCAGCCTTGTAGGCAGAATTGAAAACTTTCTTATCTTTTTAACAACTTCTACCCAAGTCAAATAAATTCTCTAAAAGGCGTACAAACGATTTCCGCGACTTTCAAGACCAAGTCATTCTCCCACAGGAGTTTAGCAGTCTACATAAATCGGAACTTATCCAGGCATGCGTTTCATATGATCCCCTGAATCATCAACGACTCGAATAAGCAGGTCAACCATAATCATCTGGTTAGCACTCAGGTTTTTCCTTAGCCTGGTGATCACCCAGCTCACTACGATCGGCGCGATTGGAACGATCCGGACTATCATATGTAAACCACGGGCTTGAGAACACATCTTTGACCCCCAAAAACCCACCTACTATCACAAGATATCCAATGACCCACTGATATTGGTTGACCATGAGCTCCTTCAAGTGACCACATGTGAATTGGATAAGGTAGGCAGCAAAACTCCAACCTCCTAACAAGATAGCATAGGCACTTCCTCTCTGGACATACATGTATGAGATGGGAAAAAAAATAAAAAAAAGGTTCATGAAAGAATACTCAATTTGCGACTATCTAAAGAGACATCTATAAATATAAATAAATAAATAAATATATATATGTATATATATATATATGTATATATATATGTATATATATGTGTGTGTGTGTGTATATATATGTATATATATGTATAAATATATATATATATATATATATATATATATATATATATATATATATATATATATATATTATAAATATTATGAGAGGAAAAAAGGGACGCAACTACATTTCCCGACAAGCCTGTTTCGTGAATCCCTTCACTCTTCAGGGGTTTAAACCCCTGAAGAGTGAAGCGATTCACGAAACAGGCTTGTCGGGAAATGTAGTTATGTCCCTTTTTTCCTCTCATAATATTTATCCTGCTCTGTTTCAACGTATTGAGCACTGTTCCACGCGAAAATCGACTTGCAGACTTCCTATATATAAATATATATAGGTCTCTGACCGAAACGTTTTTATTAAATTTTCTATCTTTTTTACACCAGAAGTTGTCCATCCTTGCATTTTTTTAACTCTCTCTCTCTCTCTATATGTATATATATGTATATATATATGTATATGTGTATGTATGTATATATATGTATATGTATATATATGTATATATGTATATATGTATATATGTATGTATGTATGTATGTATAGATGTATAGATGTATATATGTATAGATGTATATATGTACCGTAATTTCCGGTCGATTACCCGCACGGCCGATTACCCGCACCGGCCGATTATTGCATACGGCGAAAAAAAAGTCAACGGATTACCCGCACCGGTGGATAACCCGCACGTTGTTATTCAACTTTTTCGGTGGCGAAAACGTGACATTAAGGCGATACATTTCAGTCTTTCGATTCAGACATGTGCACAATTCTGTGTCAATATTAGCTTATACTTTATTGATTGATTATTGCTGCTGCTCTATTACCGATTTCATCGACAAGAGTTATTACTCTAAGCTTATAATCAAACGTAAAACTGTGACGTGGGCGTTTTAACTTAATTGGTGACTCGTGGATACACTTATCGCGAATGATCGAGGTTTATAATTCTTATTCAGTCAGTTACCTTTTTATAGCATGTAGGAGCGTAATGAGCAATATCCATTGTTCATTTGTCGTTAACATACTTTTTCAGCGCGAAATTAGTTAAGTTTCGCACCTATTATTTTCAACATTCTGGTGATGCATTTGGGATTTAAAATTACTGTCGGCAATTTCTCAAAAAAGTCGATATCTCCTGTTCTACTGGGCCTAACAAGTCCCTTAAAACGGGAAAATTCTCTTTAGCTCAAGCTAGTGAAAACTGGAAATTTGTTACTGATGCGCCGGATATCCTTGGATTATTTTTGTCACCATCAAGGTTTTGTTTTCACGCGTGCCGATAAAAATTTGTTTGTCACGCAACTAATTATGCGTGAAATAAACTCGAGTTGGCATCATGTTTTCGTGCCGCTTTGTGGCACTTTTGATACAATAAAATTCATTTGAGAGGTGGAAACGCAGGTAGGTGAGAAATTTTTTCAATTCAACTTCCAGAAGAATTTAAAATTGTCACATAACCCGCACCTCCCTATTACCCGCAGTGGCGCGGATTTAATGCAAAATCAACAGATTACCCGCGGGTAATCGACCGGAAATTACGGTATATATGTATATATGTATATATGTATATATGTATATATGTATATATATATATATATATACACACACAGAGCAAATGATACAATAAACACAACCCATCACAATGACAAAACCACAAACAGTACACTGAGTGAAGTCTGACTTTCGGGATTCCATCCTGTTACTCCCACTTTAAAGGCTAATTATCATTGACCCTCTACATCCTAAGATCAGTATGCATATTCTCCATACTGTTCTCTAAACATTTCCTTTGGTGCTGAAAAGGGGAATTTGTCTTACAATCAAGAGCTTCTACAGTTGGTGATCAATTCCTTTATTCTCCTAACCTAAATGTTTGATTCAGGGGTGATATGGTAAGGAGAAATTTGATACCAATCACTCCTAGGAGTTAAAGGGTTTAAGGGTAATTTAGTATTGTCAACTGAGTTGATAATGTAAATTCACCACTGTAAAGAATTTAAAACCTGAAGTTCTGAGCGTTAGCCCTTCGTCAGAGTGATTAAAACATCAGCTTTTAAACTCCTTACGGTGGCCAGTTTACATCATCAACTCAGTTGATAATACTAAATTACCCGGTTATACTCTCCCACTGACGCAGCACCACAGTTTCCTTAGAAACTTACCCCCTTATTCATTTAACTATCAATTAAGTTATTCAGAGCTCATTTCAATTGAGTGTCGTAAAACCAACACCAGAGTAATCACAACAGCCAATCACAGGAAAGTAAAAAGATTACAGGAAGATGAAGTAAAAATAAGCAAACAGTTTGAAGGGCAGGAAAATGCGAGTGACCCAAAAGTTTGATTAAAAGATGATACTGGTTGTGGTTATGCTATACTATTGATTGGCATGTGTTTTATGTTTGTTCACCACTGTGATAAAAATATCACAAGCTTTCAGGTTTTCAGCCAGCTAAAAGCATACGTTATTAGTAAAAGCTAGGCACTAGTTCAGAAGAAAACTTATGTTGATTCTCAATGACTATCAGAGGTGTTTATTGAAGGGACCCTTCCAGGAAGCCCTGAACATTAAAAAGCCCCTGGAGAAGGGAGCTATCACACTCTTTATAATAATGTTGGCTTCACTGTAGGTTATAACTACTAGGTTCTTACCCCTGGGACAAGTCTGTGCAGAATATAAACCAAAATCAACAGGGAAGCAATGACGCCAAGTGACACTCCCGACGAGTAAAAAAACAAAGCATTCCTGGTGAAGATAAAACCAAAACATATACATGACTATAATGCCAATAGCAATATGTTTATCAATATATATTTCTTGACAAAACAACAGTTACTGTAGTAACATGCACATCAGTTAGGTCTCCCAAAGAATTTGACATTAAGTTTACTCTGCGAGAAAATTGCTCTATCACTGCAAATTGTAAGGGTTTTGAGGATTAATATACCTACTAAGTCTTTCTGCGTTGTAAAATATCACAAGCCCTGCCAGGAAAGTTACTGGGAAATACCAGTCAATAGCTGAAAGAACAAAAACCATTTGCATACAGGTATCAATTTCACAGAATGAAGTGTGGGATAGTATGAAGTATGTCACCTGCATTTGCTACACTTTTCCATCTGCTTTGCAGTCCCCCCCCCCCCCTTACTCCCTTATAAGAAATTCATATCAAATAAACCAGTTGGATAATACATACAAAACATTACTCTTTGTTTGTATTTTTTACTTGCCCTTGAGGGCCACTCAAAATGCTGCACATCTTGTTAAAATACTCAGCAATACTATACACCAAAATGTCTAATAAGATATATAGATTTTGAAATAAGTTATTGGTTCTAAACCTCATTTCTTAATACTCAAACCAAGAATTACATTCAAAAATTAAGATTTAAAGTTTGACGAGGTGTCTGGATGCTGAGTTAATGCAGAGTTCAGCAAGATAGCATATTGGAATGGTAAGGAGAAGCTGCATGTGAATCAATACCAGGATTCTAATGGCTAAGTAATCTGATCAGAGACTACTGAGATACAGAAGATAATAAAAAATGATAATTTATTTCAATCAACCTCGAAGTGAAGCCTCCACTCTCACAGTTTGCCTCTCTTTAATTAAATCAACTGCAAAGCATGACGTCTTAAATGGTGAGTAACTGAACATGATTTGATCCAAAACATTCCTTGAAGTGACAAATGACTGAAACACTGATGCCCAGGACTTATTTGCTGGATTTAAGGCTGAGCAGCTGAGAAACAAATTAAACTAGGTATGAATGAATAGAAATTTAGTTATTTATAATCAAAATCATTTCCATTGGCTAACAGACCTGGAACCTGGTGAGTTTTACACAGGCAATCAATATTCACTCCCTGTATTGAACAATTTATAAAAATAACTTTAAGGAAGGAGCAACATTGAGAATATGCCTCAAGACTTGCAGATATCTAAAAAAAAACAAATTTGCAACAAAACAAAAACTACCTTATTCAAGAAATTTCTATCTGACAATACACAAATTTACCCATGATGTAGAGGCCTTTCGAAGGCTGAAATAAAACTTGGAGTGGTCTTTGCAATGCAGAAAAACCAAAACAAAAATATTCCAGCAAAAAGAAAAAAAAGAGAGAGAGAAACCAAATTTATATGTGATGCCAAACAAAGGCCACTATGATAGAAGGCAAGTGTGCTCTCACAGCTACGTCATCCTTATACCTTGTCCATAAACAAGTATATTTTTTTTATTTTGATATTGTTAACTGAGTTGATGATGTAAATTGGCCACCATAAAGAGTTTCCAGGCCTAGTGTTTCAAGTTGATATTTTAAGCTGATGTTTCAGGCATTAGCCCTTTGTTCTGACAAAGGGCTAACACAAAAAGCTTCAGGTTTAGAAACTGTTTACAATGGCCAATTTACATTATCAGCACTGTTCATAAGACCAAATTATTGTGTTATACCCCCTCTTCCAGCACAGAAGCACAGTTTCTTTAGATACTTACCCCCTTTATAATTTTTTTGCATGTTGTGGTTCAATTTTGGTTTTGTTTCAGATTCATTTTTTTCTGTACTTCAAGTACTTTTATCATATATAGTCATACCAAAACACAATAAAATAGGCCAAGTATATAAACATGTAACATTCAACCAAATGATGTACACAAAATCTGAATTCACCTTTCAGCCTCATAGAACTGCACCTCTGTTTTTTCAAATTTGAGCATGACTTTAACACTTGCCCAAAGGCGAGACAACCTAAGCTCCCCACCATGCACACACACCGCAATGATGGAATCCTTTGGTCCCAGTAAAAAATGCCAGTCTCTTGAGAGATTTTGAACCGAGATATCTGTTGAAAAAGTACAATTCAATTCATCAGTGCTAGACAAGTAAAAAAGTAAAATAGCATGGTAGCTAATGACTGAACATAAAGGCAAAGGCAAATGATTTTCTTTGACCATTAAAGCTTGTGAGTCTTCAACATTGCAGTTAAGGTGAAGCAGCTTACAGGGTTATCTTAGAAATTTTGTGGTGCAATGGTAAATTAATTTATCACTGATTTGAACAGTGTGAGTTTGAATTCGATTGGAACCTAACCATGCTTATCGGTCATTCCACCCCTCAGAAACTTCAACAATGTGCTGGCCTGAAATACAATCAAACATTGAGCATCACAGAAATCATATAGACCTGTAGCACAATCACCATGTACATTTGAGGTCACTCAAGTAAAATTTCTACTCTGCACTAAAATATTGAATGGATTACAAAACAATTTCGCAGTTAGATGTAAAGATGTTTAATTATTAGACATCACCTGAAAAAAAAAATTCCTATAAATTAAAAGTGAGGTATTCCCAAAAAATAAGGAAAATTTCCCTCAAATATGCATGTAACGTGTAACATCTCATTTGTATATATTGCTAGAAAAAGTAAAATATGTTTATAGCGATATTCCATTGAATAAGTAAAATCATACCCACTTGAAGGTATTTGTTTTACCTTGTTATTGCCGAAATTTCAGTCTAAACTGTTGATTTTTGAGGGAGCAAGGCAAAAAATTCATGGCTGGGTTTGTGTTGTGGGATTATGTACGCACCCCTCCGTTTAAGTACCACAAAATAAAACTAAGCGAATTTGTAAATATAAACGAAAGTCTAGTTAAGATATTAGCTAGTTCAAAGAAAAGTACATCATCGTCAGTACCAAATTGTCAAATAATATGCCATTAAAGCTCAAAAGCAGCTGAGTAATAGGCAGTTTATTATTTCGGAAACACATTTATTACGCAGAACAATGAATTGAAATTCAGCGATTCACACATACATTTCAACTCATATCTTGGCTGCTGCTGAATCTTGACAACTCAAACATTGTAACACGAAAGTTCATTCACCAATGCTACTATTTTGCCAAAAAAACTCAGAGTTCTGGGTATCAGACATTGCACAAATGAGTATAACTCGTTTCGGAAACATTCTGGTTGCCTTGCCTTGTGCAATTCGAAGCACAGCGATCGAATTACATGCGCAAAAGGAATCAAACATGAACCAAGTCAGGCCATAATTTAAGGAGGCTCAAAGGGGTTTTTAGATGCACGCACCACAACTAAGATGCACGCGTCAGCTGAATGAATCAAAATCAGCACACCGGAAGTTAAATGTTGCTTGAAATTGCACGAACCGGAAATAAAATCTGCAAAATACATTTGTTTCTAACTCGAAATTTTGTTCGGTGACCTATCTTGATTTTTTGCATGCACGCACCATTCACTATGGCACTTCAAATATAAAAGTTTCGGGAAAAATTATCTAGTAGAATTTTCTGTAAGCCATAAATCACATTTTCTTTAAATATATTTAATTCTACTAGATAAATTTTTTCCATACTGTCTGAAAAGTTAAAGAATTTAGGGAACTTTCAAACAAAGAAATAAAAATGGTAGGTCACCGAATTAGTTTTTCAGATAATTTACAAAAACTAAAATTTAGTGGACGTTTTTGTGGACCTTGTGCGTTGCCATGGTAACTGATATGACGTCACAAGTACCCTCAAAGTATAGCCCAGCAATAGAGTTGCAAGGAGACATATTGTTTGCCCACCCATTAAATATCCTTCTTTGTAATCTTCCAACATTTCACAAACACTGCAACAATGATAAACCCTTTCGAGCCTCCTTAAGCAATCTTGCTTTCGTTTCTTGTTTGAAACCGTACTGGAAGACTTTGTAACCTCCCCTGGTTGTTTGCAGGGGGGGGGTGTTTTCATGAATTTCAGCGGTTTTAATGAGGAAACCACAAGGTCCAAAGTACGATGATGTCTCATTGCGTTACATTTGATTTCTCAACAACAAACACTTCGTAGCCTCTCAAGCGAGAACAAAGCACAATAAAACAGAAATAAAAATGCAAATAGATATGAACATGATTTTAAAATGTGTTATTCTGTTGATATGCAAAAATTAAATAGCATTTTGAGGGTAGTTGGGAAATTTTGCTGAAATGGCCTGGTGTTACACAAATGTACATAGTGATTATGCTACTGGTCATACAGAATACAGAAATCTAGAATCTAATTGCTGTTTATCCCCAATGACGCCTTCACCTTCCGGCTTACATCATTGTCTACGCACGTGCCACCGTAGTCACCGTAACAGGGCAAGTTTAATCAGATCGAGAAACAAATGTGAAAAACTGGCCATGTAATAAAGAACAAGCAGTCAAATATCATGATCCGAAGATCACCGTTACCCCAGAAACGCGCAAAGATGCGATACATGTGTAAATTACTGGCGCAAACTTGTCAATCAATCAAAGCACTACAGACAGAATTTAGGATTCACAGCAAAATAGACATTAAATGGACAGAAGATAACATGTGTTACTTACCCTCGCATCTTAGAGCCGATGTGATGCGCAAAACAGAAAAGAAAAAGAGGTAAAAGAAGAAACAGTTGCTCTCACTACCTGCCGCCATTTTCTCTTTGAACAAAGAATTCGCTCTCGCCCCATGCCCTAGCGCGGCTCACTCTTCTCTGCCCAGGCCTTCCCCAAGTGTAACTTCAAAGTGTGTAACGAAAGCAAAACTTACCATAGAAAAAGCAAGAGCAAAGTAGGTGTCAATTTTTGTCGCCAAACGAGACTATGAATAAATTTTCAACACGTCCCTCTCGCGAAAAAATGCTGCATCAGCTGCACCGTGGAAACTTACACAAACACCGCAGTCGAGTAGATTCCGCTCTTTGAATGTGTACAGCGATGAGATATCTCTCATTGATGCCAACGAGGTTCCGGAATATTCTAATTGTTATACCAGTGTGAAGCACTTTCTCCCTTTCCAGTTCGACTAACTTATCATACTAAAGCGTAACAGGCAAGAAAATTGGCGAGGGCGATTCATTTCAACAGAGGCGCCTGTTGCTTGAAGCTTTGTTTTCCCAGTTGGTACGTGTTCCATGACTGGTCAATTTTAGCAGGCTGTATCTCACTTTACGACCCGCTAAATTTAAAAGTTTGTTTGACTTGTTTGAGATGAAATCTTCCCCAACCAACCTCATTTTCTCGGTCGTTACTGTTAAGTTACGAAACCTCATTTTTCTATCGGATTTATGGCCCGCACGCTTTGCGTTTGGGCCATAAATCGGAGCCTCGGTAGAAAAAACTTGATCTGCGACTTACAGTGAAGACCGACAACACGAGGTTAGCAAGTGGTATGTTATCATTCTATTTTCAAGTAACTGGGATAGCGCGCGCTCTCATCAGCAAATGGGTGTGTTTGAATGATTGTGTGTAAACAAGGCTGGGGTGTTTAGATTCGCTCTTTTTTATTTTCAGTTTTTTTTAAATGAATCAATAGAGGACTCAGTTTAAATACGTTTCTACTCCAGGCAGGTTTTGAGGGTTCCCAAAGTTACAGAAGGAAGAAATTGAAATAATTGTATGAAGCGTTAAGGAAAATTTTAATCAAAGCATTCTTGAATAACGAGGTTTTACAAATGAACTAGAACTGACATCTGAGGAAATAAAAACGATATCAAGTATTTTAAAGGCTCCTTCTGACATTTGTTGCTTCTTTCATTTGAAGTCCATAGCGTCTTGGTTCACTTCTGTTAAGACAAGGAAACAAAGAACACCGAAAAAAACTTTAATTGATACTTCAGGTAGACGTCAATGTATAAATGCAGCTTCCAAGGTAAAATAAAGATGTTCCCTATTCATACGTTTCCAAGGGAACCTCACATTTTTACTTTTTTTCACTTTTTATTTATTGAATAATAAATAATTACGTTTTTAGTTTTGAAATGGCAATGCTAACCTCATTCCCAGGGTCGCTCTTCTCACTACCCGTTCAATGGGGCTGGGGCAAGAGAGAGCCTGGGACCAAAGCTGCGAATCGATAATCTTCGATCTTGTAAGTAATTACGCGATATTTCAGGCGAGCAATAGTATATATGCCAACTCTCCCGGATACAGAGCCAATCTCCCGCTCTCCTGTACGGGTGACCAAAACCCCCGGATAAAAAGAAGTTTGGATCAGTTGCCCACAAAAAACTAAGATTCAAGCTCCATATATTCCAAAATTCCAAAATTATCTCGCTTTTTCATCTCGCTTTTTGTGCTTGTATTATGGTTTCTGGCTTCAATTTCTTGCGTGATGCGCGTTGTTCGTTGCAAACAAAAAGAAGGGAGTTTCTTCTTTGTTACTCCTACACAGGAGAGAGTCTGATTGGATGAGTATTCAACCAATTGAGGTCCTTGACAGATAGATCCACATTTTCCCGCGAAATTGCTCGTTTGGGGGGGGGGGGGGGGGTAAGAGAGTTAGGGGGTCCAAATTAAAAAAAATTAATTTCCCGGGGAAGGGTCGCATTGGCGAATTCGGTCGGGGGGAGGGGGGGTGCTGGTCCGAAAAAAAATCTCCAGATTTGAGATCTCCAGAGGTTGGCATCCGCTGAAGGACGACAGCCCGCTGCCAACTTGACAATAGTGAAGGACGAAAAGGTAAGCGAGTGAAAATTAAAAGGTTGTCTTAGTCCGTCTACTATGCTTAATAATGATTCAAAGCATATCGCAGTAGTTTCTCTCAAGCCACTTTCCGCTGGCTTTTCCTAACGCCCCTCTCGCGTTTTCCCCGCGCATTTACAGCGCTTTTCCTTAATATGTCACTCGCTTTTCCCGTAATTTTTCCACTGGTATGTTACCTACTTACCAGGACTGATTGGCGGAAAGCATTCGTTCCATTCCTTTCTGCTGATTCCCGGTTTATGATCATAATCACATGACTTCATAAATCCGATCATGCAGTCTTCGTTCGGGTCGATCATTAATTTGATTTCGTCTTTGTCGAGAATGTCATTGTGGTTCTTGTCCATACCATAAAATTCCCACTACAAAAGAAAATAAAAGAGAGATTACGAAATGATCTTGCGTGCGCTTTTAGATAAAAAAAAATAGAAAAAAATCCCCGTATGAGGGCTATACGTAATGGTGAGGGTAGTGCCAGAATATTAACTTTTTGGCTTAGTGTGAGGACTGAAAGGGAATATACTTGGCTCGCAGTCGTGACGCAGTGACCAAGCGCGGCTAGGCCCGTGTGTCAGCTAATTAGAGTCTGTTTGTTAGAGAGCGATTAGAAAATATCTGTTAGATGAATAAGACAGGTATCTTGCAAGGGAGTGATATCCATTTACCTCTATAATTGCTTTCCGTTCCTCATATGTCAGCGATTCCAATCTCTTCGACTCAAGTGGGAAATCTGGATCCAACTCCTTCTCTCGTGCAAACATTAGATATTCGAGATATCGATCATGGAACTGCTGAAGACTGGAGGTTGAGCACGGCCCCCACTTCCACTTGTCTCCTAAAAATGTCCAGAAAGTTAATATCAAGAAAAAGAAAGTCAAGCGGGTAAGAAAACGGAAAAATAGGCTCGGAAATAGCCCCAACCCCACCACCACCGGAGTAAAGGGGGCGGGGAGCAGCCCCGGTCCCGAATATTTTATCTTTGCTCCCCTTTGGTATTGTTCAGGAAATAAATCACCGCTATGTAACGCTAAGGAACGTTTCATCGTATCGGGAGAACAAGGGTGAAGTTCCTGCCTTCTTTTGAATTGAAACAGTTCATTTTGGTCACCAACATCACCATCTGATTAAAAAGGACATCTGATAACCTTTGTTGTTTTTTGAAGCAAAAAGGCCTCAGGTTATACAATGCATTTGGCTGAATATGAATTTGCCTATACGGATTCTGGTGAGGCATGAATTAAAGACAGATATGCTGTTTCGAAACGCAAGAAGACATAATCACTGATGGTTACTGCGTAGTGCATACGTTCGTGGGTCCAAACTGAGTACAAGCTCTTTCAATTTTCGGTGTGATCATCTATTTACCGTGACATTCGACTTTTCCTCTCGCAACTTTTAAGTTTCGATAAGAATGGTGAATATCACGAGAATTTTCAACAACCTACGAGCAGGGTGAGGTCTTGACAAGGCAAGAGGTCTGGAAAGGGTGTAGCACTGATAATGAGGACCAGACCCCAAGAAAACCTCTCCCCAACTCAGGGGACTTGTCTCTAATATTCCCGCGGGCGGAGGAATGCGCGTCCTGTTGCGCTAATTATTAGGACCCGCCAGCAGGTTGAGAAACTTATTTTTTTTGACAATTTCGTCACGTATTGATAGCCACTATATCTGGTTGATTTTTCCAACAACGAACCTTCGTCATCACACTTTCCCTGTCGTTCTATTCCAACCATAACGCCAAGTCGACAAGCAAACTTGTGCAGTTCACACTTATTGTTGAATTCCGTTCGGTACACACTGCAGACTGGATTATACTCCTCAGGACAAGATTCTGGACACACACAAGTGGTAGATCGATCCTCGTTCACAACACACATACGTCCTTTAGTGCAGAAAACCCTTTGGCAAGGATCTTTGGGGTAAAAAAAAAAAGGTACTCGTGTAAATTGAAATCTGTTGACCATTGCTTGGATATTAGGAGTTAGTGTCTCAAAAGCTTCAAAACGACTAGGAAAGCGAACAAAATCTTTGACAAGGTAATTCTGACACAAATTAGGAACCAATCACTATTTATGACGGGGGGGGGGGAACTTTGAGAATTGCATGGGAACGGAAGGGAGGGGGGTTCAGTCGCCACCAATAGAGTATGAAGATGGGAATATACAAAATTGAATGCCAATTGTCTGGAAATGAGGGGGGTCAGGTAAATTTTGTCGTGATATAACCAAAGTCATCCGACCCTACCCCCCCCCCCCCAGGCGATAAATAGTGACTAGTCTTTTAGCGCTAGATTAAACTATGCAAGCTGAAGCCATGGACGGCATCAATATGTTGTGTTGATGGGTGATACATGTTATTCGTTGTGTTCCAACAGAAGCAATGGAAAGCCTGCGAGAAGGTTCCCGAGAGAGAGGTCTGCGAGGAATCTGCTGCGAGGGATTTGGCATTTCTCGCGTCAGACCTCTCACACCTCGCTTAGTTCGCCGTTTCGAATCTGAGGGCTTCGCCGCTTGTGCCGCAGCAGCAAGGGGAGGCTAAAAAAAATAATTAACATTCTTTCTCACTGACTAATGTATCGTAAACCAGCGACATTAAGACAATTTTTTTTAAGACGCGGCCTTTTCAGTTGTCAGATTATGCTTGAGCAACGCCAACATTGACCTTCTTTAGGAAAGGTTGTCATTTATAATTCGAAACGAGCACTCCCAAGGCTTCGAGTCCCTTCCAGATTCTTTGGATCAGTCGAATACTAAAAATAATTGATAGTCTATAACAAAGACACTTTTGATTTACAGAACCAAAAAATAAAAAAATGAGAGTCCGGGGATTTCCTCTAAATTAAAAATTTCCTAAGAGGGCACAAACCACAAAAGGCGTTGAGGGCTCAGCAGTTCAAAGGGCGGATAATGCTATCAAACGGATAAATCGCTATCCAGTGGATAGGTGTCATCGAAACGTACTGTGTTATAAACCAGACAGAGAGTTATTCAGTGGATAGCGTTATATGTTCTTCGAACAACCGGGGTTTGAATGTTTGGCGTACTTCTGCACGTCGTCTTTGACCTTAGAAAAAACCGCGACTGTACACTTAAGCAATTGAAAAAAAGGCTGCAAATGAAGGTCTGCTTGGAAGAGATGTAAGAGTGAATGACAGCTGAAGAAGATCAACTTTCGTCTAGAGAAAACAATTACAATCATAATCTACGTGTACAATATGGTACTTTTTTTGTTTTGTTTATCTTTTTATCTTAACCGAGAACAGAATTGCTCATACACATTATCAGTTTGTTTCGTACACTGCACTTTGTTACATTAAACTAACACGCAAATAGGCTATGCGCAGCTGAATGGGCGTGCTTGACAAAGTAAATTCGATTTCTTTCCTTCCTAAAATCCCAACAAAATTCAAGAATATTTGATATATCCTCACAATTTCGTAATTTTATCCCCACAAGAACAACGCCCACTGAACTAATATGTAGCGAAATGAATTATTGCAAGTAGGAAGAATTACTTATTAAATCACGCGAGCTGAACGGTTAGCAGCTGAAAGAGAGAATTCTGGCATCGTAAATATGGCAGATAAAAAGAACACATCACAAAAGCTATCTTTTCCTCACAAATATACCTACCCTTTGGTTTGACCGGTGACTGTTCTGCGGTCTTCGTTTCGTCAACGGATAAGCAAAAAGAACAAAAAGATAAAGCGTAATCGAAAGTTAGCAGGAATAAAAGAACAAACAATAACAAAAGTAACATAATTGACGCAATGACAACGTATCTGGCTAAGAGTTAAATTATCACAGGTAGCTACGGTCTTTTTTCTTCCTTTTACACCGCGCTCTCGACAGACTGTTTTCACCTTCCTTTAACAAAATCCATTCTTGGGTCTTTCCATTCCCGTAATGTAAAACCAAAAGTAGTTTTGATCATCTCCAAAGAAAGGCATAAAAATTGGTATTTTGTTATTAATCTCATGGATTTTCCAGCGTTTTTTTTTATTATCATTTTTAACAAAAGCCTCCTCGAAGCCTCTCCAAAGATCAAACCCCGAATATATGAGATTAGTTTCAAAGCTAAAAACCTAGGGGATCTACTCTCAAGAGGAAATCCGAGACAGAACTCTTAGTAATTTTCCCATCGATAAAAACCATTTTTTGCATCCACATGACACTTTTTAGGAATGAAATATGTATCGCAGTTGTAAAGTGAAGTGCATGTGTTTCGTTTGGCAGAAAACCGGAAAGGGGGTTTTTTATAATCTTTCCTAGAGGTCAGGAAACTAAGACATCATCGGAATTTTTCATGTATTTCCAAATTATAATGGATTTAGTCACATTCCTCTTTTAATACAGTTTGAAATTTCGTTGATGAGGGATACACGAGAAGTTAAGCAAGATAGAAATAAAAGGATAGTAAAGTGGTTTTTCCATTAAAAAACTCAAGCAAAATTAAAGACAAATAAAGATCAGTAAGTTATTGATACCATGTGCAAATATTTACATTCAATCAAAAATCAATGGCGGATTGTTTACTTTGCAAGCAGAAAGCGTGAAAGCGACAAATAGAATTTAGAACCTGTTTGGTTACAAAGCAAAAGTGTCCCTTAAAAAACACTTCGTTTTATTAGTCTCTAATAATAATAATAATACTTGGTTTCTAAGAATCATCTGAGAAGACAAGGCGAATCAACGAGGTGGTAAAAGAATTCGTAGAGTTACTCACCGCCGTTGTAAGAAGGCATACGCAAGCAAGAGTAAAACACAACAGTCTGGCACCCATCCTGACGAAAGCTTTTTTCTTTCCTTATCTCTCTCTCAAGCCACCAGGTTCTAATTCTGCTCTCGAGACTAAGTCTTTTAGCGACAAAGTTCGGTGTTTGTCACCTTGAGTGGAATGAAGGCCTCCTCGAATATTGGGGAAATTCTACACTGTCCTATACTATAATACTTTTCGACATGTCAGAAAGCTGTCATCAACCAAAAGGATGACAGATGACGCATTCAAGCTGCAAAGCGCTGTTGACGTGGGACGGGCCGGTCTTCGAAAGAGGTCACGTATTGCATCGTCACGCAACATAACCAAGCAAAGAGACGATTATGAAGGAAGGCAAAGCTCCGCTGGGTGGTGATGTTTACGGAAAGTTTAGAAAAAGACAAAAACTAGCCAAAATTGTCTATCATGTGTGTCAAACGCTCGAAGAAAATGGACAGGCGAGTTTGACTGTCACATTTTGCGCTCTCCCCGCACTTTCGCATCAGACTTTGTTCTCTCTGTGCGCGGGCCAAGCCAGAGGGAGACGTTCATTTTTTTTTTGGATCCAACAGAGCTCTGCCTTCAAGCACGAACAGCTATTATACTGAGCTAATTATCAAAAAGGAAAAATATTCTTATCTTAAATCGTTAAGCAATCCATAATTCTTTAACTTCGCGTTGGCAGGAGCCCATAAGTAATAGGCTCCTGGCGTTGGTTATTCAGACGCGCGGATGGGAGGTCTGGGGCGAGTATGAAAAGAATGAAGGTTGGGAAGGACTTGCAGTAAAGAGTAAAACCGGTTTTGCGGGTGTTTAGGCAAGCTTTAAAATATCTAACTAAGGAAGGCTTGCGAGTGGAATGTAGCAATACTTCTAGAGAAGTCTCTATATGGACTCAATCCTTAGGTGAACCCCGTCACGAGGAGATAAAGTGTTACCGGCGTGCATAACCAGTGGAACTTGTGTCTCGGGCGCCCGCTCAAACTTGAACTTCATCAGGATTTTCACTATCGCGATCTTTATTTCCATCAGAGCAAACCTCATTCCAATGCAATTCCGGGGCCCAGCACCGAACGGAAGGTACTGGTAGGGATGACGGGTATCTTTAGCGGGGCTTTGAAATCTTCCGGGGTCAAACCTCTCCGGGTCCGGCCATGCCTCGGGATTATGATGAAGGGCATAGAAAGGAATAATAATCTCCGTACCTCTGGGAATTGAGATACCCTTGATTTGGAAATCTTGGCCGCACTCACGGTTCAGCTGATGTGCTGGAGGACTTAGTCGTTGAGTTTCGTTGATGACGCAGTCTAAGTACTCGATACTATGGGACATCTCGTAAAGGGAAGCTTCAGGATTTTCCTCAGTGAACTGGAAAATAGCTTTGCGCAACTGCTCTTGAACTTCTGGATTTAACGCCAAGTGGTATGCTATGGTAGAAAGAGTGATCATTGAGGTCTCGTGACCAGCCAATAAAAAAGCCACGCACTGCGCGACGATTTCCTCATCTGTTAGTTTGCTGTCACCCTGTAGTGTGGACTCTTCATGGGCGGTCAACATGAGTTGCATCAGATCCTGTCGGCTGGTGCCGCCTTCTCTTCGCCGCTGACGGATCATCTCCAAAGCAATATTTCCAAAATATCCCATCCCTCCTTTCAGACGCATAACCAATCGCAGGATTGTCCTGATGAGAGGCATACGGCCTATAATACGCAGAATAAAGGGGAATCGAAAGGATTGCCTTGCTTTTGTCAGGAGTGTTTCATCTGGATCAGTTTGTACATTGGCTTGGATACCAAAAGCAGTAGAGATGATAATTTCCAGTGTCAGCATGCTGAACCAGTCCATGATGTTCACTGTTTTACCTGATAAGCGAGGTTTCAAGATGAGATGAATGAAAACAAAATATGGATTAAACAATTTACATCGACGTTAACATTGGCGGGAGGACCTTTGCAGAATAGAACCAAGATGCACGACAGAGAAATCCGAATCACCAAAAGCCTCGCCTCTCAAGCATCCCGACTACGTCAAACACCTTAACTCTTCGCTCTGAGAAGGGGATGACGCTGGAAACGTCAGCTCTAGAAACTTTTCACGGTGACTGATTAACATTTATATGAACTCAAATTATTTTGTAATACCTTTCACTGACGCAACACCACAATTTCCTAACAAACTTACTCATCTATTCATTTTACCTGTGACACCCCCGCTTTGGAAAGCGGTAAAGTAAAGGGGGAACATATTACTCAGAGGCTAAAGATAAACAAAAGGGCAACATTCAGGAGGCCAGGACCTGAGAAGAGACTTTCCCACCCCCTCCCCCCTCAGCCAACTAAACATAAAAAGAATTCCGTGGGAAAGTGAATTGCTTCGAGATGTCTGAGCTTCAACACAATGCATTTTTTTTAATGTAATTTTAAATTTTTCATAATGATGACTTGCCAGTATCAGCTATTTCCTTTAGTTTCTTCATCAGCACGTCACACGATTCCTCTATTAGTGGCACCATCAGTTTCATCTTTCGCGCGCTGAACGAGGGCGTCAGGATGTTGCGGATCCGCTTCCACGTCTCGTCGCGCGCGGAGAACACGGCTGAATTCATAGGCGGTGGAGGAGTTGGAAGCATGCGGTTGTGAAACACAGAAAACTCTTTGACCATGATCGTTTTCAGCATTTCAGGATCTGCTACGACTAAAGATGGCTTCATACCGAGAGAAACAGCGAAGACTTTGCCGTATTTTCGTACATACTCCGACATCATCAAGTGAACGCTTCCATATTTGCGAACTTCGAGTAAATTGCCGACAAACGGCAGAGGTTTTGGACCGGGGACATTCAATCGACTCAGAACCGAGAAAGCGCGAGTACCATACCAGTAGGTAATTAGCAACAACGCAATCACTACGGAAAAGATGATGGAGGGATCCAAGATGCTGGAGGTTTGGCTTGTAATTCCCATTTCGTAGTTGTCTGAGGAATGTTTATACTAGCAATGCGAGCCGTCACGCTTGGTTGACAATAGGTAGAATTTGCATGACCCTGAAAAATCTTCACACGGGAGAGAAGAGTCAAACACGATGCTACGGTCTGAATAACGAACCCTCGCCGATATTTTACATCCATTTTCACCCAAAAGAGTCCCTTTCTAGCCAGAATAAACTTGAATTATGTGACAACCCGTCGTCTTCCCAGGGTTCTCGCGGCACTGGAACATTTTCATTTCTTAGTCGATTTCTCTTGCCTCACACGATAAGTTACACTTACAGAGGTATTCTCCAAATTTACAGGGCTGGCAAACCAGTTATTAGTCATTTGAGTGATATAAAGGAGAATTAACACTATTGCCATTCATAGAAAGTGGTATATTTTTATGTACTTGCTTATGAACCGTGTCGTGACTGCAGTGAAGTAAAATTCAATGTGCGAAACCACCGCTTTCTTTGTAAACGAAGCAACGACACAGATTGAACTGAACTTCTCTTCTCTTACTCCAGGCTTACTCAAACGCTGCGATATTCAAAACAAGGGAACCTGAACGATGGATGTGCTACGAGAGGCCCTTGGATCTGAGGAACTCGCTCATCCTGCCGCCATCGCAGGGATCTCTTTCCCCGAATTGTTGTTTTTCCATTGGCACGGAATGCAAGGCCTTGCAAACCTCAAGAAGCGTAATATTCCTGGTCCTAAACCTCTTCCATTTATTGAGAACTTTTTTGAGACAATGAAATTTAATGGAATGCACCTCATGTATCTCGAAATGAAACTAAAAAGTACGGTAAAGTTTTCGCCATTTGTCTGGGAGAAAAACCAGCCCTAGTTGTAGCAGATCCGAAGTTACTTGAACAATTTATGATCAAGGATTTTCCGAACTTTCGCAATTCTTTCCAGTTTGTGAAACGAACACCTCCGATTCAGCAAAAGCATCGCAGCTGCAAGAGATGAGACCTGGAAAGGAATCCGTAGGACGCTGACACCCACATTCAGCGCTGGGAAGATGAAGTTAGTGGTGTCGTTGATCGTGAATTCGTGTGATACGCTTGTGGAAAAACTTGATAAAGTGGCTGATTCAGGTCAGATAGGAAAATCTGCACTAATCCACGAGAAGATTTTTATGAGAAAATTATTACTGTCACTGAAATTGTATTGCGGGGGAAAGGAAAAGAAAGAAAACAAGAAGGGCTCGTAAAAGCGTACATTTATAACTTCCTACGCAGACGATATTTTGGCGCGTCACGCACTCTTCAAAATTGTGTGATGAACCATAGAAAGTAGGCATACGAGCCCAAGGAGATGACAGAGAAAAGCAGGATTGTATCCAGCCTTTAGGGCCCGTAGGCCAGACCGTCTGTAGTGCAATTTTTTTCCGCCCGCTCCACTTTAATAACACACCTCTTGGACATGTTAAAATAAAAATTGTAAACAAAAAAAGCAATTTGGACCTACTACTCCCCTGGAGGATGTCTTAAATCTCAACTCTACAACAGACAACCTATGCACATTCCGTTAGGAGCGGTTTGAATTGCTTCGGCAGCTTAATTTACACTATAGTAACGTCCTCATAGGTCACGCTATCTTAAGACTTTTCGGATGATCCCCGGGAGGGGGGACACTAGGGGCTAATGGTGATGTGCCACTAGACGAGGACGCATTTCGCGGCTTGATTGGCTACAATGATGTTGTTTTTTTAACAGAGTTACTAAAATGAGGTCGTACATTTTTAGAAATTTTGAGGAGATTTACGGTCAAAAAGTTGTTACCGCACTGTCAAAAGTGACTAAGATGAGTTCTAAAATTGGCCACACTAGAGATTATGGTCGGGCGGGGCTTCTGAGTGGCCAGCGGCCCATACTCAGCAAAAAATTGAAAAAACTCTCCCCCTCCCCCCCACCCCGCCCTACTCTTCGATGATCCACTGATGTGCACGATAAATTGGCAGATTTCTGAGCATGAGCAGTGGATTTTATGCTTTTCAAAATCGTTAAGGCATGCCGTATCCTACAGCGTGCATTATTAATTTCTTTCTCACTGAACATCTTTCTCACTAAACGAGGGTGTCAGGATGTTGTGGATCTGCTTCCACGTCTCTTCGTGCGCGAAGAACACGGCTGAGCTTATCGGCTGTGGAGAAGTCGGAATCATTCGGTTGATCTGCTGCGACTAGAGATGGTATCTTACGAAGGGAAACTATGAAGACTTGCTGTATTTCAAACCCTGGGAAAGCTGTCGAAAAACGGCTGAAGAAAAAAATATAAAATTTGAGCTAAAAAACTCTTGTTTAGCGATAAGTTTATAGTCGTTAACGAATAAATGTTTTGTTCACGATTGATTGGATCCTTGCGAATATTTATCTCTCAGGATTACTAAAGTCATTAACCACGCCAAGTAGCACTTGTGTTTAAGACCTCGGAAGATTCCTACTGAAATGAAGAGGCCAAAGAAAGAATGTTCAGCTAGTATAGACTTGCGCGGCTGTTTATGTTTCACCGCTTTCTAGTGTTCCTTTAGTCGAGAAGCAATTTTGTGTGTGGACTCACCAATTTCGATCATGCCATCACAATCTCGATAGGGAATTGAATCAATATCAATATAGTCTGACCTTTTAGGAGATGATTTCATCAAATTCATTTTTACTTAAATTGTGTTTGTTGTGGAGACGCGGTATGTCTCGCTTGGTCGTCAGAGCTAGTAGTATTTGTGGTAAATGGCGAAATCTCAGGGCGAGGTGCTTTAAGTACGAATCCTAACCTTTTTCTGCAACCAAGTTTTAGCTAGAGGTGTCACCTCCCACCATGCTACAAGGTAGAAGGGACAGTTTCTGCTATAATTTTTCTATAGGCCCTATTTAGAGCAATCTACACTTTTATTAGATCTCGTGACGATCCAGATGATAAGATACCCCTTCATAACTTGCAGATGACGCCATATTCAAATATTATTGAAGAACGTCATTCACACTTACGTCGATCCATTCTTTCTCTTCTTTTAATTCAGCCTGCAGTGAATATGCCTGCTGTGTTTAATGCGAAAATCAGATCAATCCGTATAGCAATATTGTGCTGAGCTGCGAATGAAATTTATGTGCGGTATGAAACGGGAAAAACGCTTTACAATCGAATGTAACTATTATATCTGACATGACACAGTGATAAAATTTCATTAGTCAGGTTATAGATCACGCGTTTCTCTTTGTGCCCTTTGCTCCACTCTTCTATTCTCTTTGACGCAAATAGTAACCGCCCACAAAATTACGGTGTTCCCAATTTTACAGAAGAAAAATATCAAATGCGTAATTTTTGCAGTGTCATTCATGCAGTGTTACTCTTGTTTCCCAAATTAGAAATAGCAACGCTACTGGTAATAAATATCGATGACCCCTTTTGACCCCGATGACGACATCAGATATAGGAAACAATAGGATAAACAAATCACGTAGACGGACTCCGCAACTCAGCTTATCATTGGACCATTTGACTTCACTGTGAATTTACATAAATTGCGATTTCGCAACGATTCTTATTCAAAAGTTATTGTAATTGTAATTCACTTAGTTGCCCCAGTGCATCGGTTTCTGGTCGTCGCAGGAATACGAGGTGAGTTGAAGCTATCACCAGCTAGAGACCGTGATTCAATTTTATTTACTGCGAATGAGCAGTGGCTCGACTGCAATAAATTGAAGTTTAGTGTTCGTGATGTTGACTATTTCTGTAAACAAAGGAACAGTACAGATTTAGCTGAGTTCCTCTTCTCTTATTCTAGACTCACTAAAACGCTGCAACATTCAACACAAAGAGAACCTGAGCGATGAACGTCCTTCACCAAATTCTTCCAATGGAGGAACTCGCTCATCCTGCCAGCATCGTCTCTATTTTGCTCCTTGTAGTTTTGTTTCTTTACTGGTATGGAACGCGCGGCTTTGCAAACCTCAAGAAGCTTAACGTTCCTGGTCCTAAACCTGTTCCGTTTATCGGCAACTTTCTCGAAGCGAGAAAATACGAGGGAATACAACTCATGCACGTTGACTACATGAAACGGTACGGCAAAGTATACGCCATCTGTTTGGGCGAAAAACCTTCACTGGTCGTTGCAGATCCGGAGTTACTAAAACAGATTATGATCAAGGATTTTCCAAACTTTCGCAATCGTTTTCAATTTATGAAGCCGACTCCTGCGTTCAGCAGAAACGTTTTCAATGCAAGAGATGACACATGGAAGAGAATCCGTAACACCCTGACTCCTACATTTAGTGCTGGGAAGATGAAATTGATGGTGCCACTAATCGAGACTTCGTGTAATACGCTAATGGAAAAACTTGATAAAATTGCTGATTCAGGTGAGAGATGGAGTATTGCAGAAATTGTACTGTAATTCTCCTCAATTATGAACTGTTTAACTGAGACAAAATCTAGAATTATTCGCAAAAATCGAATATCTTAAGAAACGCCAAACGGTAGGAGATTACGATATTGTTTGATAGCAAATAGATTCGTCAAAGCCTGGCCTAACGTCACGAAAGCTAGTCACGCAATCCTTATCACTGCGAAACGTCATCTTACCATAGAAAGTATATGTTATTATTGCATGGAAAGTCATTTTAAAATAATTGTCGGTCTGCAACTGATAAGGCCCAGGAAACTTCAACAGCGTTAGCCGTGTAAAAAGGTTAATACCCATCATGCACTGCAAGCTACGCGCCCAGGCTTCTTTTACAGGACATTCGAATGATATTAGTCCTCATGCTCCGGTAATCACTTTGGAGCTATTCGGTGAAACTTTCTTTTTGGATAAAGTTTTCTCTTTTGGTGTACTTGCTCGGGTGGTTACAAAGATGTGCGCGCTCTGACTGGTCAAGGATTGCGTCATATCTTACCACTATCGCCCTGAGCGAGATGTTTACAGCCAAAGTCAATAGAGGAGACTATTAACTCTGACATTCCAAGCTAGGGCGTTGCACTTTTCGGATTGAACTGGTCGCATTCAGCTTCCTGTTAGACAATTTGATCCTGTTAAACACTTTTTTTGCACTTTTTCTCATTCCATCGCCCTGCGAATTGTTATTTTCTTACTCTAGATTACGTTTAGCCTGCGAACCATACTTACTTTTCGGATGATTTGGTGTTGAGAAATTCGGCTTCAGCACTCGATACTCTCTAGCCATAAGATACGCGTGAAAAGCACTCTTACTCACTTTTCATTTTTTTCCGTGAATTTTTCTTAACAGGTGAGATTGTAGACATGCTTGACTGGTTTAGTAAGCTGACCCTTGAAGTCATTTTGTCGACTGCCTTTGGCGTGGACGCAAAGATTCAACTGGGTGAGAACACCGAAATGCTGGAGAGAGCGAAAGCGATCTTTAAAGTTCCAAACACTGTTCGACAGATGGCTCGCCTTCCGTTTGGCAACTATTTACTTAGGCTGTTAATGCGGCTTTCAGGAATTAAGTCGAATTATTTTGAAGGCGTTGTCGGAGAGATCATCAAGTCCCGTCGCCAGCAAGGGCTCAGTGTGCGAAAAGACCTGCTTCAACTCATGATGAATGCTAATGATGAAACCACGGTCGAAGGGGTCAGCAGGCTTTCTGATGAAGAGATTGTAGCACAATCTATTGTCTTCCTATTAGCTGGATATGAAACGTCGAGCAACACGTTGGCATTTACCCTGTATTTCCTGGCTGTAAACCCGGATGTGCAAGACAAGCTGAGGAAAGAGATTAGCGAGGCCCTCGAGTCTAACGCTAAGAAACCTTTGTACGATGTCGCCCAGAATATCGAGTTCCTCGACTGCGTCATCAAAGAGGCTCAACGATTATGTCCGCCAGCTGCCCAAATCAACAGAGAATGTTCTGAAGATTATGACCTCAATGGCATCCACATTCCTGCTGGAACGGAGATAATCATTCCAATATACGCCATACATCGTGATCCAGATGCCTGGGAGGAGCCGGAAAAGTTTGATCCGGAGAGGTTCCGTGGACCATCCAAAGATGCACGCCATGCCTTCCAGTTCATACCATTCGGTGCAGGGCCAAGGAACTGCATTGGAATGAGGTTTGCTCTGTTGGAAATCAAGGTTGCCCTGGTCAGGATTCTGGTGAAATACAAGTTTGTGCAGTCACCCGAGACACGAGTTCCTTTAGTCATACATGCTGGTGCTACTTTGTCAGCAAAAGATGGTGTGCGTGTTAGGGTGGAGTCCGTAATTTGAGAGTGAACAGCGGTCTTGACCAACTATTAGAAGTTCTTGTATACACAAATAATTCCACTGAAATGTTAATGACATAAATATACATTTTGTTGATTTATCTCTTCATATATTATAAGTAAGGACATGTTAAAACAAAAATTAAAAACAAAACACACAATTCGAAAAGCTGGCTCCGCCCTGTAAAGTGTCTTAAATCTCAACTTTACAACCGACCACCTATGCACATTCCGCTAGGTGCGGTTTTGAATTGCTTCGGCTGCGCTACAATAGTGGCAGCTTACTTTCACACTATAGTAACGTCCTCAGAGGTCACGCTATCTTAGGGCCGGTCTGGAGGGGAAAGAGGACTTTTGGGATGATCCCCAGGAGGGGGGACGCATGGGCTAATGGGGATATGCCACTGAATGAGGACGCAATTCACGGCTAGATTGGCCACAATGATGTTGATTTTTCAGTAGAGTTACTAAAATGGGGTCGTATATTTTTCGAAACTTTGAAGAGGTTCACGGTTAAAACGTTACCGTACTATCAAAAGTGACTAAGATGGGTTCTAAAATTGGCCACAGTAGAGATTATGATCGGACGGGGGTTCTGAGAGACCAGCGGCCCATACTCAACAAAAATTGACAAAAATCCCCACCCTCCACCCCAGCCATACTCTTTGATGATCCACAGCAGCGCAGATTTCTGAGCATGACCAGTGGATTTTATGCTTTTCAAAGTCGTTAAATCACTGTGTATCCTACGGCGTGCACAATTAATTTCATCTTTCTCGCGCTGAACGAGGGCGTCAGGATGTCGCGGATCTGCTTCCATGTCTCGTCGCGCGCGGAGAACACGGCTGAGCTTATCGGCTGTGGAGATGTTGGAATCATTGGGTTGTTCAACTACGACTAAAGATGGCATCTTACGAAGGGAAACTATGAAGACTTTACTGTATTTCTTACATACTCGCAAACCCTGAGAATACCGTAGACAAACAGCTGAAAAAAATGTAAAATTTGAGCTAAAAAACTCTCGTGCATTAGCGATAAGTTTAGAGAGTAGTTAACGAATAAATGTTTTCGTCACGATTGACTGGATTCTTGCAAATATTTATCTGTCAAGATTCCAAAAGTCATTAGCTACGCCAATTAGCACTTTTGCATAAAATCTCGGAATATTCCTACTGAAATGAAGTGGCCAAAGCGGAAAGAATGTTCAGCTAGCATAGGCTTGCACGGCTGTTTATGTTCGACCGCTTTCCAGTGTTCCTTCAGTCGCGAAGCAATTTTGTGTGTGAACTCACGAATTTAGCCCAGGCCATCACAATCTTGACAGGAATTTGAATCAATATCAATATAGTCTGACCTTTTAGGAGATGATTTCATCAAATACATTTTTACTTTAATTGTGTTTGTTACAGTGACGCGGTATGTCTCGCTTGGTCGACAGAGCTGGTAGAATTTGTGGTAAATGGCAAAATCTCGGGGCGAGGTGCTTTAAGTACGAATCATTACCCCTTTTTGCGACCAAGTTTTAGCCAGAGCCACCGTGTAACAAGTTGCAGTTAAGAAAAAAGGTAGAAGGGACAGTTTCTGTTTTAATTTTTCCACAGGCCTTAATCTGCACTCTTAATAGATCTCTTGACGATCCAGATGATAAGGTACCACTTCGTACCTTGCAGACGACGTCATATTCAAATGTTAATGAGGAACCTCACTCACACTTACGTCGATCGATTCTTTCTATTCTTTTAATTCAACCTGCAATTTAATGCGAAAATCAGATCAATCTGTTTGGCAATATTCTGCTGAGCTGCGAATGAAGTTTATGTGCGGTATGAAACGGTGAAAAACGCTGCACAAGCGTAAGTGACTATTATATCTGACATGACAGTGTGACAAATTTCATTGGAAAGATTATAGATCATGCGTTTCTTTTTGTTCTTTTCTCTTCTCTTTTATGCTCTTCGACGCAAATAGTAACCGCCCAGAAAATTACAGTGTTCCCAATTTTAAACAGGAAAAAACCAAATGCCTTCTCCGTAATTTTTGCAGTGTCATTCATGCAGCGTTACTCTTGTATCCCAAAACATAAATAGCAATGCTACTGATAACAAATATCGATGACCCCTTTCAAACCGATGACGAGATATAAGAAACAATAGGATGTTCGTTTCTCAAAACAAATCATGCAGACTGACTCCGCAGACTCACCTTATCATTGGGCAATTCGATACGGTCAATTTACATAAATTGCGATTTCAAAGGCTATTGTAGTTGTAACTCACTTAGTTGCTCCAGTGCACGCAAATCGGTTTCTGGTCGTCGCAGCAATACGAGGTGAGTTGAAGCTATTACCAGCTAGAGACCTTGATTCCTTTTTATTTACTGCAAATGAACTGTGGCGTGACTGCAATGATGTGAAATTCAGTGTTCGTGATGTCGACTATTTCTGTAAACAAAGGAACAATACAGATTTAGCCGAGTTCCCCTTCTCTTACTCTAGACTCACTAAAACGCTGCAACATTCAACAGAAAGAGAACCTGAGCGATGAACGTCCTTCAACAAGTTCTTCCAATGGAGGAATTTGCTCATCCTGCCAGCATCGTCTCTATTTCGCTCCTTGTAGTTTTGTTTCTTTACTGGTATGGAACGCGTGGCTTTGCAAACCTCAAGAAGCTAAATGTTCCTGGTCCCAAACCTCTTCCGTTTATCGGCAACTTTCTCGAAGCGAGAAAATACGAGGGGATGCAACTCATGCATCTTGACTACGTGAAAAAGTACGGCAAAGTGTTCGCGATCTGTTTGGGCGAAAAACCTTCACTGGTCGTTGCAGATCCGGGGTTACTCAAACAGATTATGATCAAGGATTTTCCAAACTTCCGCAATCACTTTGAATTCATGAAGCCAACTCCTGCGGTCAGAAGAAACGTTTTCAATGCAAGAGATGACACATGGAAGAGAATCCGTAACACCCTGACCCCTACATTTAGTGCTGGGAAGATGAAATTGATGGTGCCGTTGATCGAGACGTCGTGCGATACGCTCATGGAAAAACTTGAGAAAATTGCTGATTCAGGTGAGAGACGGAGTATTGCAGAAATTGTACAGAAATTCTCCTCAATCACGAGCTGGTTAACCGAGATAAAATCTACAATTATTGGCAAAAACCGAGGATCTTAGGAAACGACAAATGGTAGGAGATTTCGAAAGTGTAAGATAACAAAATAGAGTCGTCAAAGCCCAACAGCCTGACGTTACAAAAGCTAGTCACGCAATCCTTATCACTACGAAACGTCATTTTACTGTAGAAATACATTTAATTATTGCATCAAAAATTTAAAATGATTGTCGGTCTACAACTAATACGGCCCAGAAAACTTCAACAGCGTGAAAAATTCGGCATCAACACTCGATACTCTCTAGCCTTAAGATACGCGTGAAAAGCACTCTTACTCACTTTTCATTTTTTTTCCGTGAATTTTCTTAACAGGTGAGATTGTAGACATGCTTGACTGGTTTAGTAAGCTGACGCTCGAAGTCATTTTGTCGACTGCCTTTGGCGTGGACGCAAAGATTCAACTGGGTGAGAACACCGAAATGCTGGAGAGAGCGAAAGCGATCTTTAAAGTTCCAAACATTATTCGACAGATGGCTCGCCTTCCATTGGGCAATTATTTACTGAGGCTGCTAATGCAGCTTAAAGGAACTTCTCCGAGCTATTTCGAAGGCGTTGTCAGAGAGATCATCAAGTCCCGTGGCCAGCAGGGGCCCAGTGCACGAAAAGACCTGCTTCAACTTATGATGAATGCTAATGATGAAACCACGGTCGAAGGTGTCAGCAGGCTTTCTGATGAAGAGATTGTAGCACAATCTATTATCTTCCTATTAGCTGGATATGAAACGTCGAGCAACACGTTGGCATTTACCCTGTATTTCCTGGCTGTAAACCCGGATGTGCAAGACAAGCTGAGGAAAGAGATTAGCGAGGCCCTCGAGTCTAACGCTAAGAAACCTTTGTACGATGTCGCCCAGAATATCGAGTTCCTCGACTGCGTCATCAAAGAGGCGCAACGATTATGTCCGCCAGCTGCCCAAATCAACAGAGAATGTTCTGAAGATTATGACCTCAATGGCATCCACATTCCTGCTGGAACGGAGATAATCATTCCAATATACGCCATACACCGTGATCCAGATGCCTGGGAGGAGCCGGAAAAGTTTGATCCGGAGAGGTTCCGTGGACCATCCAAAGATGCACGCCATGCCTTCCAGTTCATACCATTCGGTGCAGGGCCAAGGAACTGCATTGGAATGAGGTTTGCTCTGTTGGAAATCAAGGTTGCCCTGGTCAGGATTCTGGTGAAATACAAGTTTGTGCAGTCACCCGAGACACGAGTTCCTTTAGTCATACATGCTGGTGCTACTTTGTCAGCAAAAGATGGTGTTAGGGTGGAGTCCGTAATTTGAGAGTGAACAGCGGTCTCGAACACCTATTAGAAGTTCTTGTATACACAAATAATTCCACTGAAAATGTTTATTACATAGATGCGCCTTTGGTTGATTTATCTCTTCATGGATTATACGTTAGAGCACTTTGAGCGCTTTTCGATTGCAGAGCAAAATTAAGAGAAAATAAAGCAACTCCGAATCACTTTCGACCTCGAATTGAAAATTGCTCTAACCATGCTAACGACGAAGCTATGATACACAATTAAAAAGATTATGGACTCGAGAAATTGAAACAAGAATCAGCTAGTGTAGTAAGCAACACTCTGGCATATGGCGAGGAAACAACTCACGGAGAACTGTTGATTAATGTTATGTCGTCTTATGGATGAAAATAACACTCGAACGAAATAAGCAAATGAAATAAAGTTAAAAAAACAACCTTTTGCACTCCGTTTTCTTTGTTTTGCAAGATGACAAGAGGACTGAACCAGATTGACTTTTTTTTTTAACTTAGTCCAGCACTGGCATAAATGCTGTAAGGGTGGCTTATCATTTCCCTTTTGTGAGTGCTGTGACCCAGTGAAGGTGGGGAACAATCGAGAATCGTTAGGCGACTATTACTTCTGAGGCATCAACTTGGCTTCCATAGAAATGCCCAATTGCTAACTGCCCTTAAATAGAAAACTACGAGGTAAGTTGCAAAATTATTTGCCTATAATTTCGAACTATTTTAGCAAAACGAATCGAGCCTCCGGTGAGTAGTTTCCACAGACTCGATTTTTCCCTGAGAGAAGCAACGTGGCGTTTGAACGTCGGCGCATATGCAAATAAAATGATTTAAAGTGTCTTAGAGAGAAACCAGACAGAGCGCTTTCTGGCCTCAGAACAAAGCTCTCACAATAACATCCAGTGACACGCCCAAATCAAAAAGTCAAAATAACTTAAATCCGTATGATTTGTTAATGACTCTCCGAGGAAAGCGGTAAATCAACAGAATACTCTTAGTTGGAGAAAAAATCTGACGTTTCAATTGATTTTCGACTAATTTGCATAACAGCGGTTGTTTCTGCCACGGCTGACGAAAAATCAGTGAGCCAATTGACTGAGCATGCTTTTCGTTTGATCGCTGTGTTAGAAGAAACGCACGATTTAAAATGTGGGGACTACTTTGGCAGACTAAAAACAACGGTCAACCGCCGTGAAAGTTGGGTGTATCCAGTAACATGACGCGTTTGAACGGCTTGCGAAAATGGTTGATTGATTGTAAAAAGGGTAGTCAACAATCTTTTGTTTGTAAAGCTGTACCGGAATGCTATTCAAACGCCAGTCACTTAAAACTAAACTAATTTCCTTTCTAAGTAAAGATCAAGCCTGGTTCACACTCAGAACACAAGTTCAATCACAGATAATACCAACATTACTTGTATTTGAACTTGACTCTGCTGTTGCTTTGCAATTGTGAATCAGATTAAGACCTTATGCCCTCCTCCCTTGTAAAATTACGCTCCAATCAGTACACTAAAATGAAACTACAAAGTCAAAGTTTTATTCAAGTGTCAAGCCAAGTATAAAAAAAAAATCAAAAATAGAACGTCAGGCCAGTTTAGTACTCTTCTCCTTCCTCTTCGCCTTCGGCATCCACAGAATCCACGCCCACTTCTTCATAGTCTTTCTCCAAGGCAGCCAGATCTTCACGGGCCTCAGAGAACTCTCCTTCTTCCATTCCTTCGCCCACATACCAATGGACAAATGCGCGCTTAGCATACATCAGATCAAACTTGTGATCCAAACGAGCCCAGGCCTCTGCAATAGCTGTGGTGTTACTCAACATACAAACTGCACGTTGCACCTTAGCAAGGTCACCACCTGGTACAACTGTGGGTGGCTGATAATTGATGCCGACCTAGAAACATCGAGAAGATACTCACTGAGAAGATGGTCACAGAGCATCCCTTAGGGATGAACCAAGGGATTGGTAGTCTCCTAGCAAGAAAAATCTTTCCAGTCAAAGTTCTTTTTTCGTCTGGCAGTATGCTTGTGTAATTTCTTTAAAAAAACAAAAGCAGGACAAAGATAGAAGAAAGGGGAATTGACCATTTTTCACGGTTAAACATGACAAATTGAAAGGAATTTTTTTTAGTTAAGATAATCAAAGACGTTAAAAGCCCCTCTCTCTGATAAGGCCCCATGTCTGTAGCCTGAAGATTTTCATCTACATAAACGGTATATCTTTTCATTTTAAGAGATTGTCAATCGACTTATTGGATGCCCTATACAATGATTACACTCATATAGATGTAACCCAACCTTAAATCCAGTCGGGCACCAATCAACAAACTGAATGGTCCTCTTGGTCTTGATGGTGGCAATGGCAGCGTTAACATCTTTAGGAACAACATCACCCCTGTACAACAGACAGCAAGCCATGTACTTGCCATGACGAGGGTCGCACTTCACCATCTGATTGGCTGGTTCAAAGCAGGCATTGGTTATCTCAGCCACACTGAGTTGTTCATGGTAGGCCTTTTCGGCAGAGATGACAGGTGCGTATGTCGCCAGAGGGAAGTGAATTCGTGGATAGGGCACTAAGTTGGTCTAAAATAATCCAGAGAGATTTTCTGAAGTTTATTTCAAGTAACTTATAAGTCTATACAGTTGCATGATCACTTCTGGCTTGCTCATGAAAAACGTGAAAGGATTTTTCCTCAACATGGTGATTCTTCCCAAAATAGGATGAATATTTACCGGTGATTGAATCGACTTTACGTTCTTACGGGTGAAAAACTCAGTTTCCAGATATACTTCTTTACTGTTTTGGTGTACAAATTATCCCCTTTAAATAGGAGAAATTAAGAAAAGATTCATCGAGGGGCAGAAAGAGATAGCTAAAAACGTTTACGAAGTTGATGACGCAAATTATAACCTTGAAAACAACGATTCGAGGAGTCGATGTCCTTTAAATTTCCTTTAAATTTCGTGATTTTTCCACAAATTATAGATCAAACTGTTCCATACACTCAATACTTTCTACCTATCAAGTTTTTTTAATTTTACTTTAAAAACCCTCGCTTCCAACCACCGCAAAATGTACCGTGAACCGATGACATGACGCTCGTGATTAGTGCCAATACAGGCATAAATTGGGTAAGTTTGGACCATTTTACCTTTTAAACGAGCACCATGATCTATCTTTCTTTCTGTGTTTTTCAAAACAGACATTGGAAGGGAACATTTCAGGAAAGTTTAGAACAATTGTTCCACAAATTATAGATCAAAACTTTTTTTCTAAGAAACCACTGTAAGCTTGACACCCTGGGAATAAATAAGTATTCACCCACGCTTGAATATTAGAATGAAACATTTCAAAAAACAAACTATCCTATACCTGGAATTCTGTCAAGTCAACATTTAGAGCACCGTCGAATCGTAGAGAAGCCGTGATTGAGGACACAATCTGTCCAATTAGTCGGTTCAGATTGGTATAAGTGGGCCTCTCAATGTCCAAGTTCCGGCGGCAGATGTCATATATGGCCTCGTTGTCCACCATGAAAGCACAGTCAGAATGCTCAAGTGTGGTATGGGTGGTAAGAATGGAGTTGTAAGGCTCCACAACAGCTGTTGCGATCTGTGGGGCAGGGTAGATAGCAAATTCAAGCTTGGACTTCTTGCCATAGTCAACTGACAGCCGTTCCATAAGCAGTGACGTGAACCCAGAGCCAGTGCCACCTCCAAAGGAATGGAAAATGAGGAAACCTTGCAAGCCAGTGCACTGATCTGCCTGAAAAGCATAAAAAATACATCCATTCACTATGACTAAACCCACTTTACAGGTGAAAATAATCAGAGGCCCAATAGCGAAATGAAATAAACTGAAAAAAATGATTACTCGTGGTTAGAGTAACCGAGAATGTTAATGGATCATCCAATGCTGCTGCTTGCTATTATAAAAAAAAGTAAAGTTATTAAATACTTCTAATAATATGGGAAAAAATTCAATGGTCACAGTATAACGTAGTTTTCAGGAATCCTTTTTAAAAACCAGACTTACTTGATATAAAATCTATAAATACCATTCCCCGTTTAACACGAACCAGTCAAAGAGTGCATCAGCAGTCTACTCTCTCCTACTGAATGAAAGTAACAGCTTGAGCCAACTGTTAGCCGCAATTATCCATGATGATCAGTTTTACAAAGGCAATCTTACCAGTTTGCGAATCCTGTCAAGGACAAGGTCAATAATTTCCTTGCCAATGGTGTAATGGCCACGTGCATAGTTGTTGGCAGCATCTTCCTTGCCAGTGATTAGCTGCTCAGGATGGAATAACTGGCGGTATGTACCAGTGCGGACTTCATCTGAAACACAATGAGGAGTTGGTTAATATATTAACCCTTTGCCCTAAGAGTGATTTATCATTAGCATCTAAAAACAAATTCTCCTAGTAAGTACCAGAGAAAATGTATAGGGAACAGTTAGGAGAATATGCATACTGATGTAAGGATTTAAAGGGTTAAGACGAAATTGGAATTGATAGCTTGCTTATGACCATTGCAACTTGATCACGATAGAGAATTTCATAAATAAACTTCCTATTGCAAACATATTGTTAATATAATACAAAGATCATCATATTTCACTCATCTGGAATTTCTACAGATACATCTCAAGTATACTTGAGCTGTGTGGAGGCACTTAAACACGTAGGGCTGGTCATGTAAACAAAGTTTAGCCGTTGTTTAACAAAACCATGTTATAAGGACTTCTAAGCCATCTACAATATAGCCGAACTTTCGATCTGAATATTCATTTTTGTGCAAAGACATTTATTCCATTGAATCATTGTGAAAAGACATTTATTCCATTGAATCAACCATCTTATAGAGAATCCTTGAGGCTCACTGCTTGCGTAAGAGCGAGGTTTTGGGATAGACCTCGTGTAAATAACCCGCCCATATATTCCTCCTCACCCAATCTATGTTGTAAATTCAATATTTATCGCTTATAGTTGGAAGTAACGTCAAAATTCAACTCCTTTTGAAATAATAGCTAGAAATTTGAATAATTTTTCCCATTATAGCGAAATCCTGAAATCATGACACCGATCCATAGCAACCACAATCGTAATAAAAATATGAATACCAAATAAAAAACGAAAGTGCTACAGAAACTGCACATTTACACGCCAAAATCCATGAGACATATTTCCTGTTTCACACCAAACACATTTTTGAGCGAGTTTCTTGATTTTTGGCGCTGTCGTTAGAGCAAATTCGCATTGGAGGACTGTCTCCATCGTCTAATGAAAGCTGGCTTATACAAAACGTAGGGCAAACGACGACTTTTAGGAAAACTAATGACTCTGTCGATGAAAGCGTGAATGAAAAATTTCAAAGTTGGTTTATCTCTGGACATACCGACTACCGTTGGTTCCAAATCGACGAAGACAGCGCGAGGAACGTGCTTTCCAGCTCCAGTTTCGCTGAAGAAAGTATTGAAAGAATCATCGCCGCCTCCAATGGTCTTGTCGCTCGGCATTTGGCCATCAGGCTGGATTCCATGCTCCAAGCAGTACAATTCCCAACAAGCATTACCAATCTGCACTCCTGCCTGTCCAACGTGAACTGAGATACACTCACGCTGCGAAGAAACGAAAAAGGAGTCACACAAAAAGCATCAAAACCTCTTCCTAACTTACAGATCGTAAAATGAGATCGCGCGGTCGGACAATAGGCTATTTCTTTACAAACGAGTCCAAACCAACCGAGAAACAAATGATGAAGAAAACTAAAACGAATCACTAAGGTTAAAGAAGAAATAAAACTTATAAAAATTAAGTGTCTAGGACTAATTTCAAAATCCTTTGAATTTGAACGCGGCTATTGCTGAAAAGTAGCGTATTTAAAGTCGTTTCGTGATCAATCACAGATTATTTTCCTCGTCTGAAATTGACACCAGTTCTACTTCAATGACTTGTCTGCTACAGAGGAATTTAACTTACCATTGTGGATAAATGTTTTTATGACTTCTTGCTTTGAAAGCGGTGGAGAATTTCACAAAGTTTTCTCGTAGAAGAAGTAACGACCCCTCCCAAGAAGACCAACGAAAAATGATGACGAATTGGCGCTCTTTGTTCTCGTCATCACTCCTCATGTTCGTTAGGTACACGTCAGAATGACGTCTTTGTAACCAGGCAACGATTTGAACTCTGAATCGAATGAGCGCGCGAGAATAAGGATTTTGTTGAATTTTGGTTTTGTAGGTAAAATCGTAAACTTCAAAGTCGTTCAAATATGTATAGGTTAGCCTGTTGGCTGAAGATTTTCAGCGATGGTTGTTAATGAAGTTTTAGTTGTTGCTACTTTTTTCCATGACGGAAAATTGTGGAGCAACAAAATTATTTCACCGATCTTTACTGACAGCTGGGTTACGACACCATTACTCTTGACTTTGGGAGGCTCGAAAGGGTTTTTCGTTGTTGCAGTGTTTGTGAAACGATGGAAGATTACAAACAAGGATATTTAATGGGGTGGGCAAACTATATGTCTCTTTGCAACTCTATTGCTGGGCTATACTTTGAGGGTACTTGTGGCGTCATATCAGTTACCATGGCAATGCACAAGGTCCACAAAAACGTCCACTCAATTTTAGTTTTTGTAAATTATTTGTTTCGAGCTAGAAACAAATGTATTTCGCAGATTTTATTTCCGGTTCGCGCAATTTCAAGCAACATTTAACTTCCGGTGTGCTGATTTTGATTCTACACACGCCACAACTAAGATGCACGCGTCAGCTGAATGAATCAAAATCGGCACACCGGAAGTTAAATGTTGCTTGAAATTGCGCGAACCGGAAATAAAATCTGCGAAATACATTTGTTTCTAGCTCGAAATTTTGTTTGGTGACCTATCTTGATTTTTTGCATGCACGCACCATTCACGATGGCACTTCAAATATAAAAGTTTCGGGAAAAATTATCCAGTAGAATTTTCTGTAAGCCATAAATCGCATTTTCTTTAAATATATTTAATTCTACTGGATAAATTTTTTCCATACTGTCTGAAAAGTTTAAGAATTTAGGGAACTTTCCAACAAAGAAATAAAAATGGTAGGTCACCGAATTAGTTTTTCAGATAATTTACAAAAACTAAAATTGAGTGGACGTTTTTGTGGACCTTGTGCGTTGCCATGGTAACTGATATGACGTCATAAGTACTCTCAAAGTATAGCCCAGCAATAGAGTTGCAAAGAGACATATAGTTTGCCCACCCCATTGAATATCCTTCTTTGTAATCTTCCATCGTTTCACAAACACTGCAATAACGAAAAACCCTTTCGAGCCTCCTTAAATCGCATATGAAGTGTCACTTGCATTTTGAAAATCAGATGAAATTTCAAGTTATGCGTTGTTCCGAGTTACAAATCGTAAGCGATGTTACTTTGCATATTATAAATTGAATTTGAGACGAAATCGCCAACGCATCATTAAAAAAGAATTAGTCAGTGCGTTTTTATCTGGTGGGTCCAAAACGCAGGTCAAGATTGGCGGGTCATGAGTCGCAAGTAGCAGGTGGTGTGTCATAGTTCACAGGTCGTAGGTCGCGGATGACTTATTACTTTGCCAATAGTTAAAAATGCCTATCTAAAGTAGTAGAATTTAGTAGTGTTCCAGTGTATAGTTGGAAACGATGCAATAATATGAGCGTGCTATGATGTTAAGTTCCAACATCTACTAGATTTTAACCAAAATCTTTAGATTATTTTCCCTCAATGTCCTTCCCTGATGAATGATTTAGGCTTGACCCTCATCAATCATCACCTGATAGAACTCTTTAGCTCACCATCATATCATTAACCTTTTAAAACCGCAATAGTGACTATCATCTAATTTCTCCTTACAATATCACCCCTCAATCAAACATTAATGTCACAAGAATAGAGGAAATGATCACCAACTTAAGAAGCTCTTGATTGTTAAACAAATTCTCCTTGTCAGCACCTTAGGAAAAGTATAGGGAACAGTATAGAGAATATTTAAATGAGTGTTAGGGTTCAATAAATATATGTAAACAGTCATCTATAAAGAGACCTGGCTCCTCGAGCTCAAACAAACAGCAATGTGTTCCACTGATGTTTGAGGGGTAAAATTCATTCTATATTCATTTTTTAAACCATGTTACATGGATTCAGAGTAAACTTGGATTTCCTTAAATTCCTTTTGTTCTGTAAAAATGTTGACCATGAGAGATAAATCTGGACAAAACGTTTTTCCATAACTTTTTGTCTTATGCAAAGTGATTTGATATTTCTATCATACCTAAATAGTGTCCTATTTCATGCAGGATTTTCTTCTTGTAGTGCTCCACATCAGCTTTGTTGACACTCTCTCAGCAATTGTTTGAAAATGTCAGGGCTGTCTGAAATTCTTCAACACAATTTAACTGAATGTTCTTTAAAAACTTCTACAGATTTTATTCACAGAATCCTCTGCTCAAGATAATAATGATTGTTCATTATCATGAAGGTCTTTAGAAGATGGTGAAGAATCAAGAATTCTAGAATAGGGGTTTGCAAATTCAATATCTTGTTTAGCAACTGTTTCCTTTCCATGTTTCCTAAGTCTAGGATCAAAGAAATCAATCCAGGAATCTTCATAGGGGGATCATTTTTCCTACCATTTTCCTCGCAGTGCTGTAAAGAAAGTTTAATTTCTGAATTAGGCACTGGTTTGTGTGTAGCTGTTGGTTTGGGGTTCTAATATGCACACATACAGGGGACAGACTTTCTTTGATTTGAAAAAAAAAACCATCAAAAACTGCCCCCAAATGTCTACATTCTTGATCTGCTCCACACTTGCAGTTGCAGAATACAGAGTAAAAAGACCCATTTGAATCAAGAACAAACCAGAGCCTGTAAAGCATCTCACCTTCTTGAGTTTTTTCTTTGTGTTGATATCACCCAAGCCACAAATGCACAAAAAAAAAAAAAAAAAAAAACGTTGCCATCAAAGTTCTGAATATGCTCATTTGTTCTCAGGTTATATTCTTCAAATGAGTGCTAGGAGGATAGCATACTTTTACCATAATCAGTCTGAATCATTATTGAATGATTGAAAATGTCACTTGAGTAGTCATTGGACAATCACATCATTTAGAAAGGGTCCAAGATTTTTTATCCAGCTGAAGAGGTAAGGCATCTTAACAAACATTCATCAATGAACTCATTTGTAAAGTCAGGTTGAGTAGAAAGGTCCATAAAAGGCTTTAGGATTTGAACATTCCACTCAGAAATATATAGACAGGATTAGCAGTAGTAATTGTGGCTTGTTGTGAGGATGAATGCTTGGTAATTGTAAGTTTATTCACAAAAGTTTGGGAACCAGTCATGGTAAAAGAGGATGAAGTCGGTTGCTTAGCAGCAGTAATTTTAGAGCTGGAGCTTGCTGCTCGATAACAGAAGAGGATGGTGGTTACTTGGAAGTAGTAGGAGTAGAAGCTAGGGCTGGATTCTAAACAGACCATGTTCGCTTGGTAGTAAAAATATTGGTGCTTGGGGCTGATTGTAGAACCCAAGATAAGGATGGCTTTTGCCTGGCAGTAGTAGGGGTAGTAGCTGGGGCTAGTTGTTCAACCCTTTCACTCCCAGGATCTCATTAGTAATTCTCCTTCCAGTCTGCCATACAATTCTTATGATGTTAGTTTGGAGAATTTGGTATTAGATCATCAAATAATCCCCTAATTGATATTTTTCTCCATTCTTATCACTAATCTGCTTGACATAGTATTAATAATGTAAGGAGAAATTCTGTCTTGGTCACTCATGGGAATTAAAGGGTTAACAGAAGATGGTTGCTTGGCATCATGAGGCTCAGTTGCTGGAGTAGATTGTTTAACAAAAGATGGTTACTTGGCAGTGGTGGGTTCCGGAGAAAAAGTTGATTATTTAACACTTTTTTAAGTAGGTGAAGATAATTCTTTTGTGTTGGTTGGAGCTTGACTAAGTCGCTCAGCTCAAGTACATTAGTACTTTCAGATGGTGGTTTGACAGAAGGAAAAGTTTGTTGACCCTTTAACTCTCAAGATCTCATTAGTAATTCTCCTTACTGTCTGTTAAACAACTCTTATGATGCTAGTCTGGAGAATTTGTTATCGAATAGACTAAATAATCCTCTAAATTATTAATATTTATCTTCATTCTTATCACTTGTTTGCACGATGATGTATTGATATCGTAAGGAGAAATTCTTTCTTAGTCACTCATAAGTGAGTAAAAGGGTTAAGTTTGATAGCGAGCTGTAGGATATTGTATCGCCTGAAATCAGTATTTCAGGCAAAGGAGAACTACAACAGCTACCTCAAGGCAACAGGAGAATGAAATGGTTTGCCTCATGAGCAGAATCATCTTGCTACTTCAAAATGATTGGACACCTACGCTGCTCCTCTATTGTGTTCTCCTCTGTAAGTGTTCTATATGGAATTGCTATTTGGGGGTCTGGATCCAAGCTTAAAGATCTAGAAATGATTCACATCAGGGCTGCCAGGCTAATTCATAAGATACCAAATAGTTTTGGGGATAATGATGTACTTTCTAAGGTTGGCTGGATGCCTTTAGAGTATTTTTATAAGCTACGTATCTTAACTATTACATATAATGCTTATTATAATTTAGGGTTGCGGGAAATTAATTGTTTGGTGACCAAGAACTCTAACAGTTATAACCTAAGGAAATCCCTGAATGTTGTACTTAATAGGCCCAAAACCGAATTGGGTCGTAGGTCCTTTGCTCATAGATCTGCAGTAGCATGGAATGCACTTCCCGATAATGTTAAAGATTCTCCAAATTTATCTATTTTTAAATATAACTTAAAACAATCCAAGCAAACTGTTATGAATATTAATTTTGAAAAGGGAGGTAATGTTATACAAAACATGAAACCAAATTTTCACTATTACTAAAACTTTATGGTTTACTTGATTTATTCAACTTATAAATTTTATCATATCTGTATTTTATATAATTATAGACTAATTAGTTTAGGCAGGTCCACATCAGCTGTAAAGTTGCGCAAATTTTAACCTGCGTTATCAAATAAAGTTATGTATGTATGTATGTATGTATGTATGTATTGTGATCGGTGAAAATGAACTGGTTCAAAATTGAACCATTATTGACGATGAATACGTACAAATTGGTCCCTCGAAGAAGAAGCACGACGCAATATGCAAACAGCTTCTCCTTAAGTTCCCCTGATCTCATTGTTGTTCACGCGATCCTCCAAAAAGTTCGAAGAGACAAGTAGCAGCTCAGAAACCTCTGGATTTTTCACAATCGAACTACTGTTTAACCCATGGACTTTCCCATGTTTCTCGTCGCTCGTTGCATCCCTCCAAAGAGCAATAGCTTGCCAATAAAAGTACCCATCGTTTCTTTTGATAAAACAGCGGTGAGAACGCGTTTATCTCTCACAAAAGTCGTTATTCTGGACTTCGAGTCAAATTTTTTGTGTGCTCCTTTCTAAATAGTCTATCAATTACCGGGATGAGCATAACACAGGTATCAACGCTGGTGAACGTTGGAGCAGGGGATGAGGGGGGAGGTCTTGAGGAAAAATGAGCTGAGCGATGAGATTCCCTTCCCACTCCCCGAGTGTCTCCCTAAGTACTTCCGACAGTTTTGCACTAGTCAACCGATTTGTTTGGGCACGTCCATATTGCGCTGTCCACAGGTCGCGTGATTTAATTACAATGTGCGTTTCATCCCCCACTATGTCGTGGCACGTCTGAACTTTATTGTGGATTATTTGCTCTCCCACGAATAGTTTTGATGTTTACACGCTGACAGCTAGCGAGAGTAACGTATGCAAAATGGCGGATATTGAATTAAATCTACGTGACCTTTGCTTCACTTTCGGATCATTGGTAACATTTGTCTGGCTGCTATACTGGTGCGGAACATATCGGTTTTCTGTTCTTAAAAATCTTGGTATACCTGGACCTGAGCCATGGCCATTCTTGGGAAGTATTCTCGAAGTGCACAAGTTTGGTGGTCTGCATGTCATGTTGTTAGAGAACATGAAGCGCTACGGAAAGATCTTTGCGGTGTGTTTGGGTCGATCGCCCACAATTGTTATCACTGAGCCAGAGGTCTTAAAAACAATTTTAGTAAAGGAATTTACCAGTTTCAGGAATCGATCGGACGAGGTTAAACCTCCTCCTCCTCTTAACTGTGGCCTTTTGGCAGCCAGGGACGATCAGTGGAAGCGAATTCGAAGCATTTTGTCACCATCGTACACAACTGGTAAAATGAAACAGATGATTCCACTTATGGACGATGCAGTGAATGTACTGATGATGAAGTTAGATGAAGTAGCTGACGCAGGTATGCAGTAAAATATATCTAACAACTTTGAAAATCCCTTCGTTGTTTGACCAAATTGCGTGACAAAGACAGAGTTACTTTGTGACTTCTACACGGGAATAATAATTTACATACGAAAGCAAACGGACCAAACGGGGTAAGAATTCCTATTAAAAGGAAGGCAAAAAAATTTTTAGCAAATTTAATCAATTTCTCTGAAGAATACTTTTCTCGGTTAATATTTGACGATAAACTTTCTGCACTTTTCCTTTTCGATTGTTTGTTTCTATGCATTTTAGTGTTTTGTTCTTTTGGTTAATTTATGTCAAGTACACTTTTTACCATAACAAAAACCTCTTTTATTTCACTTAATAAATGCACAGCTTATTATTAGTTTAGTCAACTTTGTGCGCTTAAAGTTGAAATTATTGGAAACGATTTCGCTTTGATTAAGATTAAGGACATGGACAACTTTTTCAGTTAAGCTTTAACTGTTGTTGCTGTCTTGTTCTAGAAAAAAGTGTAGAAGTAGTGGAGTTGTTCAGCAAGTTAACTCTTGATGTCATCTTGTTAACTGCTTTTGGAATCAAAACTGACATTCAGACAGATCCACAGAACTCAGTGACAAAAGAGGCACGAAAGTTGTTCCGTAGGTTGTGGCTGACGCCTTATCTATCGATATTCCCCTGTAGTTCTTTACTGAGGCGAATAATAGCGTTTTTTCGGCAAGGTTTAGCGTTCTTCGTGGGCGCGGCAAAAGAGATTTTCGAAGAGAGGAAAAAATATGCTACTGAGGGACGAAATGATCTGATACAGCTCCTGCTAACCGCTCACGATGAACCTGCAGCTCAGGGTGTCAGTAAACTGTCCGATGACGAGGTGATAGCTCAGTTGATTACGTTTTTATTGGCGGGTTATCAAACTTCCAGCAGCACACTGGCATTCACTGCATATCACCTCGCTATGGATTCTGATGTCCAAGAAAGACTAAGGTGTGAGGTAGAGATTGCCATTCAAACTTACCACGATTTGCCTTTGTACGATCTCGTCCACGAAATTGAGTATCTCGATTGCGTCATGAACGAATCTATGCGGCTTTGCCCACCCCTTCACATCTTTAATCGGAAATGCGAAGAAACATGCACAATAAGTCCAGGCCTCACAATACCCGCCGGTATGGATGTTACCATACCGGTTTACGCGCTTCACCACGATCCCGAAGCGTGGCCCGATCCCAAAGTATATGACCCGGAGAGGTTTCGGGGACCCGCCAAGGAAGCGCGTCACCCGTTCCAATTCCTTCCGTTTGGCGCCGGTCCAAGGAACTGTATTGGAATGAAATATGCCATGATGGAAATCAAAGTCGCCTTAGTCAGGATTTTGAGGAAGTTTAAGTTTGTTCGAGCACCTGATACACAGGTACCATTAATTTTACATTCGGGCGTTACCCTCGGCCCGAGGGATGGGATACATTTACGGGTCAAGCGAGTTAAAAGTCTAATTTGAAATCAGGTGAAACGGAAAAGAAGTAGGAATGATGAGGAATGGAGAAAATTAACGCGGATTGCAAAAGATCTGAAATTCAGAAGTGATTATCATATAACTTCTTTCTATGATATCCACACATTCAGCAAACAGGTATTGAGGAATACTTAAACTTATCAGGTAAAAAATGTCCCCTTGGTCCAACAACAAATCAGATCTTGGTAGTCAAACGTCAGGTTTAATTTCTCAAATTCCTGTTAGAATTTAATCTCGTACCCAGATCCTATCGTGTAACTTAAACCGCTTGGCCGTGGAAAGTCTGGGTATGAGCATTGTCAGAATCATCATGATGGCTCCTGAAATAATTTTATTTTCACCAGAATGAGGAGAAAGTCGAAGGATTTTGGAGTGCACATACACATTCAGATTTTCCAAGTACTGGAATTGTTTTGAACAGGATTCTGTTGACTGGAAAGGCTCACATGTATTTATATCTGCAAAAAGAAATTAAAAATTGAGAGTTATACTGGATAAAAAGTCAAGAAAGATAAGGAAAAGAACTGATTTAACTGAATACACAGAAGAGCCGTGCTGAGAAAAGGAGTATCTCTTTCAGGCATAGAAATAAAGCTAACTCGTTTCTAGTGCTCTCTCTCTCTTCTTTCTTAGTTCAAGTGCCAGGTGCAGTTAAAATAGGAGAATGCATAGTATGCCCAGACCTCACACTACCGACTCATGTTCTGCTCCTACTCGATTTGTTGTCACCAAATCACTTTTTTTGGTGCGTTGATAGCAACCATTCAAAATTCTAAGAAATGCAAATCGAGATTGGACGGCTATTGAGAGGGGAGAAGCCGACGAACGTTCGTGCAGGAACGCGCCATAAAACAGTCTAGGCGGCATGGAGAGGAGAGTGAAAACGAAGAAAGAAAAGCAGATCTATTTTCCTTGTATCTGTGTTAAACCAGAGTTGGTGGAGGGGACTACTCACTCTGGACACTTCCGAAACATCCAATATAATTATTGCCTGGAGATCGGATACTACGCTCTCAAATAATACTTGTGGCACGAGGTTCTTAGACAAAAGAGCAGTTACAGTTGTAAGCCAAACTCAAGTTATCTTTTCAGTACACTTTAAATCAGGCAAGCCTTACCATGCTATAATGTCCTCAGTCGCTTCAGTGATGATGATGACAGGAATTTTCAACTTGGTTTGCTTCGAATTCTTCTTGAAAGGCTGAAAGTGGTATTAACAGATTTGTATCTTAGACAATAAGTAGGAGAAGTAAAACAGGCCATAGATATTAACAGAATGAATGTTCCAGACGCGATAATTATGCAAATTCAAAAATCAAAATTGGGAATGGCGTGATTCTTTCAACAACCCTTTTAATTCACGTGCAGTGTGAGCGCAATCCTGACATTTTATTTTACGCTCTGTGATTGATCTAAAAATCGGGTAAGGAAGTGACTACGAAAGCGATCTGCGCAGTAATGAACACTCTTAGAGCATTAGTAAAAATAAGGCCTGAAAAAAAAAAGTGCGATCAGTCCTGTACGGAATTTGAACCCTTGACTCCTGTGATACCGATACCTTGGTTCTGTTGGGTCGTAATGATTTCTTTGGATTGTTGTCCATTAGACTTAAATGAATAGCGTTCATAGGATAGCAATACATGGCTAAATAACATTTCCTGTCCAAAGGTAATCAGTACTCTGCCTGCTTACCAAACTCATGGACATTCTCCTGAACATGTCTAAGAAACAAGATTTGCGTTCTTTTCGTCGGTTTTTAAGCCAATTGGGTTGGCTGTTCGCACTACGCATCGCCATCTCCCAGTTGTAGTCTCTCTCGCTTCTTAGATGAGCCTGTGAAGTAGGATACTTGATTTTTTCCAATTTAATTCAAAGACATAAAGATAAAATAGGTAGCAATAAATTCAAAGATAGAATAGGTGGCAATTCTATCTTCAAGCTGCTTTATGTTTCTTTGAAACTTGAATAATCTGAGTGAGAGAATTTGCTCTCACATAAAGGTATAATGCCTCTAAGCTGATATGTGTGTCAAATAGATTCGTTTGCAGGTTTTAACGCGGACAACGTACGTTAGAGGAAGTTTCATGTCATTAACTTTTGAGATCTAGTGGGGTCAATTTCCCCGAACTTTAGAGAAGAGAGAAAATATTCATCCAACCGCCATGCTCAACGAAGAAAACTTGGGGAAAAAAAACGCGCAAACATCTACGATCTTCCAAACAGTGCTCTACATGTTACTCCACTGCGCCCTAATAACCCTTTGAACCTAATGGACTGAGATAAGATTTGAAAAAATTGAAGAAAGTAGAGGAGTTTTTATGTGAACAGTCAATAATTACTTACTCGTTTTCTGGAGGAAAGAGTATTGATCCACTCTGTGTTTTCGGGCAAATCCTCTCCAGACTAGAGGTAAAATGTTTGCAGGTGATTAAGATAATTATTGGAAACATCTGAAAATAATCGTCCAACAAGCACTAATAGGACGTCAACAAAAATAGAGCGAGTGTTGAGTTGCATAGGCGGGCAAGTGAAAAATAACCATTTATAATATATTTTTTAAGTTGACTAAGGTATGTGAACCGCCGAGATGAATTTTAATAAAACGGACGGTTTTGGCATCAGTCTTAAATCTTATTCTTGATTAGCGAGTGTCATAAATTCATCGAGAAAAATTTTGTTATCAAATTGAAATAAGTCTCTCTTACTTGAATCTTCGATCGAGATTATGAATTGATACCATACCCCGACCAATCGTAAAATTTGATTTTTAACTCATCCTTACAATTTTCTGCATTTTTTCCCAAGGGTTAGCTGGTGTTCCTGGATTAATGAATCTCATTCTTTTTTGATCCACTACTGACAGTAAACGTTGGTCTCGGAAATTGCTCGGCGGACCGTACACATCCAGTGTATTCTGTGTGGGTTGAAAAAGATGAAATTATGAACTTAGCAAATTTTTTTTAACATATCCATCAGAAGATAGGCTCTTCATTCAATCCGGAAACAGGTAAACTCCACTTTACGTGAATGGTGAAGTACGCGCTGCTTGCTACCACAATACAAGGTTCAGCGTTTGAAATTCAATCTTTAACAACTGGTGGCTCTATTTTCGTCAATTGACTGGGCACATAATATTTATGCTAACGTAAGAATTAATGAGAGTAAATTAGGCATAGCATACCCTTTGCAATGTCCGCAGAAACTTAAATTCTTTCTTCAAATCTCTGATCCTAGACATGTTTCCCACAGCTCGCTACTAATTAGGGCCACTTAAATTATCTTTGCACTCACGCTGAAAACACGGAATTTGCGTCATTCCATCAAGTAAAAGACAATTATCACCATAGACTATAGGCAAAAGCAATTCTCTAGCGACGCCATAGGATGTAAGATACGTCATAAGTGTGCGAATGGAACCTAAGGAACTAGAAAAAAATAGCGACAAGGTCAAGGACAAAGAAGATCTAAAAAACAGTAAATAAATTAACCACAGGTTAAGTAAATATTTCTGATGAATCAACCATGATCATGCTGTCTAAATGCCTAACACTGATTAAAATAATTTATTGACGAGACACTTTATATAATGAAAAATAATTCACGATTAGTTAAAGGCTGTTTTTTTTTTAACTCTCCCTGATTTGAATGGCTACCTTTAGCATTTAGTATGTTTCAGTATAACTAAGATGTATTTTTGAGGTAAAAATTTGGGACTGTTTATTATGAGGCAAACAACAATACGAAAAAACAAGCAGTACTTTCGACATCGAAAAGGATGAATAAATTACAAAATGAGATAAGCCGATAACTGACGTTTTCAAAGTCAAAACATATGCATGCATCGCGTGCAAGAGTTAATTTTCAGTTTGGATTGGGTGGGTTAGTAACCGTAGTAACCGTTGTTTCCATTTTATGGAGAAAAACATCAACTTTCCAAACATTCCAACGAAAATTAACAAATCGACAGTGGTCAAGCTTAGTACTTTTAGCGACAACAATATTCGTCATCACAGTGGTCAAAATGTTGTGGACTCACGCAAAAAATTATTTTTCACCCCAATACCGACGTCAAAATTTCCGAGTCATCCATATTTGAGAGCTGATAAAAGGCGTTGCGTGACACGTCGAAGCGAGCAGCTTTCAATCTAGTTGAAATAAACTCAGACCATAATTGAGTTATAGACCGAGGCGAAACAACTCATTTGGGATATTGCGAAAACACTCGAAAACTGATCACATTCAACTATTCATAAAATAATACAAAGGCGAACAATCCACACGAAACTCTTGGTGTTAGAATCTCAACGGGGTGGCGGCTTTTACGACGGAAGGTTAAACGTTGGCCATTTCAGGGCTGACGGTTAACTTTTTTAACGACTAACGGTTAAAATTTTTCAATTTTTCGCCTAATCGTCAAAGTTTTTGGCCGTTTTAAGGCCAGCGACTTACCCCATTGAGACCCTCACAAAATGATCATTTTGTTTCATTTTTCCTGCAACGATTGCAATATTATAGGGAGCAAATTGATTATGACAAATAGTATCACGAGTTGAAACAATGCGAAACAAGGATCTTGTCTAAATGAGTGAACAAACCTAAACAACCAGTCTCCATGACAAAACACAAATTGGGCCGCTGAAATAAAATCTCATTCCTAAGTCATAAGTGAGAGTAAAAAACGCCGAAAAATGCAGAGAGCACGAATCACATTTAGACGAAAACATAATATACATGCAAGACTTATTTTTCTGGTTGGGTGGGTTAGGGTGAGAGACCTTGCGCAACCGATGTTTTCAATGATTTTGATAAAAGAAAAAAAGAAGGCTGACTTTCAACAAGTCCGAAAGAAAAACACGTTTTTCTATAGAAAAAAATGAAAAAATAAAAAAGGTGTTAGAGACAGTGGCATTGGGGCTGTTGTAAAAATTAAAGGTAATTGCGTAGATACTGGTTGCAAAAAAATAGCTTTACAACTTGAGGAAATGAAGCAAACATCCCAAAGTATTGCCTTTAATTTCCATTTTTTGACTAAATAAGACATCCTCTCTGATGCAACTAATATAACCTGGTTTGCCTCCAGGCAACAAACTGAACAAAACACAAATGTATAGGAAAACACCGCAGAGTTTAAGGAGAATGTTCCTCTTATTCCAAAGCATCATTCGTTTTGAGAAAAATATGACCCTGGTTCACCCTGTAAGTCAAACCGTATCGCCAGCGCGTATACTATTTCCTTTCCTTGGTCGCGAGAATGAGAAATGGCGCCTGAGTACGTGGCAGAAGTTGGCCGGTGTCAAAAACAACAACAATCATAGATCTAGGACCTGTGAGCGCACACTGTTACTCGTAATGTACAATTCTAGTCCCCAGTGCTTCTGTTTTCCGCACACGAAGAACTCTGGGGTCGACCGTCCTGTCATGGCTGTCATAAGTCATAACAAAGTGATAAGCTCTTTTCATAAGCGGTGAGTCAAAAGCCTTGTTCTCTAAATGTATAATGGAGTTCGTTGGATTTCCGTTACTACTCCTAAAGAGAACATGTAACAGGGAAGCCTTATTCTCTCCTGTCTTATGAGTACAGCTCAGTTATTTTGACCCCCCCTCCCCCCCCCCCATCAAAAATTCCTTGAATCGCCCTTAAAACGCTGAATATTAGTCACTGAAATTTTCATCTCTTAAGTATTATAAGATAAAACGATTAGAGAATTTGGAAATTCACTGTTGTTGCTGCACGTGGCAAACATGTGGCCATCGGCTGTAACAACAAAGTCAAGAAGTCCAGATACAGTACGAAACTCCGACACGCATGCGCCATTGACGTCATACACCATCATCTTGCTGGAAAACTGGTGGTAAACTAGGACTTTGCAGCTTAAAGGGTCAGCGGCAATACGCAGAGGATGGCCCAAGCCTTCCTCGTTCCAAATAGGCTGTTTACCAAACTCATGGCTAAATTGACCCTGGGACTCGAAGACTTTCACGCATCCTTGGTTCTTCCTTTCATTTATGTCAGAAAACACGAGTTTGTCCTTCAAAAAGACGCCTTTTTGAGGATGAAACAGAAAGCCATTGTCATTTTCTTGCAATGGTAGCTCGAGCTTGCTTTCGTCGCCAAATATCTCAGGTGCCTCCAAGCTGTTTGTGTAATAAACTGCTATGATTTTCTTCCCTTCTCGTGAAGCGGTGTTGAATGCAGTGATATAGGCAGGCCCTTTGAGGTTCCCAATCACGCGCAAGTGCTCCCCAGAAATATCCATTTCCAAGAGACACCCACTTCCGGTTGACGGCGAGTATTCGGCCACTGCAAAAGTACTGCGTGATAAAAATGTCACGCCATACACCTCTAAGAACTTGCTTTGGTTTCCGTAGGGTTTGGCTACGTGCCGTAAGAAATCGCCTCTCGGATTAAAAATGTGAATACAGTTATTTCCTCTGTCTACGACAGCGATGTGGCCACTTTCACTTACGGAGACAGCCCACGGACGGAATTTTTCAGTTAAAGGGCTCGGTGGAACGATATTTTTAATAACTTGTCCTGCTTTTCTCTTGCGCTC